CCACCAGGAGTCAATGACTCTTGGCTCCACTGTCCGGGTGATCCCGGCGATGCGGGACTAAGGCTAAACCGAGGGCTGTGGCTCTCAGCAATGCTACGACTGTCCCAGTCCGGCTGCGAAGGGTAAGCTTGGTACTCGGGCTCCCAACTCGATGGCTCCTGAGCGTGCGTGGTCGGGTTGAAGTTTGCGTCCGATGGCCTCCATGCGTTTGGGCCGGCGACATGACGGCTCATGTTGATACTGCGCTTGTGGAAGTCTTCCATGCGCTGACGCCACTCGACAACAGGGAAACGCTGAACAGCGGACCGCGCACGGAGCATGGCACGCTCTTCTTCCGTTGACTTGAGAGCCATCTTGATTGTCTTTGTGAGCTGAGACATCATGTGCTCCGTAGACGTCGACTCCACAGGGAACCACTGCAGACGTTCGGGATCAGTAGCAGCTTCGTGAGAGAGACGGCAGAGTCACTTACCCAACCAGGCATGAGACCAAGACCTCCGAGACGAGAACCGACACCAAGAGCACCCTTACGACCGAACTCGACGGCAACAAGACCGAACGGCTCATCACGCGAGGGAATTAGAGCAAAGTCCGCACCACTGAACAGATACGGCGGAAGCGCAGTGAACTCCGGCTTCGAGTACACCCGGTCAGGGTACATCTCCATGAGACGGGCGAGCTTCTCCGCCGCAAATCGACCGTAGAGATCGATGACGGGACCGACGGTAATGAGCTGGATGGAAGGACGCTTCTCGAGCCTATTAGAGCGGCGTCAGCGTCGATCCCTCCAGTTAGAAGTCAATTTGACAAAATCACTCACAGTGACGGCATGACGTCGGCAATGAGATCTACACCCTTCTGCTTGGACCAACGACCGACGAACACAAACAAGTCCGCATTAGGGTCCTGCTTAAGACCAGCCCACTCCTGCGCCTGACGCTTGTGTTCTGGACGCTCTGCCTCGGCCGACTGGTCAATCTGGATGTCGCGTACAGAAACAGGGCTCTCGTCGAGAGCAGCGATATCCGTGGGATCGGGGTTAGGCAGAGAGTCAACGTGCTTCAGAGTCCACAGGGCGGGGTACCGAGCCCAGGACCGCTTTCCGTACTTGTCCGACACACCGGCGACACCGACGGACTTCTGGTGGACCGAGATGAACGACGCAGCAGCGTGGAGCAGGTTGAACGTGTTTCCGAACTGGACGTATTTCGTGCAGTGCTCCTTGCTGATGTTGAACGCCGAGCAGACCTCCTTCATCTCCTCTTTCGTGCGCAGCGGCCAAAGGCCCTGGAACTCGGCGTTGTGAAGCGAGAGACAGACCGGAAGGACCTTCGGCAGCAAGTAAATCGGAGCGAGCGCACCGTGGTAGTCGTTGATATGGTAGATGTCGATGTGCGGGAAGCGGCGGACGGTAGCAGCGATGGCCTGGTTCCAAGTCGAATAGAAAATCGCAGAGCTGAGATCGTCCATGCGAGCGGGGTACGGGTCTGCCTTGGTTTGAGCGCGGAAGACCGGCGAATCGAGGATGACGTAGGTGATGTTGTCCAGGACGTGGTACTCGACCTCGATGAGGTAGGGCTCGCCGAAAATGACGACCTCAATCGGGTCGGCAGGCTCGCCAGGCGGGTACTCCAGGTCCTTGACCTTCGGGATGACCCAGATCAGGTCGACGTCCGTCATAGCTTTACCCATCAAACTCGACATGACACCAAGACCACCAATCTTGACCTTGAGCTTCCAGTCGATGATCTCGTACTCGAGCGTGGCAATGAGCACACAGCGGCGCTTGTCCTTGTCCTCGGGCCAGCCGATCACCTCCTGGTTCTTGTGATGGTGACCAAAGACCTTCTCCGAGAAGGGCGTGTGCTCCTTGTTGACATTCGAGCTCGACTTGTTACCCAGCGAGCCCAGGATGGGGAAGTAGTTGCTGTGGTCCTTGGTCGGCTTCACACCCCACTTGTTGTACTTGATGCCATAGAACGACCACATGAAGACAACGACAGCCAGTGCACCGGTGATGAGCGGGATGGACAGTAAGAGGGCGTACGTGATCGCCCCGATAATAGACTCGCCGCGCGGCTCGAGAGACCAAGTCATATGCTGGTCGTCGACGACAAGGGCCCAGGCAAGGTGAGGCTTGGGAGGAGCGGAGATGTTGAGGTAGTTGGGAGCGGCCGTATTCGGCGGGAGACGGTCGAGAACACCGTCCGAGTCGATGTCTCCGTAGTAATAGTTGTCGTAGCCGAAGACGTTGATCTGCATGTACGTCGGCCAGCTCGCCATGATCTCGAGCTCCCACTTCCCGCTCGACTGCTGCGTCATTTGCGCGGTGATACCCTTGTCGAAACCCCACTGGTTGAAGGGACCACGAGCAAGCAGCTGAGGAACACGCCGGGGAGTACTGTATCCATGATCCGCGTGAACGACCACGGTCGCTGACTTGGCAAGGTCGCTCCAGTCTGATTCCGTGAACGTTAGCCATGTCCCTTGAGCATATAACGATTGAGAGACGCTTACACTGCACCATCACATGGTTGCCCTCCCAGAAGTTCGCCTTGTCGTGGAACAAGCTCGCATTGAGCGTCGACGTCGCCTCAAACTGCTGCCACTCCGTCCAGTTCTGTCCAAAGTTCGCTGAGTACCGGAACATGTCCGCGCCGAACGCCTGGTGCGTGAACGTGAAAGTCCCGCCCGAGACGCTCAGCGCCGAGCTGTCGTAGTCCGCTTCCGGGAACACCATCACGTTCTTCGACGAGCCCTTCCGCAACAGAAGGTGGTCCGTAACCTGTCAAAAGCCAACGGCAGATACGCGCGTGAGTCCGAAACCCGTTCCTCATCGCGCAGCCCGTCAGGCACTTACGTTAGTCGACACGCCGGTCTGCGTGGCCGCATTCTTGACCTGGATCTCGAGGATACCGTCGGGGAAGTTCACAAGGTTGCCTGTCCACGACCACTGCGAGATCGGTGTGCCAGGAATACGCGGCGCAGGGGCGTCCGTGAGCGTAAGACACTTGATGGTGTTGTGGTCGATAGTCGGCGCGTTGCCATTACCGGACATGTTAAACGTCATCGCATTCGTGACGCTGTTGCAGTCCATCGGCAGGTTGAACTCGAGCGAGATCTGAACCGTCGTCGCATTAGCGTCTCCAGACTCGGCTTGGATGCGCGCGTCGTGCCCAGGCGTGAACTTGGTGAGCATCGGCGGGGGAGGGACCCATTCTGTGATCGGGACGAGCGCCTTGAACCCGAAGGGGTCCATCGTGACCGAAGACATGCATCCGAACCAAGGCGCCTGGCTGTTGTTATTAATCGACGAGCCCGATTGGGCGAGGGTGTAGTTCTCGTAGGGATAGAACAGGTTGCGAACGACCTGGCCGCTCTGATACGGGGACGAGATCCACAAGGAACTGTGACAGTCGTACTCCCACGTCTTCGTCGTGTTCTCGTTTGAGTACAGCATCCAGACTTGGTCGGTGTTCCCGGTGAGCGTCTGGACGCCGGAGATCGGAGACCGGGAAACAGACCAGAGGCCCATCTCAGTCAGCGTTCCATTCGAACCCGGCCGGGCAATGAAGTACGTCCAGTTACCCCGCTGCACAAGGTTGAACCCGTCTTGAAGCGAGCTGAACTGCTTCCGGAGAGCAAGGAAGTGAGTGAAGAGGCGACGGCTGTCGGTGGTAGGATCGAAGTGGTCGAGCGAGTTCCAGTCATCCTGGCAGCCGAGTACGGTCTTGCCCATGGGCATGTTGAAGTACTGATCAGATCCGAGAGAGTAGCATCCGTGCCTCTGCCACGCCTTGTTGCTGAACATGGCCTGCCGTCTACAAGACATCGATTAATCACGATTAATCACGCAACCGCTATTGAACCAACACATGAACCTACCCGTAAAGATAGTTGGATGCGGTGGTGTCGTAGAGATAAAAGTTTTGCTCCTCGCCGTAGTAATACTGCAAAGAGAGTCAATCAGACAACATCTTCGAAGCATCCTGAGATCACGTACCAATGCCACACCAGGCATAACCAAGTTCGTAATGAACGTGCCCAAAGCGCTGCGCTGTGTCCCATTCTCCAAACTAGGCCAGCGGAAGACATCGAAGTTGCTCGTGCCGAACATGTGCCTCGGGTCGACGTCACCCGAAGACGGGTTCAAGAAGTCGTTGTTGACGAACATCTCGTTCCACGCAGTGATGAAGTTCGTGTCCACGTCGAATGCGACCTGCAGGTTACCATCCATGCCCAAGAAACGTGTGAGGGAGCGGTACGTCGAATAATGGAAGGCGGCGCCGTCAAGTGCGTTGAGGGGCTTGTCGCGCATGAAGAACTGATCCATATCAGCCGTCGTGTTTGCCGCCTGCAGGAAGCCCGAGGGCCGCTGAGTTGGCGTACGACCGCGTCCGCTGTCAGATTGCGATCAGTTTGACGTGCGCCTTCCATATCCTGTGAATGCAAGCCTAAACTTACTAGTAGAGGGAACCGAACGTGTCACCACCGGTAACTTCACCAGGGATGTAGAAGTTGGTCTTGTTCAGGGCAGCGGCGCAAGCACGGGTGCTGGAAGCCCATTCTGCAAGAGCGTCTACGGTGACCTGGGTCGACTTGTCGATACGGATGGCATCAATGTCGAGAGCGGTGATGGCCATGCACGAGAAAGTCTTGAGCTTTGCCATAACCTCTGGCTTCCATTCACGCAGCCGGTCCTGTACTGACGCGAACTTTGCTAATTGACGTTGCCAGTCAGGGTGAACACCGAACGCCTCCATGTCACCGTACTGATCGAAATCGGACTCCCTGCAGCCGGTAGTCCAACCGATGTTCTGAATGGTTCCGTCATCTCCCCAGAACGTGGGAAGTTGGCAAGAGTCATTCCAGGCGTTGTTAACCTAGGGACGGCATAGCAGATGCGTTAGCCAGCAGCACAGTGACAGTCAAATTCACGCCGCACAGCGAAGTCCTTGTACTCCTGGAATCCCCAGGGCGTATAGAGAGGATCCTTCCAAACTGCATCGTACTCGTTTAATGAGAAGGGCGTGGACTCGTTCAGGAAACTGAAGCGAATGAGCACAAACTCGAGGCTCAGAGCGCGAGACGAACGCACCCTTTGAAGCCGACGAGGTCAGCCATGGTACCAACTGTGAAGTCCGCCATGATATACATCCCGCGGGAATGGATCTCGTCGATGGCGGCTTGCCAATCGGCCAGCGTTCCCCAGTGGGGATCAAGCACCGTGAAATCAAGCGGCGAGTAGCCTGCGCGATTGATGGAACGTGAAACATGAGCCCGAGACGCATCTAGGGCGACGTGACAGGGAATACGCACTGTCTGCCTGCCAGATCATATTGAGGAAAGGTGTCCCGGAGATGAAGATACCCTTGATGCCCATGCCCTGTAGGTAGTCCAATCTGGACACCAGGCCCTTCAAGTCACCACCGAACCGAAGCTGTGTCTCCCGCCAGTCCCACTCGTACATCGTTCCAAAGTAGTCGTTGTTGGAAGGGTCGCCATCGGCGAACTTGTCCATGAGAACGGTGTAGAAGGGGATTGCACGCCAGTTGGGTGGCGACTTGGTGTAGCTGGAGCGTTTATTGGTCGAGTAGTCTGTCGGGGTCTGGGCATTTTGGTTGGTGTTGATGTTGTAGTCGACGAGGTCTGCGCGGTACGGCGAGGCGGACCCCCACTGGGCTAATGCCAGGAGGGAGAGAAGGACTGTCCTTACCCACATGGCGGGTACAGGACTTGGGCTAGGGAGAAAACGTCTTGTCCGTCGGAGAGCTGGTGGTCGAGCGCAGAGATGTGGCTATTACGTTGTATGTGAAGAAGAGAGAAAGCAAACCGCGGAGGGTAAGGAAAGGAAGGGGCAAAAGACCTGCCGGATACCCGGGTCGAGGACGTGGAGGACGAGGGGAAAGGTCGGCGACCTTGAGGTCGGACGGGAAAGGTGGATGCGAGCCAGGGCGTGCGGCAGAAGCCTGTTTTATTTAGCAGCTCCCATACTCCGAACGGCCGTGACCCAGATTCGAGATGTCCGTTGCCGTCCTAGACGCCGCCCCCTTCTCCATCATCATTTTGGCCCTTCTAGCCTTTTCCGGCCATCCCTCGAGCCCTTTTTGCCCGCAATGCCCATTTCCAGCCATTCCCTGTCTCGATAACGGCGCGATGGGCGCATGCGCGCTCGCCGTCTTATCGTCGTCTACACGCCTCTGTCCTCACCTCAACCACATATACATGTCGACCACGTCCCTACCCGTCACAATGCGGCCGCCCATGCCTGCCAGCTGCACCTCTCCACACATCCTACGGGCACCCAGCGCGGACAGTCACCAAACACCGACATCTTTAGACGCGAGACGAACGTGGCTGAAAGTAGCTGCTGATCGCATTTACTGGAGGGGCCCCCAGGTCAGGAACACATAGCCACGTTGCTGGAGCGCCACTATCCAATCCTGCGAGGGAGTCTCCTCTTCGGACGAGTGCACAACTAGACATGCCGGCAGACGGCGATGTTTCGACAGAGCGCTTGATTAAGAGAGGGAAAAGGTCGGCCGCAGGCAATGCTTGGCGCGGCATACCCTGAGTAGAATTATCAGGTTAAAACGCACTCTCATTGATGTCAACGGCAGCCGCATGGACAAACCGCCCGGACGCCGCGCCCAACGCTTCTGGCCAGAGGGGTCAACATCGAAAGAGACATCCATGATGTACATGTCATTGATGATCAACATCCGACACGACATCTTCGACTCGCGTCTGGCGTAGGCAGTACAGTAATTGCTCAGTATCTATAGATATAAGTATAGCGCACATTTTTCAACTTACGCGATAGACAACTGGCGGACGTGTAGGATCGGGGCTGGATAAGGACGTCAGTTCACAGCACGGGTTCGGATGACCGAATACACGACTTGCGCTAAAGGTGATAGGGTCAGGATTGGCTCGCCTGTACCGTCAACGGAACTACGCCAGAAGATCGTACAAGAAAGCGACAAGCTCAACCAACCACAGAATGTTCTGTACGCGGGACCGGGGATGGATGGGCGTGAGCTTAGCTGAGAGATCAGAGCATCGATGTATACCCGCAAACAGACGCGAAGGATACGATAGCAGCCGGGCGCTTGAAGTTGCGATTGTATCCAGGGAACCCAGCACGCAGCAAAAGAAGCCTGTATCATTCCCAGCTGGACAGCTCATACGAAGCTGTCAGCTGTAGGGCATCTACACTGCATATGCGCTGCTGAGTACCGTTACTGCCAGCTGCAGCAAAGTTGGCTTGAGGGCGTTGCGAGAGACGAAAATCCGGTTGTGATGAGCCGGTTGATGTCAGGGCGCCGGGTCTGGCGCCTATTGAGGAGAGTTGTTGCGTGCGGACTTGGTCGTCGTTCTTCTCTTGCCTTGGCTTCATTGTCTGTCTCTCCCTGCTGCTCTCCGCCGTTTCTTTCTCTGCCCCTCCCCCGCCTGGTCGACGCCTACTCTGCGCTTTGTCGTTTCTCTTTTACGCAGCTGTAACACCACGAGAGGTCCGAGCATTTACTCATACCGGTCTATGAGTCGTTAAAAGGCGCTGGACGACGAGCTTGGACCGTCCATCGTCGACCATCTTTCCTCCAGCTCCTAGTGACGACCGTTATCTGACGAAAGAGTATCCTCGAATCCCTTCTAGACCTGCGTATCATAAACACAGATGTCTGTGGCAGTGGCAAGCTCAAGCAATCTGCAGGCGCTCGAAGACGCGTCTCAGCCAACATCCCGTGCCTCTTCCCCAACGTCCCCGACCTCAGTTCACTTCCAGACTCCTCAGGCCCGCGCCACCGCAAATTATAATGGCTCCTATGCCAATACACCCACGAATGGCTCACACAATCATGCGCTCGAGCCGCCCGCGGGCGTATCATACCCTGAATTCCTGCGATCGTGGACGGACGCGCACGTCGCGCACTGGCTCTCCGACATAAAGTGCGGGCACCATGCCGCAACTTTCCGAGCGAACGACATCCGCGGCGATGTGCTCCTGGAGCTAGACCAGATGACATTGAAAGAGATGGGCATGACCAGCATCGGAGACAGATTGCGGATCGTCAATGCAGTTAAGCAGCTCCGGGCCAAGTGCACGTCCAGCGCCGCGCTGTCCTCCCTTACCAATCGTCCCAGCAAGGCGGATCACAGTCGTACGTCGAGTGTCTCGAGCGATCATGGCGGCTCTTCGCGTGCGAACGGTGCCAGAAGGCTCGAGTCGGGTCGACCAGCCCCTTTGCACCTCCCGCCGAACGGCAGCTCCCCTGATCTTCCCCGCCTCGTACGAGATGGGCAAGATTCGGCGCGGCTTGGGAGCAATATGCGCCCGCTGCCGGTGCAGCCCAATAGTGCGACGCAGCACGGGACGCCTACCACAGCCCACAACCGCGCAAACCTTCCCCCTCTGCCTCCTCCTCCACGTGGGCAGCCTCCTCTTCCTCCCATTGCCCGCACTCCCCGTAATTTCCATCATTCCCCGAATCCGGGCACCCCGAGCACGTCTGGGCGGCGCACGCCCACCCTCCTGGAGGCCCCGCTGACGCTGCCTCAGGCTGGCTTGCTCACGCCATCCTCTCAGACGCCAACCCCGAATTGGTCTGGCTATGGATTGCCTGCGGACCCGCGGCAAGGAAATCAGAACCTTCGGACGCCTAACAGTCGATCAACGTCGCCCCTGCCGTTTCCCCCCAGCCAACCGCCTGTACGTAACGCCAGCCGCGCAGCGTCCGACCTATCACATGCGAGGAGCAGCTCCCAGTCCCAGTCCACGCCGACTAACGACAAGCCGCTGCCCCGCCCGGGGGTGGGCGCGCGCAACCCCCATCCGTTCGCGAGCTCGCAGCTGCAGCAGTCGATTGCGCTCTCCCCGATCGCGGAGTCGTTCATGACGCAGAGAAGCAACGGCACGATGAATCCCTCTCCGCCGACGTACAGAGGGCTGAACGTGCCGTACCGCCCTGGCACCCCGTCGCACAATCCCACCCTGGACGATCTGCGCCGGAAACTGATTAAATTCACGATGTCGGACGAGAGCGTGACGACGACGCTGAACGTCGCGGACTGTAACGGGGGCGTCGAGGTCCTGTCCAAAGCGCTGAAGAAGTTCAATATGTTAGGCACGGACGGCTCAGAGTCTATTGAGTCCGAGGACGGCGCCCTCAAGATCGATGGGTGGGGCGCTTTCCTGGGTTGGGGACAAGGCGACGCGACCCGTAAGTGTCCTTTGTCTGACGGTGGCGTAACTCTATACTTTGGCTGACATGCATTACGTTTACTATTCTACAACTCTACAGGAGGCCCCTTGAGCGAAGCAGAACTCATGGCGATTATCGCCGCACCGCCGGACGACCCCGCGCGGGAGCGCGGCCTGACTCTGCACAAGGTTGGACGCGTGAAGCGCGTTATCACCCCTCCAACTCCGACGCCCAACGCGTCTGGCTCGGACGACGAGGATGTGCTCGACAAGGCGCTCGCCGCAGAGCCCCCGGTGTACACGAAGGCGATGAAGCGGGCGAGCTCCGTGAGCATCCTGAGCGGCCTGGGCGTGAACTTCCCCGACAAAGCGGCCGAGAGCGCGAGCCAGGAGGCCCCGTCGTCGCCGACTTCCGCGCAGAATTCGGCGAGCCCGACCAAGAGCTTCACGAGCAAGAAGGGCCCGTCCAAGCTGCGCAACTTCTTCGGGCAGCGGCCCCCCAGCGAGCTCATCACGACGCATCTTGCGGAGTACTTCCCGTTCACGGAGAAGAAGGTGCTCGAGCGGACCAGGCGGCAGAGCATGATGCGGCAGAGCGGCGTGCCCAATCGGCGCGACAGCATCATATCGTTCAGGGACATGCCGTCGCAGAGCCGCTTCAGCGTGAGCACGATCGGCTCGCAGAAGGAGCGGTCCCCGCGAGTGTCCATGGCGTCGTCTATGTCCGCGACCGCGGTGGGCAGGGCGTCGCCGGATCCGTCGTTGCTCAGCGAAGGAAGCACGATGCACGACCCACCGCCTCGCGTGTCTCTGTCGACAGACGACGGGCATTCCGTCGACCTCTCCACGGGGGATGGCAGCGCGTCCAAGCACATAGGGACCAGCCCGCACCTCTTGCCCCCCGTAGCGTTCCCGTCCGAGTCGTTGTCGGAGTCGCTGAATCTTTCGGAGAGCCAGAGCTCGAGGCGCTTGTCGAGGCGCATGTCCACCGCGTCCAAGCGGATGAGTTACATCACTGAGCTCAGGAGCAAGCGCGATCGCTCGGATACTGCGAGTTTGATGACTGTGGACGAGATTACCGCTGAGGTTGAGAGCCGGCAGGAGACTGCGGCGAAGTCCGGAGACTCAGACGAGTGGACGAAAGTCGATGTTCCTGACGACAAGCAGAGCATCAAGAGTGGGGAAGGAGAGGATGAGGAAGACGAAGACGAGGAAGTAGATGAGGATGAGGAAGGAGGCGAAACGGTTGCGACAGATGAGGAAGAGGAGACTGGGAAGCCGATCATGTCCACAGGTAAGCATGAATTCCAGTACGGGCAGTGAGACTGCCAGGTTGACATGATGTGCTTGTCAACGGCAACACAGGCGAGAAGACGATTAAGTGGATCAAGGGTGCCCTCATAGGTGCTGGGTCGTTCGGCAAAGTGTACCTTGGCATGGATGCGGCGACAGGTCTGCTCATGGCTGTGAAACAAGTCGAGCTCCCGACCGGTTCTGCTCCGAACGAGGAGCGGAAGAAATCCATGCTCAGCGCGCTCGAGCGGGAGATTGAGCTGTTGCGCGATCTCCACCATGAGAACATTGTGCAATATCATTGTGAGCAATTTCAGAAGATCAGTTACTTTTGCTCCAACTAACTTGGTTTCAGCTTCCTGCATTGACGATGATCATCTCAACATCTTCCTGGAGTACGTTCCCGGTGGCTCCGTCACATCTCTCCTCCGTAACTACGGCGCGTTCGAGGAGCCGCTTGTGCGCAATTGGGTTCGCCAGATCTTGCTCGGCCTCAACTATCTCCACGAGCGTGATATCATCCACCGAGACATCAAAGGCGCTAATATGCTTGTCGACAACAAGGGCGGTATCAAGATCTCTGACTTTGGTATCTCGAAGAAGGTAGAGGACAGTAAGTCGATCCCCAGCCTAGTACGTGTAATCTGAAGGCTCACGATCCCATCTCCGCAGACCTACTCCCGGGTCACCGTGCGCACCGCCCTTCTCTCCAGGGATCAGTCTTTTGGATGGCGCCCGAAGTGGTGCAGCAGAAGGCTTACACATTCAAGGCGGATATCTGGAGTGTCGGCTGTTTGGTCGTCGAGATGTTGACAGGCGAACACCCATGGCCGCATCTCTCCCAGATGCAAGCCATCTTCAAGGTTGGCTCCGCTAAGGCGAAGCCCTCTATACCGCCGGACATATCCGCCGAGGCTGTCAACTTCCTGGAGCTCACGTTCGAGCTCGACCACGAGCTCCGTCCTTCTGCTGCCGACCTCCTCAAGCACCCCTGGATCGCCAATACGCCGGGTCCATTTGGTCAGTAAGATCATACATACAGTCGTTACTCGTCTCTCGTTGCCCACTTCGTCTTATTTACGAGCACTGACTCGCGACGTTACCTTCGATGCTCTCATCGCATGAGTCCCTTATTTTTATATCTAGTAGCACATCTAGTCATCCCGGGATATCAATATCTGTACTCTTCCACGACAGCCAGCATATGCTTTGTAACGGTCGAGCTATGGAATGTGTTCATCTTTTGTTGTTACATCAATCGTCATCGTTTCTCTTCCGTTTACCGCCTGGCTTCGCGCCTGGGCCCCAATTCGGTAAGTTGATGTTGCATTGCCATGAATGGTCGATATTCAGGCATATTTGTAGGGAACCGGCGAGCTGCCCGTCCAAGTTCCTCCCTTGACACCTCCTTTTGTGCCAGTTATAGCAAGTCTTTTCCTGTGATATCGTCTCTCGAACTGGGTCAGAGACAGTACCTCGTCTCGTATGGTGCATCTGCGGTAGTGCCATGAGTGTATGTTAATGGGAAACACTATTCCGGGCGATGTGCTGCTTCTCGGCCAGAATATCCTGACCGAACTATCAGAGCGCGTGGGCATTGCAGTAGTCCCGAGGGCCACTGTACATAAAGCGCCGCTCCTTTCTTGTCGAATGGTCACTTCTTCGTGCATGCTCTGCTGCGCCGAGGATGATGGGTTGGGTACGAGCAAGTGATCGCGATTTGCCCGAGCGCCTACTCTGGAAAGCTCGTTCTCGGGACTGGAGTAGACGATTCGCGCGTGTACGTTTGCGTCCACCTAGACTCCAACGCTGTCTTCACACCCTACTGCCTGCTGAGACGACCTGCCACGTTTTGTTCACTGCCTTCACGACTATTTGCAAGACCTTTTCAAGGCGATTACAACTCGTATGACACCTACGGCCAACACAACGCTACTGGACAACCTCAAGTCACCTCGGAGCGCTACTTCGCAAATATACTCCCCATCTATCCGGTCAACACGTCTCTCAGAGGACTCTGATGACTCGCTACGTGACTTGGAGTTATCCGAGGGGCCACTGTTGGCAGAAACCTCGAGACCGTTTCGTGGGCGGTCATACTCTGTCACCGGCTTCGACTTTCAGCACGATCTTCTGCCTCTGAGCGCGAGCGTGAGCGAACCCGAAGACGTGCACTTGGAGTCGAACGAAAAACGATTAGGACTGGTTAATGGTGCGTGTTTTCCTTACAGGAGCTCGGCACGCCGCCTGAAGAAATTGGATCTCTGGAAGGGATTGCCCTCATTGTGGGTCTTCAAATTGGTTCGGGAATCTTGTGAGTCTCTTCAGTTCGCGGGCTCTCTCTTTGTACTTCCGCTAAGTCATCCGGGTAAGTTCTTCGCCTGGAGTGGTATTGGCAAATACCCAGAGTGTCGGGGCGAGTCTGCTGGTCTGGTTCGCCGCCGGAATTCTAGCTTGGACAGGCGCAAGTAGCTTCGCCGAGCTGGGGTCCTCTATACCCGTCAACGGAGGCGCGCAGGCGTATCTCCAATATTCCTACGGACCCCTTGTGTCGTATCTATTCGCATGGACAGCAATATCAGCCCTCAAACCAGGTACGCGAACAAACGTCTTCGGACACACGAGCACCTGTGACCTAACGCGGTTCTCCTGGTGCAGGCGGCAACGCCGTAATAAGCCTAATTTTCTCAGAATACCTTAATCGACTCTTCTGGCACACTACCCGCGCTGATGTATCGCCAGATGATATTCCCCAGTGGGCCATCAAACTCACTGCCGTCGCGGCAGTCTTGGTGGTGTCCATCATCTGCGTGGCTACGCCTACCCTCGGCTCCCGCGCTGCCGTAGTATTCACAACAGTCAAGGTGAGTTCTCCCCAAATATACAGACTTGTCCCAAGACGTTGACGGTCTCTAGATCATCGCTTTGGTGTGTACGAGCTGCCAATTCTCCGGTACAATTCGAATTAACAGCACCATCCACATGAAACAAACAATGGCTAGACCTCCATCACTGTGCTCGGCCTTGTGCAACTGGCCCGCGGAAAGGCTTCTACCTCCTTGACTGAACCACCCTTCGAACAGTCGAGCACTAGTCCATCGGCGTACGCTTTGGCACTCTACTCTAGCTTGTGGGCCTTTGATGGCTGGGACCAGGCCAACTACGTCGGAGGCGAGATGAAGCGCCCCGAGAAGAACATCCCTCGTGCCATTCATTCCAGCATGGCAATGGTCATGGTATGTACCCATGGCACGATAGGTGGACTATGACTTCAGCTTGTTTTAGGCGCTCTTCATCCTCGCGAATATTGCATACTTCGCCGTGCTCGACAAGGTAGGTTGTCTCGATCTGGCACCAGTTCTTTATACTAGGAGCTCATTCGGTTATGTAGAGGACAGTGAGCCTCAGTAACACGGTCGCGCTCGATTTTGGGCGCGCTCTGTTTGGTCCGGTCGGCGGTGCGGTGTTCGCGGCCATGGTGGCGTTCTCGTGCTTCGGCGCGTTGAACGGTAAGGAGGCAGTGTCACGCCGGCAATATGCACATACTCATTCGCTGTCGCACAGGGAGCTCGTTCACGACTGCACGCCTGATATACGTCGCCGGAAAGGAAGGCTACCTTCCTGCGCTCTTCGGTCGCCATAACTCCACGCTCAAGACACCTCTCAACGCGATGTGTTTACAAGCAGGACTCACGATCGCGTTCATTTTGATCGGAGGCGGATTCCGCTCCTTGATCAACTTCGCGGTGGTTGCTTCATGGGCATTCTACTTCTTGACAGTAGGTGGCTTGCAGGATGCCGAGTGCTGCCCGCTCACTGCCATCGATCGGTGTAGGTGCTAGGGCTTGTCATCTTGCGCGTCAAGGAGCCAATGCTAGAAAGACCTTATAAGACATGGATCATTACACCACTGGTCTTTTGCGCGGTGCGTGCTGCGATCGGCCTGTATACTGTTTCATACGACTGATCAGCGTTGCAGGTCTGCCTATTCCTGCTCTGCATGCCTGTCGTTGCTGCGCCGCTCGAGGCTATGGCTGTTCTTGGTAAGCATCGGACTATTAGCTCTGCTTATTCATTCACAACTCACGCTGCCGCTAGCATTCGTACTTGCTGGCATACCTGTGTACTACATTACACAACGACAAGATGGTCAGCCGACAGCTGTTCAAGGTAAATCCTCGCAGGAATCGCGTACGGATTCAGCGGAGCTGATTCAACACGTAGCCTTCTTCTCGAATCTCCTAGCGCGGATACGTGGTAGGCCAGATACGAGTTCCGGGTGGCAAGCTGTTGCGACAGAAGGAGATGAGCAGCTGGAGATGCGGACACCTGCCCGATGACAGTTCCGTCCCACATAGATCCATTACACTTGTTGCACGCATCCAGGGGAGATGTACAAGTTTCTACTTATAGCGAAGACGTTTAGAGTACGCCGCAGTCAAGACCTAGGCCGGCCTATACACATGTCCGAAGTTTCACAGGTGTCTGGATGACTGAAGCAGAGCACTGTGAGACGGTATGCTGACTGAGCGTTGCTGTGAAAGTGTGTCGACTTAGCTACCGCGGACCGCCGGCACTTCCCGTCCGTAGCAGTCTGTCGTGGCCTTTGCGCGATTGGTCACGATGGGCGCGCCTTCGCCGCGATAAATAGGAATAGCACTCGTTGCGTTCCAGTTCCAATCCATCGCCCATCTGCCTGCTAGCCCTCCCTTCCTACACTCGCCTCCGACCCAGACGTATCCCGTATTATCACCGCTTCCCTACAGGAGAACCGCCCCACTTACCGCCATGGTGCGTAGCCGCTCGTCTATTCCTATTCATGATGAGGGGAAGTGGTCTGACGGACAGCGGCTTGACGGCACAGTCTGAGCACACCTACAAGTTCAACGTGAAGGTGATGATGCAACGCCATCAGCATTACAAGAGCGACCGAGGAGAGCTGACCGAGCGAGCGTCCCCCGTCCTTCCCAGATGACCTGCAGCGGCTGCTCAGGTGCCGTTGATCGCGTACTGAAGAAGACCGAAGGTGCGCACAGAACTCTTCTTGGCGACCGTGCCCAGACGCTGCTCGGAGGCTGACCGAGACCTGTTCCATTTGTGCTGGGCGGTACATGCAGGCGTGTCTTCGTACGACATCAGCCTGGAGAAGCAGGAGGTCATCGTGAAGGGGACGATCCCGTACGACGACCTGCACGCGAAGATCGCGAAGACGGGCAAGGAGGTGCGTACTGCTGTGCTCTTCTCTGCGAGGCGGCAGCTGATGGCGGTTCCAGGTCATCTCCGGCACGACTGTCGAGTAAGCGCATGGGAGTTGATTGACTTGGAAGGGTACATCGCATTACTGGAAGCAGTAGACGCGTTCTGTTGTAGAAGATAAACCTGTTCTGATTTGGATTGTACGAGACGTGATGGTATCCTTTGCTTGAGTGTATGGACAGTGCGGCGATGCGTCGTCTACGCTGCGGTCTATGGCAGCCGGCGGAGATGCCAGTTCGACAGTCTAGGTCGACATGCCAGCTTGAATATGGCTCGATGCGCAACAGACCGGGGGCCGCTGCATTTGAGTTGGTGTCGTCGGTGGCGGCTACCTTTAGGCGACGCTTGCGAGCTTGTGGCAGATAATTCCTGAGGCTCGGGATGTTGTGCCGGAGCGGCAGAGATCGCGATTGTAGGAGGTGACGGCACGGATGCTGCTGCGAGTGGCCGGACAGCGGGCTGTCAATGCCGGAGACCGCGCCAACTCGAGAACACCTCCTCGGTCTCTTCTTTCTTCCCCCCCTCCCAGGTCCTATACCCGTTCCAAGACGCTGTATCATGCACCATCTTGCCTCTCCCCACCACACTTACGTACCATAAATTTCGCCCTGCGCGCGACCCGCGATACAGCAACGCACCCTCTCCCACAAGCCGCCTAGAGCACTCCAGATTGTTGCGCGCGGCCTCCGAGCCAAGACTTATTCCCGGTACCTAGACCGCACGACAACGCATTTAGATTTGAGTTCGATATACCTGGACTCTCCCTGTCTCGGTAGTCCTTAAAATCCCTTGGAGGATCGTCCGGTAAGTCCCTTCTAACTTCCCCAAGCCCACACACCCGCACACTCATTTATCGGTTCTGTAACCAGGGCTCTGTCGCCCCATGGCATCCACCGCTTCCTCGCGGCCCGCCAATCCCACCTCTCCTTCCTACTCAGATGACCTCGAGTTCGTAACTGCTTATCTTACCGTCCACGCTCTCAGCGACGCCAGTCATGTGTACGCATATCTGCTTTGGATAGCCCTAGGCTCCCTCCTCCTCTTCTGGTCAACCTTCCATCATCTCCATCTTCGCGGAGGCTATCTGGGCGCCCTCTGGTCCAAATGGGCATTGCGACGGCGAACCTGGAGGAAGAAGCACAGTCTCGCCGTCGCGAAAGCGAAGGGTCAGCCCCATCGACAACCTTACTCCTTCCCCTCCAACGCGCAGATATTCACCGTTTGCCTCGTTGCTATCTGTACTCTTGTGGTCTCTTTCGTCGGCCCTGACAACCTCGCTCCCGGCTCCTACTTGTGGACTTTGAGCAAATATCCTCATGCTACTACCTCCGGCTTTGCCAAGCGCGAGTACACTATGGACCAGTTCATGCAGTTCCAGCCTCAGTACACTATCCCTAAGGCCTGGTGGACCATGGGTGATCGTACTGGTATGATCGCGTTTGCGCTTTTCCCCCTCTGTGTCCTCTTCGCCTTGAAGTCCCCTCCCTTCGCTATACTCTCCATGTCCCTCACCGTCCAGGTGTTCTGCGACAAGCTGATGTTACTCCACAAGTGGACGGCTCTGCTTATTTATCTTCTCACTGTCCTTCATGTCGCTTTCTGGAGCGTACAACTATTCATAGACCATCGTAACGGGAAGATTGCGTATTTCTACGCATGGCAATATGAGAAATTCCTTTTCGCCTGGATCGTAAGTCTGTCTTAACGTCTTGCATGATTAGCTTGTTGATACTCATTGCAATGGTCGTCAGGCATTTGGTTGCATGACCCTGGTCTTCTTGCTTTCCATCGGGCCCTTTAGGAAGAGGCACTATGAGGCGTTCTGGTTCCTACACATCCTCTTCGTCCCCCTCACCATTGTTATGGCCGCATTGCATCATCCTCCGGTATGGTGGTGGTGTTGGGCCGCCTTGGCTCTCTGGGTCGGGGAGCGCACATGGCGGTTTACGTGGTGGCTCTACACAAATGGTTTCGTCGGAGCGAAATCTGCAGCCCCCTCAAGCAAGCTTCGGAAGGCCCAGTCTCAAGACAAGGATCCTGCTCCTGGGCAGCCACCGAAAGTGGAGGGCGGTTATCCCTACCCGCCCACCCTCCCGTCGTCCGCACCAGGACTCGACCAGTATCCCCCAATCGTTCAGCTTCCTGGCGTTGGACTGTCTCTTCCGACGGATTACGTTCCCCCTCCCGGTTTCGCCCACGCGGAACTTCTCCCTGGGCGCACCGTCCGCCTACGCATCGTAACGCCCGGATACCTGACCTGGGCACCTGGCCAGCACTTTCTCATTTCCGTCCTGGCCGTAACACGCTTCACGACGCACCCGTTCACTACGGCGTCCATCTGTGACGAACAGAACCAGTATGACGACGGCCGCGTGCTCGTCTTCATCATCCGGGCGAAGAACGGGTGGACGAAGGACCTCTGGGACACCATCGCGATGATGCACGCGCGGGGGCAGCAGTGTCTACGGGAGGAGCATGTGCCGCGCTGCGAGATGCCGGAGCGCGGGGTGCTGCTGCGCGCATGCGTCGACGGGCCGTTCGGGTCGTCCGCGCGCGCGTCGTGGGGAGAGTACTCGTCGGTGGTGATCGTGGCTGGCGGGTCGGGGGTGAGCTATGCGCTCTCGATCCTGCAGTACATCTGCCTGTGCATGGCCGGGCGCGATGGGCGGTTCCTGGGAGGGAGGAAGGGTGGCTTCGGGCAACCTGGGTATAAGACGAGCCGGGTGCGGTTTCTCTGGCTTATCCGCGAGTTCGGTGAGTGTCCGATCTTGAACATCCATATACCGCTCGGAGAGGTTTCATGGCTAAATGATATGCCGTATGCTCAGGCCATATCCAGTGGTGCGCACCTACTCTTCGGAGATGTCTGGACATGATCTCGCCTTCGGAGCTGCAGATCGACATTTTCGTGACGAACGTCAAGCCTGTGCCGCAGCCGAACCTTGCGACGACGCCCTCCCGTATCTCGTTTGCTCTTCTGCCCCACAAGCAGGAGTTAGAGCCACCGCGGCCCGAATTCGCTCGCCCCAAGTCGATCTCGTCTCTCTCATCGGACGAGAGCGGCGAGGACAGCGACGTTGACCTGAGCTACTACACCGGCTTCGTACAAGACGAGGGCGAGCTTGGGCACGAAGAGCACGTGCTCGACCTGACGAACTTCGAGGGTGACAACGACGCAGCCATGCCCGGGGAGGCTCAGTTCAACCTCTCGATCAAGAACGAGGGCAGATCGCGTCGGTTCCTCTCGCGGAGAGCGTCGACCGCGCTCCAGGCGAAGGAGCAGCTCACGCAACGCGCATCACAGTTGGACTTCGAGGGCCCTAGTCATTCCTCGGTCCAGCTCGTGAGGAAGCCACATCCTATCCCGCCCATCGACACGAGCCTACCGCCTCCTGTCCGTGTTAGCGTGGGCAGCCCAGGGTCGAGAGCGTCTAGCAGCAGCGACTTAGGAACACGGCGCCCCGAGAGCCAGAGTACGGACGGACGACATGACAGCTACTCGAGCCAGACGAGCCTGCGGAAGACGCCGACGAGCGCGGCGCCCCTCGTTGGGGGCAGTATGCAGACCCAGCTGCCCCCGATCCAGACGCGCAACCTCACAGGCGCCCCTGGGCGGAAACGCTTCTCACACCTCTCGACGCTCTCGGAGCGCACGGACCTGCTCCCTACCCCTACTACCTCGGTGACTCCCCGCTCAACGTCGAGGCTGAGCCAGTGGACGGACACGGACAGCTTCGCGGCGCTCGTGCCGCGGGGGGAGGTGGAGAGCGTGCGGGAGCAGCTGCGGCTGAACTTGGACGAGCAGGAGGCGGAGGACGTTGGGATCGTGGCGGAGCATGCGAGGCCGGGGAAGCCGAAGTTGGAGCGGATACTGGCAGACGAGGTCGAGCGGGCGAAGGGCGCGATCGCTGTCGCATGTGAGTGTCCTGTTGTGTCCTTCCTGGAGCGTGGCTCGTTGGGCTGTGAGCTGACTGGAGTGTGGGCGACGACGCAGGTTGTGGTCCGACGTCTCTGGATGCTATGATTCGCAAGATCGTCGCAGCTCAAATCGACCCTCAGAAGGTCAAGCGGGGCGACATGCGAGGCTCGATTGCGCTTTTCTCGGAGGAGTTCTCGTATTGAACGACTTCGTCTTGGACTCTTCGCCTGCTTCATCACTTTCCTTCTGCTCTAGAACTATCATACGCGTTGCGAGGCGTCTTACCATCTCGCCATCGTTCGTAGTTGGACACCTGAACACTTTCACGGATCGCATCTACCATTTGGACGGCTTGTTCTGCATCGTCGTACGTACATTATCACTCGCACAACACAACACTGTATTTCTATCATTGTTATCCTCCGTACTCTGTTTCGATCTGTTAATGGCATCGCTTGACAAAGACTGCATGGAGTTTCACTGGTTCACTGCCGCAACTAGCAGCACAAGTGTCCGGCAAGCCGGGTAGATTCAAACGGGCGTCTCCAAGCGAAGACATCATCGAGAGCGCTCGTGAGTCGACTTGCGCGGAGTCGATGCTGCACCAGTCTCTGCGAAACTGTTCACTCTTGCTAGGCTCCACATCCTAAGGCCTTCGTGCCGCAATTGTACCATAGCACCGCACAGTGTCCGTATACTGTTCCGGAAGATGAGCGCCCCCGCACCGACGCTCATCGTGCCCGAGGGCTTCACGCTTCACAAAGAAAACACGTCCGCGATCCTCCTGCCCGCGTCCAACGACGCGTTCCTGAACCCGGTCCAGGAGTTCAATCGCGACCTGAGCGTTGCGTGCATAAGGACATGGGGAGACCTCATGAACAAGGAGAAGGAGAAGAAGTGGAGGCAGAGTCTGGAGAGGCGCGCGAAGAAGGCGGAGGCGGGGCACAAGGCGAAGAAGGCGAAAAGTGAGTCGCGTGTCTAGTGATACGTCGCGTTTCACAGGTACGAATAAATCTGTTGTATAGCGGAAGAGAATGGGCACGCTTCTGAGCAGCCTGCCGAGGGAGCGGCCGTGCCCCAGGAGACGTCAGAGGGTACGCAGGCTCCTCCAGAGGTGAGCACATGTAGCCCTCTTGTGCCTGCTCTCAATTGATCGAGCTTTGCGTTGAAGTTCCGTCCCCAACGTTTTGTGATTTTGGAAGCGTTGTCCGCGACCGGGCTTCGTTCAATACGCTACGCCAATGAAATCCCCCTCGTGAAGTCTGCCCTCTTGAGCGGTCTTGAAGGAATTCAATGCTGATGCTTGCGCTATGTCTCAGATATGTCATTGCGAATGACTTGTCTCCCGCTGCTGTTGAAGCGATGCGTAGGAACATTGAACTTAACGATATGCATGAAAAGGAGGTATCTCCCTCTGAGAGTTCGTCGGAGAAGGTCGTCAGGCCTGCGAAGGTCAGAGTGAACGAGGGCGATGCGTGGTGAGTGCGTAATATGCTCTAGAAATTACTGAGTAGTGCTCACAGAGTACAGCGCATTGATGTATAATCACCGCGCAGAGCGGAATCGCGTAGACGTCGTTGACCTCGATCCCTATGGGACGGCTGCACCCTTCGTAGATGCCTCCGTACAATGTGTGAATGATGGCGGTAAGTCCTGCAGGTCCTACATGCTTCGGGAATTGACAGCGACTTCGCCTTTTAGGTCTTCTTTGCGTCACTTGCACCGACATGTCCGTGTTAGCCACGACTAACTACCCTGAAAAATGGTACTAGGACCTCATGCAAGCCTATGATGACCCTGACTCTTCTTTCAGCTTCTCCAATTACGGTGGCGCTCCCGTCAAAGCGGAATATTGCCATGAAGCCGTGAGTCGAAATACTCATTCCGCCACACACTGCTAACAACGGTCTGCAGGCACTACGACTCGTCCTCCATACCCTCGCAACCTCCGCTGCGAGATATGGACGCTATATTCAACCGCTGCTATCTTTATCCATTGACTTCTACGTTCGAATTTTTGTCCGTGTCTACTCTTCTCCCATCGACGTAAAAAAGGTCTTCAGGTACGCAGTCCTGCCCGTGATCCACATTGTGTCCTCGCTGCAACTGAAGACTAGCAAGACCGCCATTTACTACGTCTGTACTGGCTGCCAGTCTTTCTATGAGCAGCCGATCGGTCGCATGGTTGAGAACGTGAGTGGCAAGGGCAATGTCAACCTCCACTTCAAAGCGCACACGGGCCCCCCGGTCTCAGAGCGGTGCCCGGAATGCAACTCCGCCCTCCACGTACGTGACGCGTCCTTTTACATTGCAGTCATAGGTCCATAGGTCTACAACGATGACAATACAGGCCGCCGGGCCCATGTGGTCAGGGCCGCTCCACGACCCGGAGTTCGTGGGTAGCGTGCTCGGTCACGTTGAGAGTAACGAGGACAAGTACGGCACATCAGCGAGGATGAAGGGTATGCTCACAGTAGCGAAAGAGGTTAGTCGACTTGAACAGATAAGCACCCATTTTAACGGGTCAGCTAACTTCCGTCCGACATGTAGGAGCTCGATACTCCATTCTACTTCACCCCGTCCAGAGTCTCCAGCCACTTCCATTGCGTGTGTCCGAGCCTGGATGAGACTGCGTGAGTGTCCCGATCGTTCCTTTCCAGCGTACCGGACGTTTCAGGATGGATCGACATCTGACCACTGCTGGCTTGGCAACAGCTCAGCACTCCTGCATGCAGGGTACAAAGTCTCGCGCTCGCACGCTTGCGCAGGGTCGTTGAAGACGACAGCGACCTATGCAGACATTCATGATATCTTCCGTTCCTGGGTCAAGACGCATCCTGTCAGAATGGACAAAATATCGGAGAACTCGCCCGCGCGCCATCTGCTCAGTAAAGAGCCCCGGTACGCATCCCCTCCGCACTTCATCACCATGAGTTCCTCACCATTCCTCTATAGAATCGAAGCCAACTTCAAGCGGCATCCTGACTCCGTCACACCATCCTCCAAGGTGAAGCTGGTTCGGTACCAGCAGAATCCAACACCAAACTGGGGCCCAGGCGCGAAACCCAGCGGTAAACGGAAGAGGAATGATGACGATTGATGGAACAACACAATATGAATACATTCCATAGTCCGACCGTTACAGAGCATATGTTGGGTGTCGTGAAAGAGTACAGATATTGAAATCCCGGGAGGACAAGATGTGCTACTAGATATAAAAATAGGGGCCTCATGTGATGAGAGTATCGAAAGTAACGTCGCGAGTCAGTGCGGCGTGTTGGCAATCCAGGGATGCTTGAGGAGGTCGGCAGCGGAAGGACGGAGCTCGTGATCGAGTTCGAACGTGAGCTCCAGGAAATTAACGGCCTCGGCGGAGATGTCTGGCGGTATAGGGGGCTTCGCCTTAGCGGAGCCAACCTGAGAGACGGCTTCCATCTGGGAGAGGTGCGGCCACGGATGTTCGCCTGTCAACATCTCAACGACCAAGCAGCCGACACTCCAGATATCCGCCTTAAACGTATAAGCCTTCTGCTGCACGACTTCGGGCGCCATCCAGAAGACTGAACCCTGGAGAGAAGCGCGGTGGGCACGGTGGCCCGGGAGTAAGCCTGCCGAGATAGGATCGTGAGCCTTCCGACCGCACGAACTGGACTGGAGATCGACTTACTATCCTCTAGCTTCTTCGATAAACTGAAGTCGGAGATCTTACTAATGCCCTTGTTGTCGACAAGCACGTTAGCCCCTTTAATGTCTCGGTGGATGATATCACGCTCGTGAAGATAGCTGAGGCCGAGCAAGATCTGGCGAACCATATTGCGTACAAGCGGCTCCTCGAACGCGCCCTAGTTGCGCAGGAGAGATGTCACGGAGCCGCCGGGAACGTACTCCAAGAAGATATTGAGATGATCATCGTCGATGCAGGAAGCTGAATCAAGGTGAGCAAGAGCAAATTCGACTACTGGTATTACTCACAATGATATTGCACAATGTTCTCATGGTGGAGATCGCGCAACAGCTCAATCTCCCGCTCGAGCGCGCTGAGCATGGATTTCTTCCGCTCCTCGTTCGGAGCAGAGCCGGTCGGGAGCTCGACTTGTTTCACAGCCATGAGCAGACCTGTCGCCGCATCCATGCCAAGGTACACTTTGCCGAACGACCCAGCACCTATGAGGGCACAAGTGAACGTCTTCTCGCCTGTGTTGCCGTTGACAAGCACTTCATGTCAATCTGGCAATCATGCTGCACGTAATGGAAACGATGCTTACCTGTGGACATGATCGGCTTCCCAGTCTCCTCTTCTTCATGTGTCGCAACCGCTTCGCCTTCTTCTGAGAGACGAGTTGACCGGATAGACGGGGGGTCTAATCGCGAAATAGCACTCTGAGGTGACTTGAGATTGTCTAGCGGCGTTGCGTTGGCCGTGTGTGTCATACGAGTTGTGATCACCTCAAAAAGTCTTGCGAACAGTCGTGAAGGCAGTAAGGAAACGTTGCAGGTCGTCTCAGCAGACAGTAGAGTGTGAAGACAGCCTTGGGGTGTAATTGGGCGCAAACGTACACACGCGAATCGTGATTCGTCTTCAGCCCTTCCTGGCGTAGGCGCGGAGGCAAAACTCGATCACTTCGCCGAGCTTGATGTATGTACCCAACCCATCCCGGCGCAGCAGAGCAAATACGGCGATGTGTCCATTGGACAAGAAAGGAGCGGCGCTTTATGCACGGTGGCTCTCGGGACTACTGCCCTGCCCACGCACGCTGATGTTTCCGTCAGGATGTTCTGGCCGAGAAGCATATCGCCCGAATAGCGTTTCCCTTGAACATACACTCACATACGAGACGTGGCACTAAATCCGACCCAGTTCGAGAGACAAGATCACAGGAAAAGAGTTGCCAATACTGGCACATAAGGAGGTGTCAAGCGAGGGACGTGAATGGGCAGCTCGCCCGCTCCGTACTAACAGGCCTGAATATCCGTCACTCGTGGCAATGCGTCATGAAGATATCATGTAGTCTGCACATTCTCGAGGAGTGCCTGCGCAATCACGGCATGTATGTCCGTGTACCGCTCTTGGCATGCCTCCATACACTAAGAGGCGATAAGCCTTAGCCAGGGGAAATTAAGTCAAGGGGACTCACCTTCATTGCATCCTCAGGTGCCATGGAACCAGACTGCCACACGTTGGTGATAGTTCCAAGAGCTGGCATTCCCGAAAGTATCAGCGTTCCTGAGGAGACTTTCTCTTCCTCTTCCGTTGGGTCAAGCCAGATTTCCTCCCCAACGACGGCCTATATGCGGAATAAGCGGGGAAGCAGGGCAGGCACCTTGAACAGAGCACGCACGGCTGAGCATGACGCTACCAACCCAAGCATTTCAATCCCAGCATCCGCGAGAGCCGCACTGGCAGCTACTGACCCTGACGCAATGCACCCTTCCATGCCGTCGTTCTCGATGACTATAATGAATATGTCTATCGTAGATTTTGGAAGGAGTTCAAGCCGTACTGCCGATACCAAAGCTTGCTGGATCTGGACAGCAACCGACCGGTCTTCTGCGTCCTAGGCCGAGTGTCAAATCAGGGGGAAATACTTGCACGAAGAGGTTGCGCATACGCGTATCGGAACTCTTCGTCGCTTACATGAGAAAGGCGCGAATTTGACTTCGACATTCAATCGGCCCTTCTCATTGTAGACAGTGGTTTTTGATTGTCGTGGGCCGTACCTACAGGACGAGGCGTTCAAGTAGCAGCACCGAAAGGAAATTGGCTCCGAACTCACTCACACCGCGCACGCAATCTTGGTTCTCTCAGTCTCAATATATGCAGATCCGTTCGCTTGATTGATCAGACCAGCCTTCAAGACTTGCGAGGGACACGATAAGAAGTGAGACGCATGCGGACACAACCGCGCAGATGAAAACATACAGATTGGTCGAATGTCGCGCGCTCCCCGCCCTTTCCTAGGCTTGCCCGGCTTCCATCTCGTCTCATCTTCCTCGTCAGAGTCAAATATCGGTTGGAAGCTCTCGTCCGGACCATTGATACGCCTGCGGTCGAAGTTGGCCTGGGCCATGACGAAAGGTGCAAGAAGCAGGTTTGAGGCGCCTACGTGTACCTTGCAATTGGGAGTCTGCTAAAGCGGGCGCTTTGTATACATGCCCCTTGTCCACCGCACCCATCGTCATGAAAGTCTCATTCTCTCTCAAAGGCAAGGCTACGCCCAAACCAGTGGGAGAAGCACCATCACTCAAACGCACTGCCGCGTTTGCTGCTCTTGACGACGATGAACCTGTGGACGCCGCACCGACTGCGACCGGAGGCAAGAGCAAAGTCGCGGCGAACAAGCAGTTCATTGCGCAGAGCGTGGAGATGTCGAAGGCGATGAAGAAGAAACTGGAAGAGGAGAAGAAGGTCGATTCGACTGTATTTGAATATGACGAAGTGTGGGACAAGATGCAGGAGGCGAAGCTACGGCAGAAGGAGGCCAAGGAGGCGGATTCCAAGGAGCGGAAGGTGAGTCCTGTTTGCACTGAGAAGTCGTTGTCTTCTTGCTCTCGAGCGCTGATATATTGAAGACCTTCGCAGCCCAAGTACATTAGTGGGCTACTTTCGTCCGCGGCTACCCGGAGACTCGACCACCTGAGGGCAGAGGAGAAGATGATCCAGCGCGAACGCGAACTCGAGGGAGACGAGTTCAAGGACAAGGAGTCATTCGTCACGCAAGCGTACAAAGATCAGATAGCGGAACTCAGACGAGCGGAAGAGGAAGAGCGGAAACGAGAAGGTATGCTTCGCTCGTGTTATACGTCATGCACACATTTTTATGTATATGACCTAGAGGAAGAAAAGAAGAAGAAGAGCAAGGAAGTCGGGACTGGCATGGCGCACTTCTACCGCAAGCTGCTGGAGGAGTCAGAGCAGCAACATGAGCAAACGGTGGCGGCCGCGGAGTCCAAGCCGAAGATCGGCCCACAAGGAGGGCCCAACCTCACTATCACGAAACCCGTGGACTTCACCCCTAAATCCGACGCCGAGATCGCGCGTATGGCGCGTGAGCAAGGGAAAGAGGTCGAGCTGAACGACGACAACCAGATCGTCGACAAGCGCGAACTTCTCTCTGCTGGCCTGAACCTCTCCGCGCCGAATACCCGGAAATTGGGCCTGCAGCTGTCTGACAAGAACAAGAACGCGCAGGAGCACGTGGAGACGCACCGCGCAGTGGGTACTGCTGCAAGCCGGCGGGAGATCAATGAACGGCGTGCAAGGGAGGTTCAGATGCAGATGGATGAAGAGAAGCAGAGGATGCAGTCGGAGAAGGATCGCCGGGAGGAGGAGGAGAGACAGCGGATCGTGGCGAAGAGAAACGACGAGGAATCGGTGAAGAGCGCGAGGGAACGGTATCTGGAGCGGAAACGACGTCGACTGGAGGAAGCTGCTGCAGGAGGTGAGGCTGGTCAGGCAGAGTCCCAATAGGCCTGTTTTCTTCGATCTGCTTTGTTTTGTATTCTGTTGTATTATGCCCGTCTAATCGCGGATATGGGACCTGGGTTCAGTACCACCACGTGCATCACACGCGAGACAAGGCCTGCAAGAAGGTCGTGGGAATAGGCACAATGCAAGGACCCAGATGCACAACGGGAAACATCAACCCTGAGGCCTGAGGAGAGATAGATATAGGTGATGTGTATCCCTGCAGACGCCGACTTCGCTTCCAGATCAGGGCAGTTCCTCCAGCCGTCATGAGAATGAGCCGCGTGGTCGCGGGAAGCCGTACTTACCATCTTCCAATATCATTACCTGTGCTCAAGTCAGTGAGCAGGATCGTGCGGAGAAGTCTACAGTTCAATGCCTCTACGGTTCAGCAGGTTACAATGTCTTCGATTGCGGGGAGGCGGGCGAACAACTCGTGCAAGGTCTCCAGATCTCCAGCTTACGTCGCCTCAACGGTCAGCAAACTTTGCAAGGACTTGCTGCTTGGGTGCACCGATGTGAGGATGGCAAAGGGGAGGGTATACTATTCATTATATCAGAGATGTCTGTCTACACTACTATCTACAAGGGAAGGTCGCACGTGTTTTACACACAATGTACATGTCTATCCAGCCAGACTAAATATGCCAGGTGGCTCCGATAAACGATAGCAGACAAGCTATACATAGCATAGGTTATGGCCGATGGGTTCGTGAAGTCAGTCTATTAGGGGGCATTGCGGAGACGATCGTATTGAAGGCGAGGAGGACCTGAAGCGAAGAAGGACGCTGTTCGAACTGGCCACAAATCATCGACTTGATGAGAGAATATAATTCAGGGACGTTGTACCCGGTGGTCTATCAAGTCTTCAGTAGCGGTTCGAATCAGATCTGTGACGTGCGACTCTACCTCCATGGTGCGTAACACCAACATACCGAGCCCGTAGACGTCGATCTTGTACGGATCACTGGCTTCGCCTCGTTCCATCTCCGGGGGAGGCTCCGCCATTCGAGTGGGACGTATGCGGGGCTCCTGGATGCCGTCGAAGCGCATGCTGCTTTCGTAGTCTATGCAAGCATAGCGGCCCATAAGGTCTGTGACTATGTTGCATGATGACAGGTCTAAGTGTACGATGTTATGCGCATGCATGAACACGGCGTGCTAGACAGGCAGTGTCAGCGAAGCCTGGCGTTGCGCCGACTTAGTCTCACCTCTATGCAATAGCGTAGGCAGCCGAGGTACTGGCCCAGATTGGTAGGAATGTGTGTGGTCAACTTGGCCGGCCACTCCTCCATGACGATGAATGCCAGCTTGTCTTTGGGAACTTCGATCAGATCCAAGACAGCTGCAAAGCACATGTATCAGAACCTAATCTACCGCACAAACAGACCCTCACTCACGTATGCAGTGGTTCATGGGATGATTCCGCAGTGTTGGACGAGAGAGGTGCCGAATGACATCGTATTCGCGACTATTCAGGTGGACGGCCTTGATCACCACCTTAACACCTGTAGACCTCTCCGTTCCTCGAAAAAGACGGTCGGGCTAGATTCGACGTCCGGATCAACGTCACATTCTATAACGAAATAGAATACGAGGGCAACCCACCAATCCGGCGTCTCTGCACAGCTCATTTTCATCCTGGCTTCGGCAAGCACGTATATACCCGGGGAGATCTTTGGTCACGGTCCGACCTTCGGAAGCTTGGCTGGCCCAATATTGGTGATACCAGTCCTTGACGTCCTTGCAGGTATCCAGACGGAACCCGCGGGAAGCAATCATGTCCTTGTAGGCACACCAGTTCGGCGACACGCGTATGTTCACGGCATCCTCATCGATCGAAGACTCGGAAGCGCAGGACGACGAGTCGTCGCATTCGTCATCGCTGAATGAGAGACGGTGGTGCGGGGATGGACGGGGAGTGCGCGAGGGCGAGCGGGTTGCTGCCATAGGTTATGTACGTACGCGGATGAGTCCAACGATTGAAGAAGTCCGCGACAAGCGAGACGGCCGCGCTCTTATGTCTACATGCTGCGGGGAGACCCTTACCGAAAGGGAACGCGATGCCTCAAAAGGGACGTTAGGCGTGCATCCCGGCCGACCTGGCGGTTATGAGAATGTGAGACGTAGCAAGAGGCCGAGGAGGGTAACGTTGCGTGCACGCCGATACGGAGAGTGCAGGGAGTCTATCAAGAGGAGGCCGAATGGTAGCGCGACCGTCGCGTGAGTACCGGCGCCGGGTGACAGCGCATTGTCAAACACACGAATGATCTACCGGATAGGGCGATGGGGCCTGTGGCCAACGGTGGAATGTGGGTCACGAGGAGGGGCACGTTGATCAAAAAGTGAATGGCGTTGCAGGGAAGAAGACGGTCGCGGCGGAATAAGGTTGTGCTGGCCGAGAATTACCGTGCTCCTCGGGTTGTGGTCCTGCGCGGAGGGTTTCATTGTCGCTGAAGAGGGAAGCTTGTTCACACCCAGCATACGATACCGAGGGATTTGCAGTCTATTAAAGGAAAGGCCTTGGGAGAAACGATAGTAACCATGTTCGACACGGGCGCCGCGGCGGAAACACGTAGCTGCGACGATGCACACAAGATGGCGTTGATTTTCATGAAAGTTCGAGGACGGTCGGTATGGCCAGATACGTTGGCGTCGGGGACGGAAGCAGTTTGACAGAAAGAAATTGGATCAAGGCGCTCGTTTTGGATACACTACCGCATCGCATCAGCCGCGTGGGAACCTCGGCTAGGTTGCACTTTGCCATGTTGAGGATCTAAACGCGCTCGCCCGGCCTAATGGAAGAAGGCACCAAGACCAAGAAAACCATCTTCGTCGGCGGAATCGGCGACGACGTCGACGAGGCTGTCCTCCTCGACAACTTCGCCACCTTCGGTGCGTGCCACGTCTCTCGCTATCGTGCGTCCACGAACTCTCGCTCATGTGGTTGTCCCAGGCGATGTAATCGAAGTACAGCTACCGCCCGCTCCAACTAATCCCTCCCATCCTAATGGTATGCGCGAGCCTCTTCATATGATCAACCATCTGACGTCTCCATGTGGCGTTCAGAAACGAAGCACCGAGGTTTCGCGTTCGTTACGTATGCCTCTCCAGCGGACGCCCAAGACGCCATTGACAATATGGACCTCAACGAGCTCAATGGCCGGGTGCTGAGAGTGAACCTCGCGCGCCCCATGAAGGGCCCGACACAAGCTCCTGGAAACAGAGCAAGTGTGTGTCCACGAGTGTCCTCGGTTGTCGATAATGCTGACTCCACTAATTCGTATAGTCTGGGAGTCTGAGGATTGGCTTCGCCAACATGCCAAGCCGCTATCACAAAGTGGCGGTAGGTGGCATCCAGTCGAAAAGCACACGAACCATACTAACACGTGTCGTAGGTGCCCCCTTACGCGGCCAAGGCAAGGGAGGCTCTGAGGAGCCCGCAGAAGGTCAAGGGGAAGACGAGGCGATGGAGGAATGAAAGGCATTCCGAGACTATGCGGCATCTAGCATGAGGATCATGCGTCGGACTTTTCGAATTTTTGTAGTGCGGCCACAAGCGTGGCGGATTACACTGGTGCTCGCGTGTACTACAAAAGACACACTTTCATATCACGATGATAAGACAACCTCTCGGTGGCCAGGATGCATTAGAAAAAGCTACAAGTACACACAATATAATACACGTGCAAGGGTCAAGCAGTCAGATTACAACCCCGAGCCAGCAGGATGCATATCGGGCTCGTCGAACTGTGCGCGAGCCCGCTTGATGTCTTCCTGCATGAACAACAATTCTTCCATACGTGCCAGCTTCTTGGCATCCGCTGGACGAGACAGCGCGCGACGCAGGTCCTCAATCGATAAACGAGACTTTTTGCCACCTCCTGATGCAGTTTGAACCTGCACCATAAGTTAGCACAAGAGAATGTATTGAGAGCAGGACGATCGGACGTACAACATCCACGATGTACTCGATGAGTATCTCCTCCATGACGTTCACTGTATCGGATGCAGGGTTGCGGTCGTCTCCGAAGCCATACATCAAGTTCCGCACTGAGGAGCGAAGAGATTCAGGTAGGCATTTTGGACGCAGGTAGGAGTGCACGCACGTTCTTTGGTGAACAAACCCCTGTAATTGGATCCCTTCCGCGTACTCCGCCCATACAAAGCCGGATCCCGGTTGTAGGAGGTGAAGGTATACGTCGAAGGGGCGGATGGGCGAGGGGCGATGGAGGTAGCGGCCGTAGGGGTAGCTGTGGCAGGGGTCGATGTAGTGGCCGCTTGTGCTGTTGTCGTGGTCGTGGTTGTCGTCGCGGGTTTTGGAGCAGTCACTGGTGTCTGCTGCTGTTGATGCTGTTGCGGGTAATAGCTATAGCCATGGTAAGGCCAGGCGGCCCCATAGCTAGTCACTGCAGTCGGAGGCGCATAGGTCTGGTATGGCGTGGTCGGATAGGCTCCTGACTGTTGCGGATGAGGTGCATATGTGCCAGGAGTCTGCGGGTGGTATCCAGCGTACGGATATGTCGTGCCAGTGGTAGAGTATGGATAATGCGACATGGCGGTGAAGTGGCTGATGCAGGGAGGAGCAGAGGACGCGTCGCGCGTTACGAGTCCATCGCGTTTGCAAGCGCTTGAGATCCAGTCGTTCGAGATCCAGATCTGTGCAGGTCTCTTCCTCCTCCCCGCCTCTTTCTGGTGCCGCGCTATCAAATCGATACCTGCTAAGCTCACAACAGACCACGCTAGTGCAAAAAGTCCATCAATACTGCTATACCCGTCACGAGCCTTCATCAAGTTCACGATGATTTCATTCGCGTCCTTCCCTTCAACTTCCGAAGCATATGGGAGGTATGGCAACACTAGACATCACCCAGATGTCGAAGACGACGTGCACATGGACCTTGATGAGGACGATTTTGAGGAGAATGTACAAAGATTGACGGTACCGGGAGAGTCCATCACGTCTTCACATGCTTTTATGCGGTATGTCCCCTTCGGCCATTTAGACACCTCTAAGTGCTCATCTCAATCAGAGGTCATGGAACATACGTTGACAACGACGAAGTCATCGCTTCCGTTGCTGGAACTGTGGAGCGCGTGAACAAGCTCATTACTGTGCGCGCGGTACGCAGCAGGTATACCTACTGTACTCTCCTGTAGTCAATTCCTCACTCGTGCGTCCAAGATACAACCCCGAGGTCGGAGACTTAGTGGTCGGGCGAATAACTGAGGCATGTGCGCGTTGAGATCTCTGTGCGCTTTATGCTCAGACATCACAGGTACAACCACGTCGATGGAAGGTGGACGCGAATTCGCGACAAGACGCAGTTCTCATGCTGTCGTCTGTAAACCTCCCCGGAGGTGTTCAGGTATTTGCCGCTTGATTTTTTCCGTCTTCTAAGATGTGCTGAAATTTGCCTCGTGAAGCGCAGGAAACTGGAGAGCGACGAGCTGCAAATGCGCACATTCTTCGAAGAGGGCGACTTGTTAGTCGCTGAGGTGCAGGCTTTCTTCTCTGACGGTGCAATGTCCCTCCACACGCGTTCGCTACGATACGGCAAGGTTTGTCTACCATCACCGGCAGTTGTGGCATGCATATATTCACCCCCCTCCCCTCACCCTCCCCCTTCAGCTTCGGAACGGACAACTGGTAACCGTCCCGCCAATATTGATTCGGAGACTGAAGTCGCACTTTGTCTCTTTACCCTGCGGAGTGGACCTGATTCTCGGGTTAAACGGCTACATTTGGGTCAGCAAGCACGTGAAACAGAGCGAGCAAGAGGGCGAGGAGGGATTTGATGCGGAGGCCGTGTACTCGAACAAGAACGATGTAAGTGGCATGCACGAGTTGTACTACGATCGTCGATGAACGGTGTCGTAGGATATTGACGAGGCCACACGCGCCGCGATATCACGCGTCAGCAATATCATTAAGATACTGGCGGCACACTTCGTCCCGCTGACGGACTCCGTACTATTGGAGGCTTACGAGTGGGCCGTCGAGCAGGAGAGCAGTGTAAAGGACCTCCTCCTTGACGATGTAGGGGAGAACTTGGTAGCGAGTTTGGGTTCAGGCTTGCGGCAATAAACGTTTAACCACAAAATTGTGGTTGTGCATTCAAAGTCGGAGCATACGAATATACGAAAGCATCATACAAAGCACACGACCGGCTCACAAGAGACCAGCGCACAAGGTAGCAGTGTACTAGTGCAAGGTCCTTCAGATTTGTTCAAATTTCTGCCTAGTCAGAATCCGCGTCATCTCCCCTTCCGCCCCTGACTTCAAGATGCCGAGCGTTCTCCATCATCGTCTTGATCTCCTGCCATTGGATGTTGATGATCTGTCGCTCGTCGAGCCAGTCCATGATCGCGTCGGCATCGCTCAGGTCCTCCGGTGGCTGTTTGCCGTTTGCGTAGGCCACCCTCACGAAGCTGCGCTCGTCCTGAGAGGAATTCAACATCTCCACCTCTTCTCGCAATGCGTGGAAGAGGTGGAACTACATGCCAATGGTCAGCTGCACGTACCCGAGATATTCAAGACGAATAGCATACCTCCCAGTGAGTGAACTGGTGGTATGTTCGCGTCCTTTTGGCGCAGAACCGACCCAGGTGGAACTCTTTCTTCGTACAGCAGCCTTCCTCGTCATCAGAATTAGGCTCAACCTCTCCCACCGACTACATGACGGGAATGAGCGATGGAGGCATTATGCAACGAAGTAGAGCCCGACTTACCTCGTAGGTCACAGGATCGTAAGGTTCTCCACTGAGTCTGCCCTGAATAGTGGACTTACGACCACCAAGGTTGCAAGCGTCGCAACCTAGGACGGTGAACTCGAGATGCTGAGTTTCCAAGTTCGGATATGTATCCAAGGCTTTGCGGAACGTCGGTTTCCACGTCGAGCCGGCGACGAGAGAGTCGCGCATTCCGGACAGCTTCCTCCGCGCGATTTTGAGAGGCACGGAGAAATACTGGTCTGTCAGGAGATAAAGTTCTTGTGGGATGCAATGCGTATGGCTGGATGTACATACTCTCTCGGAGCCTGTCTCCGACCTCCGCTCTGTCCTCCGGGTCATGGACGACTATGTGGACGAACATTTGGCAGACGATCTTGAAGTGGTGGAGAAGGTCTTGGTACGTGCCCATGCTGAATTCAGCAGGAAGGTCAATGGCCTGTGCTGAGTCATCTTCTACGATGAATGTGTCCTCCTCTTCCTCCTCAGCCGCTTCATCATGGGAATGGTCAGACCCGTCGTGGGGCTTGGCGCCAGCAAATGGTACCGGATCCTCCTCCTCATCTTCCTCGGACTCTGACTGAACGATCTCCCCTCGCTTTTTGCCTATACGAATTGGACGCTCAGACGGGGCTTGTGAGGCAGAATAGTCGAAGCTTACGTTTGAGCTTCTCCAAGTTCTTCTGAAACGCCGAACGCTTGTCTCGCGTTCTCAAACGTGATTCGATGATTCCTATAGCCAGATCTTACTCGAGGGACAAGTACGCGATCTGCAAGCGACGTACTGTGCTCATCCACTTCGTCCATGAGGTCCACCCCGTCCTCGTCGGGTGTTGGCGGCCTCTCCCCTTTGACCAACTTGCGCTTTTTCGGTGGCCGTACTTCCTCCTCCTCGTCCGAGTCGAGCACGACCACAGTCTTCTTCGCAGCGCGTTTTCCTCTCCGTACGTACACTTCCTCCTCTTCCTCATCGCCTGCCAAGGGTGCCGCAGACATGGAGTCCTCGCTGTGCGCCCTCTTGGCATGCTTCTTTCCCTTTCTCGAGAACGTCGGCCGTGGCGGAAGGCCCCCCTCGTCCTCGCTGTTACTGATCACCACTACCGGGCGCTCGAAGCGGATCGCACCTGCGTCGCTGCTCTGACTCCCGTCCTCGCCATCATCGACAGGTAAACGCGAGGGCCTGATATCTCCTTCGAAGTCGTCGTCCTTCGCCTTCGCCTTCGCCTTCGCCTTCGCCTTCGCCTTGCGTTGACGGGTATTAGGCCGTGCCGGCGAGGATTGGTGTGGGGGCGAGCTGGATAGGAAGGCATCGAGATTTACCTGTCGAGCTCTTGTTTTCTTTGGAGTAGTATTCGCTTGTGCTTTCCGTGGCATTGGACAGGGGTATCTGAGGTAGATTCAGACCTGAGAGGGATATGGATTACCTGATAGCACTGATTCAGGACGCGCGCGCTACAGCTAACGCAGTACGACGCGCTGGTGGCTGTGTTTGCATCACGTGTGTGACTACGCGACGCGGCTGCGCCAGCGACCAGGAGGAGGCCATCGTCGTGAACGTCGTCGGTGAAGTACTCGCCCACTCTCGACCATAGGCGCTACCGAAAACCAGCAGACCGACGGCTTTTTGCTTGCCAAGACATCTCTTATCGGTACACTCCCCTAGTGCTAGAACTCTGTGTCACTGCCATGCTTCTTTGCTAACCGACCTCAACCGGGAAAATCACTTATCCGCAGCATAGCTGCCGACCAAGCAGGCATCTTCGCGCATCATGGCTACTGCTGGTACTCCGACACTCCGTGTGGACACAAGCCAAACAGAGCCGTTCGTGATAGATGGTGGCAGCAGTACCTTCTCTCCCTCCCCGAGCTCTCCTCGCTCACCTTCCTTTCGAACATTCTCCCGAGACCGTGCTCGCAGCATCTCCCAGACCGTGCTACCATCCTTCCGCATTTCTAGTGTGAGTAACGATGCCAACAAGATGAGCGACACAGGCACATCTGGGCAGAAGCATGCCTCCGTGCCCCCTGGCATGAACAGGGCGCGGAATGAGTCTCGCAAGCTCCTCGCGCACATCCTTTCGCAGTTGCAAGGCAGGCCGGTCCCTCCTTCACTCCTCTCTACGCTCGTGCTTGGCTCCGTTACCAATGAGAAGGGCAACGGCTCGGTTATCAAGTCGGTGAAAGGTGCAGTCAAGTACACCGGAACCTTGCCAGCCCGGCGTACCCATCAACCTCTCCCTCAAGACGACATCGATTCGGATGAAGAGGACGTCGAGGCGTTCAGCACCGACATCACTCTTGACCTGATCAACCAGTTAAAAGATGTCTTGGTGCTCTCCATAGCGCATAGCTGGGATATCTTCTATGACAGGTGAGCTCGCAATATGCTCCCTTCCCCTCGTATCACCACCTACTTACCAGTGTTCAGTAATGTCCCACAGACGCAGCGAAGCAATAGTGAGAAAATTAGGGACTCGTTCCGTCGAAGGAGTCTCTCTGTCGGCCGAGGTCCTAGGTCTCGCTCGCCCTCCGTTGGCCGAGGAGAGTCCGACGGTGCCGTTCGGGCCCCGCAACTACTTTCCCAGTGTATATCAATCCTAGCGTCTGTAATTGCGGAAGATTGCCGCTTCAAAATAACTGCACCTCGCCCATCTCGACCACCAAACTCCCTCCAATTCGCCGTGCTCGACGTGGCGAGGTTTTTGCTGCATACTCATCGCCATGATCCACGGGTAATCTCTCAGATCGGGTTCGCTCTCTTGCCGGCCTTTATGACCTTCAGTCCTGAGATGCACACGCGACTCCTCGGTTTTCTTGATGACGGTGTTCTTGGCAATCTGCTGGCCGACTTGAGGAGCTACCAGGGCACTCGGCAGCTGCCCTCCCCCTCTGCAGGTGCGAAATCGTGCCGAATTGTGAGATTCGGCGTAGGGAGCTAAGTTACGAGTATCCGTTAGATTTATCATACGGCGACGCCCCCAGTAATGAACCGCCTATGGTTTCCATTCTCGTGGACGAAGTCAAGGAGGATTCGGCAGCCGCCCACACTGATTCAAACTGGCGACGTTGGTTACGGGCGTTGTCCTCGGAAGACCTCGCCCTTCGGTCTACTTCGGCTCCATTGCAAGACATTGCCATATACCACTTGTCTTCCATCATACCTCCACTTCTCGCATCTGTCCTAGAGCATATAGACCTTACCACTGCCAACTCCTCGACGCTACACAGATTTCATCGCCTTCTCAGCCACATAGCCGAGAGCAAGCCAGATGCTTATCTCGACGCTCTCGCAGTCGTAGCTTACCACACCCCTCGCGCTCGATATGCCGCTATCTCTCTCCTGCTCTCATACTGGCCGCACGCGATTGGGCACCTGACGGTCAGCAAGCCCTTCCCCACCATCAACTACCACGAAGCTGTCGCGCGTGAAACCAGCGGTGTGCTCGTCTCCCGCCGACATCATGCGCACCCCTACTCGCACCAGTTTGTCCCATGGCGCTTCAGAGTGTCCGGCCCAAGTATCTTCTCCGGAGTGTCACAAAACGATTGTCACTCGTGTGCAAATACCATCGAGGGCTTTGGCCTGCTCTGCCCATTGTGTATGTGCATGGTGCACTTCGACTGCTACGACTATCCCGACGGCAGCTTCTTCACGCAGTACGGGGTGGCGGCGGACCCGAGCGTCCAGAAGGTTGCCGTGCACAAGTTCTCACATGTCCTCCCCCAGCGGTATACCTCAGGACCCGAAGTGGTGCACAAGGAGCAGCATGCGTTCAGGCCGGTGAACCTGTTCAGCCTGACGCTGTGCTTCGTCTGCAGGCTGCCGCTCTGGGGACCCGCACTGCAGGCGCTCAAATGCGGGTCGTGCAAGCAGTTTGTCCACTCGTCTTGCTTGACAAGGGCGACCTCAGAGGACCTGCCGAGGTGTCGGTCCGCTGTCATTGACGACACGTACATGACGATCTCATGGAAGGCTTTGCGGCAGTCGTTTGCGGACCACTACCGAGAAGTCTTCCTCACTGAGGCAGATCTGCCCGACCGAACGTACGAGGAACTTTCAGTCTTCCTCGCTGTGCTGTGGATGCAATTGCAGATTCTGACGAACGGGCTGGCGCTCGGGTCTATCGTCGTGAAGCAAGGCAACAAGGCCTCTGAGGATAAGCACTTGGACGAGTTCGAACTGCACTACCTGGTCAATCTTTACGAAGCCTACCTGTCATCGCGTACCCCTCCCGTCTCTCAGGCTTTGTCTGATCACTTTGCCGAGAACCGGCTTCGCCCCGCGGACGCGCATATATTCTTCAACTGGAATGTCTTGACGTTCGTCATTAGCGTCGTGAAGTCACCTCCTTCAAGCGTCGATAGCTCTAACTTCTCCTCGACGGACCTGCTCGCCCCCAGCATGCCTGGACAGGACCGTGGCGATGACAGCGGGTACCCATACGAAGTCGTGACCCTCGCGCATATGCGCGATCAGCTTGGTGACCAGCTCAACCTCCACTCAGAGGCCGCGGCGAAGTACCTCTTGTCCCACCTCCTACACCTTGGCTTCTTCCAGCGTGTAGATGCGCAAGGGGTGCTCTTCGATGGCGGGCCCCACCCAGAGCGTCTGCAGTGTTCGTTCCCCATCCCTATTGGCCTCGAAGTGTCGACGGAGGTCGAAACTTTGGTTGCATCGATCGAGGCGTGTTTGTCGAACATCGACCTGTCCATCAACGAAGCTGGTCTCTTACTCCTATGCCGCAAGGTCTGGCCGGACGGCATGTTGACGGAATATGCGTTGCGACGCTTGTCGAAGGCCGTTTTGTCCTGGATTCTCGCCGAGGTAGGTGACGATGCAGCAAACTGTAAGACGCCTGCTCATGTACGATCAGGATGACGACTTGGCGACGGTTCTTCGCGACTACGTCGCCCGTGGGTTGAGCATACCGGGCGTGCGCTCTGGCGTCGACATTCAGCCATGGCCGAACACCACTCAATCACGACCAACCGCCGCGAGCAGCGCGAACAATGGTGGCGACTACGTCGCAGGACGACGCTCTCTCTCCTCTCGCTACGCTGCTAGGTGGCTCTTGGCTCTGCACGATCAGGATATCGAGGTGTACGCCGTCATGGTCTTCGATCTGTTGGTTGAACTGTCCCAAGAGTTACCAGTCGCCGACGAATTCTTCCTTGGGAAAGGTCGTGACCCCATCGAGAAACGGGAGGCTGCTATTACGGAGAGGATCTTGCACTTGATCCTCAAGCTGAGCCAGGTTTCTGTGCTATACACGGCATTCGACGACTTGTTCCAGAAGTGGCTGGATCGCGCATCGTCCTTGGATGTTGATCAACAGATGGTGAGGCTTTGCTTATTCGTTGATTGAACGTTACTGACGCTTTATGGACATTGCAGCCCATCGCCTCTCTATCGAGGTTATTTAATCGCGAGTTTGACACAGCATCGCAACGACTGAGTGCCTTGGGTGAAGCTCGTCTAAGCATGACAGAGAATCAAAGCCTCATGACAATCAATCCGCTCAAGGTTATTGTCGACATCGCCACGAAGAGCAACGAGGGCTACGATAACACGCTGCACTGGCTTTGCCTGTTCGTTCGATCAGGGATTGAAGTATCCGTGCCGACCTTTATGGAACTTGTCGGGCTTGGGAACCGGTTCGGTATCTCCCTCGAAGTTTGCTCGCTTCTCATCAAGGCGGCCCTGTGGTCGTGTTGGCTTAAGTCCATGGGGCGCCAAGATTTGCAGACAGTGGTAGCGACTATTCACGCAGGCATAGGCGCGCAGCTGGTGATGTATCTTCAAGCGCACCACAGGACAGACGAAGTGTAGGTCACGAAGTAGTTCAATTGCTTCATTCCCCCAACTGATTGCGTTTGCAGAGTGCAGGTCATACGGCAATCACTGGCAACATGCTTGCTACTCTATGGTTGCGACAGGACGTTCCTTATCTCAGCCGGTCTGATCCTTGAAAGCGAGATTCAAGGCTTGCCTTCAAGGAGAAAACTACATGCCCGTGCTTCCACTGTCGCGGACCCCATTATTGTGAATGCTGCCATCGTTGACGCCCTCAAGTCGTATGTCGAAACGGGGCTGCAAGAGGTGTCTTGCGTCGCTGCTAAGTTTCTGGACGCGTTCATGCACCATGCGCCCTTGGTTGAATCCTACGAAGTGGACAACTTCATCCTACGCAACGGATCTGCGCTATGCACTTGGTGAGCGTATGCTGACACCGACGGCTTTGCGTCTTCGCTGAAACAGACGAAGTGTGTGGCATTTCTACTCTGTACAAGCTGCAGAGATATCCACGATACGAACCGGTCTCCTGTTGCGGACACTGGTTGTCGATGCACAACCTCTCCAGACTTTATTGGAGAGTTTGTTCGAGATGCGTGGAAGTTGGGAAGTCCGGTATGTGGTGCGAGCAAATCTCACAACATATGCTCAAATCTCCTGCATGACTAGCTTGCAAGCGGTTGTTCAACTCTTCCGAATAGTCGAGGATGTCACGAGCCCTGCATTCGTGGTCGAGGACCGACAGTGGCGCTCCAGTGTGATTGACGTCTTCCGGTACTTCTTTGCTACAATGTGGGAGGACGAGCGGGTATGTCTGCCACATTTTCTGCCCCATAACAATGCTGAAAGAGTTCGTATAGGAAGAAGTCAGACTCGCGGTAGATACGTGGACGCAAACTCTGCAAACAGCCCATTTTGAAGCTATTACCCTATGCTGGGACGAGGCACTTGCGAAGTCCCCCATACCCGATCGCACGAAGCTGGTCTCATTCCTGAACCAACTCCGGTCGCATTTCCCGCAATGGAGGTGTACGTGATTTTTGTTGCGGTGACGTTTGGCTGAACTCAAAGTTCATTTCTTCCGTAGTGCTCTCCTGGAACGTTTTACTCGAGGCACTGTTGGAGAGCGAGTTCATCCAGCGAAATGGCGATGACGAAGACGGACCCTTGTCCGCCCATTTGGTCAGCGGTCCTCTTCAACTCTGATTCGTCGTCTGACAGTCAATACAGTCCATGTATGGACTCCCTTCCGCATCTCGCAAGACAATGTTAGACGACCCGGACCTACAATCTCTCCAGGTAGGATCTCTGCTGCATCACATGATCCCTCCCCTAACAGAGAAAATGTCTCCCAGAACTCGCTGATATCTCTCGCTCTTCGGATGATTGCGGAGGGTATTCCCATCGAAGTCAGCCAGATGCTCAAGCTGAAGGACCATCTCGCCCGAACACTGGGCTTCGCCGAAGTGTCTATGATCACTATCGGAACCACCAATCATTTCTTCGTTCAGTTCGGCAGTCTAGACGTCATTCCCGAAGAGGCGTATCCCTGCCTCAACGAGCTCATGCTCACATTGGACTCAGCCCAGCCCTACAGTCTTGTCTCATCAAGTATGGGTGGCCGTTATTCTGACGATGAGACCGGCGCAGCCGTCCTCGTGGGATCGATATTCGTCGACCTCTTCTTGGAGACTTTCATCCAATGCGAGAACTTAGAGGCTCTTCCTCCCCTTACATTGAAAAACCTCCTGAAGTCGCTCATTATCGTCATCTATAAGCATGACTTCGACACTAGACCGTTAAAGCTGTTCCAGCCCCAACTGCGGCGAGCTGTCAAGCGTGCGCTGGATCTGCTCTTGGAGGAGCTCAGCTACGACCTACGTCAACTCGTTCTAACTGCGTGTCATGCATTCATCAAGAGGTGGCCACATCTGATCGGCAATTTTGTGTGGTATGTAAACGTCATGAAGTACTGCAATTCTAATCTGATGCATGGGATAGTGACGCGATCGAGTCAACGATAAGTCTCATGGAAAAGACGAACTATCACCAGCCTGGGGATGACATTCTCATCGAGCAAACGAAGTCGTTCCTCCGCACAGTCCTCGGTTTGTGAGTGGTCCCGCCAATCGCTTTCCTGTAGATGGATCTAATTGTCGCTTCAGATATGCGTTCAGTGGAGTCTTCTATCTGCTATGTAAAGTATGATTGGACATCTCGGTGTCTCGGCCCTTGACTCACACGAAGGTGCCTCTCAGCGTCGCCGTACGCCGGAGTTCTTCGCCATCATCAAGAGCATTACTGGCCCGACAGTCAGAGCGGAGCACAACCCTCACCCGCACGAGACGTTGCGAGACGCTATCTTGCGCGACACGCTGACAAGAGCGGTCGAAGGCGATGACGAAGCCTTGCAGATCGTCATCGACAACGTCAATACATACGTGGAAGTTGTCCATCACACAGATTACTCGCTTTCCTTGATGCAGTGTGAGTGCACACTAACCGTTTCGCGAAGACCGTGCTAACCTGCCCTCGGCTAGTTGTCGGCCTCAGCTTAGCTAACTTGACTCGAAAGACCGCGGACATCCATCACGGTCGTTTCGACCCTAGCCCTTTGCTACTGCTAGCATGCAACCTGATTCAGCACAACAAGGCGAACAGTAGAGTAAGACTCGCGCACAAGCAGAATGGACTGTGTCTGACCTTGTTATCAGGATCTTCTGCTCTACCTGGAGACCCTTCTCCGGTCCTCCTTGATCCGCTTCAATGTGTCGGTGGCTAGCTTGCGACGAGTGCTCCATGTCACCACCACTCTCTACCGCAGGGCCGCCGCGAAGGCTGGACAAGCAACCCCGCAGAAAGCCCTTGTGAATCCCATCACCTCCGCCATGTTCGAGATCACAAGGGACAGCTTGAACGTCAAGGCACGCGTGACACACGCGACATTGACTGCCCTGGTTGAGGTATGTTGTTGGCGGCTGGTGCACAACTGTGGAAGAAGTACTGACCCATTGCATGCGTAGGCCTTGACACTCACGCCGGATCGTGGAAGCGCGAAAGTCGCCTTCATCCCATTGGAGTCCCAGCTGACGTTAGCCCACGACGGCTTGGCCTACTTATACCACGAGAGCACGTCCGACGGTTTGATACATTCCGACTTCATCACATCACAAGCTGTTGCGAAGATGATTATGCAGGGCGCCGAGGTTCAACCCTCTTTGCTGACGAATCTTGCGGTATGCGCCAGCCCATTGGAAGCCGTCATTTGCTTACTTACACTTGGGTTTCGTAGAAAAACCCCATTACGGTCAGGGTATGGAACATCCTCTCACTAGCAGCGCTCTCCAGGTCATCCGGGGCGTCTGCGGCGCTGCTCTTCGAACACTTCTCGACGTTCACGCTCGCCTACACCACCTCTCTTCTTCCGTACCAAACCGTGCACATGCTGGACAGCCCGGAGGCCCAGGACCGCGCGCATGCGGATATCAGCACCGCATACGCGTCCATCAAGCTATGGCTTCTGCTCGCACGCAAGGCTGCAAGTGGACACCCGAGCCATGACGCCAGCGGCACCCTGCAGGATGGCGAGGGGTTAGCGGCGAAGATGGTGTGGAACGAGCTGTGGCCGCCGTTCGAGATGGTCGTCGTCGCGTTTGAGGCGGATAGCCGATCTGGCAACGTCTCGCCAGTCGCGTCCAGCATCTGGACTTCTGTTGGGGACTTGTTCCTCTTCGTTCGTCAATCCCGGTCTGTCATCGCTTTGGATACGGCTGTCCCTGCGCGGATATTGGAGCGTCTGAAGGGTGTGGTTCGGGGAGAGTCCAAGGTTCGTCTTCCATTGCCCCGTACTGCGTGAAACTTGCTGACAGTGTTGGCAAGGTCTTGAGAGTGGTAAGGAGCCTGAAGGATGCACCGCCTGACGATTCGTTGGACTACTTCGTTGGCCAGCTGTTAACGGAGATTACCGCTGAAGAAAAGCTGCAGGCTGCAAAGCGTCAGATCAACATGGACAGGGGGAGAAGGGTCGCCAGTTGATACTACGTTCGACTTATTGTATTCCTAGTCACGCATGATAGAACAGACTCCGCTGGTCCCGGGTCTCCATACATTGTACATTACGACGCTTTCTTACGCATTTGTCGTTGCTCGCTCGTTTTACCGTCAACCACTATGCGAACGCCAAGAAAGAGCCCTATGGCTGATATGCCGAGAACCACAATGAAGGAAACGATCCGGAGTGCCCATTCCCTTGCCGGAAACCAGTCATGTATTGGGCTATCCTCGTCGAAGAAGGGCTGAGGTGGAACGTGAGTGAAGCGCCATGTCTGATGCAGAGCTGTGCAACATACCAGCAATAGCGTCCAGAACGTGTAGTACAAGAACGTAACGGCCGCACATAGTAGCATCAAGCTACCACATGCCTTGTCACTCAGCGGCTGCGAACTAGATAAATCTGTAGCCAGAAAGCGCAGTGATAATAGTCTCACCATAGGGGATGTGGATATGTCGAACCATCCGACGCCGGTTGTGGCTGTAGCCAACCGTCACCGAGGTCAAGTGCTCAGTTGGGCGTTGAGTAGAGCGGCTATTTATAGGTGGGAGGACTGCGGGGACACGTCGCGTCGCGCCCGGCTACGTGGTGGCGGACTCCAGCTTGTTTCCCCTCACCTCCTCCAGCCATGCTGCTGCTGCTACCCCTTCTCGCTCTTTTATCTATTCCATTTTGCCTGGCAGCACCCTCCGCTGAGTCCGCGCACGAACAGCTCGTCAAGCTCGCAGCCGCCAACAATGGCCTCATAAAGCTCGACGATAACTTGTACAACCTCTTGACGCACCCGAACCGCAACTGGTCCGCGAGCATCCACTTGACTGCTTTGGACCCGAGGAGGAGATGCGCGCCGTGCAAGTGAGACCGCATGTGTCATATTGCGTTGTGCGAGTATCTGACCGTGTACAGGGAGTTCGACCCTTCCTTCACCGCGGTCGCGAAAGCATGGTCCCAAGTCCCCAAGCCTCAGCGGGATCACCACTTCTTCGCTACGGCGGACTTCGACGATACCATGGCCACCTTCCAAAGGGTATGTGAAACCACAGCGCAGGCTGCCTTGTCAAAGCTTACCGTGCATGGACTAGCTCGGTCTCCAATCCGCCCCAGTAGTCCACATCCACCTCCCGGTAGAGGGCGACCGTCGCCCAGCGAGCGGACGCACCGCTCCCATCGTCTATGATTTCTCCAAGTACGTTGCGTGTACCTTCTCTCATCTCACTCACACATGCTAAACCGCGCACAGCGGCTTTGACGCAGGCCCGCTCGCCGAGCAGCTCTCCGTCTACACCCCCGTGCCCATCCCGTACAAGGCTCCGATCGACTGGGCCAAGTACGGCACCGCCGTTGGTGTCGGGCTCATCATCCTCTCTGGCATTCGCGTCTTCCTGCCCATCCTCCGCTCCCGCTGGGCGTGGGCCGCCGGCACCGTGATCACCTCGCTCGTTATGACCTCCGGCTTCATGTTCGTCCGCATCCGCGGCATGCCCCAAAGCGGCGCGAACGGCCAGTGGATCGCGCCTGGGTACCAGAACCAGTTCGGGCAGGAGGTTCAGGTCGTGTCGTTCATCTGTGCGTCTCGATGCATCGGATGTTTTGGAATGCTAATTACAACGTTCTGGCACTGTCTCAGATGGGTTGCTATCTGCGGCATTCCTCATGCTCACCCTCGTCACACCGTACCAAACGCAGCCCTACCGCCAGCGTGCGCAAATCTACCTTTGGTCTGGGGTCATCCTCGTCATGTTCTCCGTCCTTATATCCCTGTTCCGCGTCAAGAACCGGGGTATGTCTGAGCTGTATTCTCTGCCTTCAAATATGTCGCTCACTCTAGACTATAGGCTATCCATTCAAACTCTTACTGTAGATTCCCAAGTGCATGTAAAAAGCCTTGTTCCGAATATCTACTATCTACTACTGCATGATGATGCGTGAGGACGAATGCGTGTGCCGGAGCAATCACCATCACATCAGAGCTGCCAGTCCGAACCAATGTCAAGATATCGATACAAACGAAGACCAAGAAAGACTATACGAATAAGTTGCAGGGGGGCATCGCGAGCACAAAATGGCATGTATGATATGTATGGGACGGGAGGATACATCTAGGCCGCACCTTCCTGCTGGAAGACGTCGACATACCGATTGCGCACGGCCCGCTTCGCAGCGCCGCCTCTTGCCCTGCCCGCGGGTGGCCCATTTCCTGGCGGAGGAGTACCCGGCGTAGGCATGGGTGAAGGGGGTGCTGAGGGTTGATCGGCAGCATCGTTGGGCACGAGGTTGGACCGGATACGCGTAGGCGGTCTCCGAGGAGGCTCGGAGGACAGGTCGATAGCCCCAGCGGTTGCGGGCCGAGCGGGGGGAGGTCCAGCCGTGAGAGGCGACGGTGGTGGGGGCCCTGCACCGAATGACCTGCCTGGCGACGCGGTCTGTGCACGCGGAGGAGGCGGCGGGGGCGTGGGTTTTGACTCGGTCGCGTTGGACTGCATACCCAGCGTCATTAGTACGAAGCTTGCAGCGGGTGATACGAGAATTACTCACATTCTTGTTGACCCACTTGCCGAGCTCCTTATCGAAGTAGAACGATGACTGCTCCCCAAGGTTGGCCTTGACAGGAGCAGGAGATGAGCTGTCGCGCTTCCACAACCGACTGAGCCAGCCACTGGATGCACTCTGCTTGACTTCGGCTACGCAGTTTCGTGAGCATGTCAGCATGAACAAAACCTGCTACGGACATACCTGGTTTTTGCGATTCAGCCGCCTTAGTTTTCTCTTCTTCCTTGGAAGACACGGCGCCATGAGCAGCGTCGCCGTTCTCGGACGACTTCGGCTTCTTTCTAGACGACGCGTTGCCAAGACCAAGGTCATCGTCATCGTCCCCGAAGCTGTGACGAGGGGCTGAGCTTCCCGTCATTTTGGCTGCTGTCGGTGTCATGGACAACATCGGGTCGTCCATCAACGAAATGAACTCAGAGTTCGAGGTCGAAGAGGACGAGGGCCCGAATGACGATGCAGTGGGCGTGGTCGCGTCCGGCTCAGATGCGCCCCACCACGAGCTCGCGCTGGGAGGTTTTGAGTGATTCGTCGAGGACACGTCACCATGGGAATCGCTGTCTTTAGGCTGATCAAAGCCGCTGGCAGGACTGTATCCATTGCTATAGCCGTAAGGACCCCGTGCCTGTCCGTTGAACGTAGCATCAGCAAAAGTGGCAGCACTCGCGGACGCAACTCGAGCAATCGGGGATCCTCCACGCTGCTGCTGGAAAGGACGTACATAGTCCATAGCGGACGATGACCTATTGATCGGATATGTGGTCCTAGACGGCGGACGGTTGAGCCCCATGGCCGACCCTGTGCGGAAGGGAGGCGCTGGCACAGGCGGCACATCCGACAAATCGGTGACGGACTGATGGGGTGATGGGTAGGCGGATGTCGTAGCAGAGGAAATCGAGCTGTAGTTTGCAAATGGTCCGCTGTACGATTTTTGCTGCTGCTCCAGGCTCTTCGCTTCTTCTGGCCGAGGTGAGTCGGTTTCACCGGCGATGAATTTGGTGAAGCGGCCCTCCAACCAATTCCCGATGCTGTCCAGACTAGGTTTGGCCATTTTGCCTCCTATCCATGACCCGGACTTGTCCAACTGCGGTGCTGCGATGAGACGGTCCGAAAGGATCTTCAGTTGCTCAACAAACGTGATGTTCAGCACAGGCGAGCCACGATTGATGCAGGCCGTGATCGCCTCGCAGTACCTACGAGATGTGAACTTCAGACATCTCCTCACAATTCACGACAGTACAATGACGCACCGGTTAGCGAGCTGTACGTGTCCAATCTCAGCCAGAGACGCCGCACGGATGAGACGGTATGGCTGTAAGTGCGGCAGACCATTGAACGGCTCCTGACCCTTTGCAGGTGTAGCAAGCGACGTCGCGAATTCCAGGATCTCTGAGAAGATGATAGGATCTGGATCCTTGTAGAATGTCGGCGAGAGCGAGGGAGGCGGGCTGCCAAGCAGCGTCAGCCTCGAGCCGCCACCGATAGGAGACGTTTGGGGGGAGAGCAGATAGCTGGTGCGACCGACATTAGCTTATACCGTAAATGCTGGAAACATACGACGGGACGCACCATGCGTGAGCAGCTTCGATCCACTGGTGTACTACCAACTGGTCGCCCAAAGCAGTCAAAGCTTGGGATGATTCTGGTGTCAAGGGGTACGACAGAATCATCGCCGCCGTCTTCGCCCATGAGGCCAACACTTCTTGTGAGATGTTCAGGGTTACCGCGGTTGGGAAGTTGGGCGTCATTGGAGTGATGTTCAGCTGGGGCTGGGGTATTTGCAGCGTGTTGGTCTGACCGTGCTGCAGAAGCGAGCTCGGATGAACTAATTCTTGCACTACATGCAATGTAAGTATTGAACTTCAAGATGGCCTAATGCTACGCACCTGCAGCTGCGCCATTGCCGCCGAACAAGCTGTACGCAACCCTGAGAGGCTCTCTACCGTGCTTGCCATCTTGAGGCTGAGCTGGATCGGCCACTAGCTCGGCACGAATCCACTCCGTGACGACCTCCTTCCAGCATTCCTTGTCAACACTGCTCGCGATCAGCAAAGCGTGCGACCACAGTTTCTCATCCGCGGCATAATGGCAAGCCCCACGACGATCGCCCCGAGCGAGCAGATCGGAGATCTTATCGAGCTGCGAGGCACGTACTGAGGTCGTCGTTACGACGTGATCTGAGGCGTTCGGAAGTGCTGAAGCCAAGGAGAAGCCGGACAAGTGCTCGGTCGAAGTCGCCGGGATTAACCCTGAACCGAGCGAGCCCTCAGATGTAGACGAGACTCCTTCCTGTGGTACCAGAGCAGCGCGAACTACGGCGTCGACTTGTGCACTGTAGACAATGCGTCAACGACTCGGGTCGGAATAGCAGGAGATGACAACTCACTTTCCGCTTAACCGACCATCGTTCTCGACCATGGCCTTCAGCAAGAGGACCAGTATCCGCTTCGCCTCAGCGCGGCTCCTATCTACGGACCCTGGCTTATGGTACCCAAGTCCACCATTGATCTCCTCTGCCCTGTCCTCGAGGTACTTGATCACGCGAGCCTTCTTCGCCTTGAGCGCCTGTGCACCCGTACGAACAAGACTGGCGGTTGGAGAACCAGGATCGGAGTAGAGAGGGCCAGGATATGAGGCAGCAGACGTGTCGAGGACAGACTCAGAAATGACCTTGTGTATGAGGTGGATCTTGATATCCGTAGACTGCCGTGATGAAAGCGCGACGTCGAAGCCAGTGTTCATGTTCGCGCCATGGAAGCATGTCACTAGCTTGCCACCAAACCCGAAGCTGATCACAGGAACGCGAGCAGACGTCCGCCCAAGCGGGTCATTCGTACCCAGCAGCGACGGAGAAGGCGCGTAGTGCGAGTGCGTCTGCGGGGCCAGCGTGACGACTTGCCCTCCAGTGCGGTCGTAGGTCGCGGTAGGAGGTGCACCGTTCGCCGACAACGAAGAAGGCTGCGACGGCAGCACAAAGCTGCCATACGTGTGCTCACTGGACTGCCGGGTAGGGTATCGTGCAGGCGCATATGGGTCCGTAGCCGACGTCGTCGAGTACATTGAACCGTTGGAGGTCTGTCGCCCGTGAGCAGCAGCAGGCTTATCTGCCGGCGCATACGGGTCATACGCGCCTTGCTTGGGGGCGGTCACGGAGCGCACTGAACCAGCGGGAGAAATGGCTCGTTTGAGGTCGTACGCTGTCTGGGGCTCGTAAGCGTTCGACAATGTCGATCTACGTGACTGGCTGGAAAGCGGTCGGCTAATCGGGGAGGCCTTCGTGGCGGAATCGCGTCTGGGAGGCTCATACGCCTTCTGAACCGAATGCACGGAAGACGCTCCTGGTGACTTGGCCCTGTCAGACGTACTCGACTTTGGCGCATATGGATCATACGCTGTAGCCGGGGCCTGGCTGATTGAGGGAGGAACAGTTTGTGGCGGGGATCTCGTTCGTTCGGGAGAGGAGCTCAGCTGAGGTTGGTAAACCGCTTCATTTGGCCAAGCAGACTCAGCAACAGGACGTAAGCCCGCAGAGGTCGGCGGAGAGGATGACATAGCAGGAATTGGCGCAGCGAACTCTCGCGCGGACTGGTAAACTTCGACCTCCTCTACCTCAGGGACTGCGTTACGCAAAGGCGAAGCGACCCGTTCAGCAGGCCCATTCGAACTGGTAGACACTGGACTTCCATATCCCGCAGCATGGATGTCGTGCGCGGGTGCTGAAGGGACCATCGACGGGCTCGCTTCCTGAGGAAGGCCGGTGTAAGCAGAAGGTGCGTAAGTGTCATTCACCTGAGGAAGCCCTTCCTGGGGATGATCACCTCCAGCATGCGCCCCTCCACCGAACGGACCGCCGGCGCCATGCGCGCCGCCGTGGTTAACAGGTGAACCGTACGATGGCTGGTAAGTCATGTGTGCGCTCCCATTCATGGCAGGTGGAGCATATGGACTTGACGTGGCGTGGCGTGGGGGAACTTGCGAAGTAGGGTGGCTGTCCCGCCGTGGTGGTGCAACATGTGCATGAGGCTCAGGAGTCCGGCGAGGAGGAGGGGGTAATGATTGGGGACTTAGTGCGGTCCGGGGCGGCGGAGACACAGGGGGTGGAGAGCTGAACGTCGCCTGTCTTGGGGTGCTCACGGCATGCCTAGCCTTCGGCGGGGGTATAGGCGGGTCGAAGGCATTAGCAGTCTTCGGACGATATTGTGCAACAGAAACTGCAGGTGGCGGAGCGGGAGGTGCAGACGAGACCGGCGCCGGGGGAGGGGGTACCGGAACGGTAGCTGGCGCATATGTGGAGGTGTGAGAGCTGGACCCATACGAATATGTCTGCTGAGGAGGACCTTGTGCGGCAGCGGTGTATGACGGCTGGTAAGGATCATACGTGGGAGCCGAAGTCTTCAGACCCTGAGATGGGACCTGGTAGCTTGACTGAGTTTGTGTGGGTTTATATGGGTCATATGTAGGTGAGGAGTACGTCCCGTTCGTGGTAGCCGGAGTTGCCAAAGGAGTAGTAGAGGGGGCGTATGTTGATGTAACCGTTGGCGTAGTGTATGCCGAAGTGCTCGTATTGCTGCTGTATGCCGAGGCACTCGTCGCCGGTATATACGCGGAAGCCCCTTGGGGGTATGGCGAGTACGCTCGCTGAGAAGCATAGGCGGGCTGTTGCACATATGGTGGTTCATACGCTGGAGGAGCTGGGTAAAGGTATGTAGGGTTGCATGGACGGCAGAAAACTCACCCGGAGCACTCGGTGCGGCCGGCTGGCTGTAAGAACTACTCTGGCCATACTGTCCATACTGAGAGTGGGTCCCGTTGGGCTGAGCGTAGGCAGATTGGGTCTGGTACGCTTGCGAATATCCGCTGGACGCCGTGCTGTCATGACTGGACTGTTGGCCGGCGGGATCGTACCACGTCGGATGCGCGTCCGTTTGGTATGCGCTCGAAGAACCAGCTCCATCGACGGGGAACGCTTCCGTAGCAGAGCCAAACAGGTCAGAGACAGCATCTGAAGCCTGCGTTGTGCCGTTGGGCTCGTCCCGGAGGATGTCTCCACCAAGCGCTCCTGAGAACGGGTCGAACGAGGTATCAGGAGCCCCAAATAGGTCTGCGGCCTCCCCAGCGGTGGACATTGCAGAAACGGCCCAGCCAGTACCCAAGACGACGGGTACGAGAGACTGAAGAAGAGGAGCTGCAACCGCGGGAGGAAATGAAGTGACGATGCAAGCGGCACTGAGACAGAGACTTGGAGACGTATTTGGCTCAGTTTGCTCATCCACGTATATGCCCGCGCCGGGCCGACTACGTCCACCTCATTCTCTCATCGTTAGCGTAATCATGACGGATACCATGCTCGCTATTCACAGCTGCAATGCTCATTCGACGGGACACCACCGACGAGCAGGTTACATGTCAAATGGGTCTACAGTATGCGACGTCAGTGACAGCCCCAAGCACTTCTGGACCCGTCCTCCTTCCGCTTATCCATCTCCCCTTCGACGCCGTCCCCGCGAGATCGTCCCAGCAAATCCCAGACCACCTGAGCATCTGCACGTTCGTCTGCACTCATCATCATAGACACTGTGCTGAAGCGTGGGACACGTGGAAGATTCACCATGTAGGCGCGCACAACCAGAGTCCGCTCTGGCTCCTCCGGCACACCTTCGAGTGCTGATCGAAGACTGCGAAGGATGGCAGCCAGGATGGACGCACTCAGCGACGTTTTGAACAGCATCGGCAGGCGCGTCGCAGGGATTTGCTGAGCGAGTCGCAGTCAGTCTCCCACCCGATGGCTATCACGACATTACACACACGAAGCACGTCCCACCGCTCTTCTTCCGTCTTTAGCTCATCCCATATCCGTGTGAACGCGATGAGTGTCTGAGGAATTTCTCGTTTGGGCGCATTCGCGCTGACGTTAGAAGGGCCGGGAGCATAGAAGAGGCTCGACGGGCCATCAGCCCTAAATATGCCTCCTCTCGGCCGCGTCTCTTCCCGCGCAGCTTTCGCTTCACGGAAGGTCTGAGGCAGTTTTGGCGTGGTAGATGCTCCTGGACCTGGTGACGTCTGTATGGAGGTTGCTGCCGATAGATTTGCAGGGGCTGAGGATGGAGGGGATGGAGACTTGCTGAGAGGCCGAGAAGAAACCGCAGTGAGCAGGCCCCCAACAGAGGACGTATTCGTAGACGTCGATTCGGAGGATTGTATACTGGCTCCCGCGTCAGGCTCAACTATTGTGATGGGGATACGTCGACGCTTAGGAGGTGCTGCGGCTGCTGGAGCTGGCGTCGAGATGTCGATAGGTTTCCTCTGGAACGTCCGCGCATGAGCAGCAACACCAAGAGAAGCGACAAGACACGAACTGCTTTTGGGGCGGCAGAAACGTTTGTGAGGGCCTCTTGTATCTTGGCCAATTCCTGCTTCGCAGCGTTGTTGGAAGGGTCTAATTTCAAAGCCTCCTTGAAGTCTGTAGATTGCCTTCGTGTTCAGCGACTCGCCTACTCGACGGCAAGCAGGCACCACGCACCAGCCTCCGCATCCTTCAGCCTCTGCAGCGCGACCCTAGCCTGTCCTCTCCGGAAGTAGCCCTTCACATTCTTCTTGTCCAGTCGTATGACAGTCTCGCAGTCTCGCTCCGCGTCTTCGTTCCTACAAGGGACACATGAGGATACATCGCAGGCACGCGAGCAGGTGGCTTGCACGTACTTACTTGCCTAGTTTGAGGTACGCGGCGGCTCGGTTCAGCGGGTACGTCGCATTTGACGGATCCGCGATGTATGCAGCGGTGTAGTGGCCGATAGCGGTCGGGAAGTCACCGGCCTTGAAGGCAGCGTTACCCTGCGGACATACGTTCAAGAAGCCGAGCCCGCCGGGTAGGATGGAATTGCGACGTACCTTCTCCTTCTCCTTAAGAGCCACATCAGCCATCGGTACAAGTAGTTTAGACAATATCGATAAAGACTGAGTGGCGCACGCAGAGAGTATTGGCGAGATCTAGGAAGGACCGCGTACCGCAAATTAGGCCTCCGGAAGGTCGCACCGGCGCTCCGAAATACTCGCGTGTTCGTTGTCTTCGATCGAAGCCACCGCATTTCTTCTGTCTTCTGAGGTTAACTCCCGACGGTCGATCAACGCAGAGAGCGCTGCCTCCGAGGATTTGATCCATGTTTCCCGTCCCTCGGCAACGCAACGGTGACGACAAGTATACTTGTATTGCAGATTATACCAGCTATATCTAGCGACGTGTACTGACTACTCCAGTGATGCAGTAATTGACCGAGACGTCCGAGCGAGGGAAAGTGTTCTATCACCAGACGGTAGATGGTAGTGGAGATGCAAGCGCTGCTGCTGTACTAGACGGGTAACTAAATGGCAGGCAAGGTATAGTATCGACGATGCTAAGAGACTTGTGGGGAGCAGGGGATCCACGAATGACAGAGTGAGAGACTATGGACACGGTCCAAATGCAATAATTATCCGACAGACGAAAGGAGTGAAGGCGATTATGTGTATGCTGCAGAGCGACGACGTGCGTAGACAAGATGCGTACGATAGGAGTAGCAGTTGAGAGACAAGATCATGAGAAGTGAGGACACGGAGGCTGAGATGGCGGAAGATGAAAGCGACTAAATCCGTACACTAGCAGTAGAATGCGCGGGAGGACTAGGACTAGATGACGTAGAGCACGACGTTGATATAGTATATGCAAGAGGCGAGTGAGGTGTCCTAAGAGGTAAAATCGGTCGGCCCCTCGACTGGGGTGACTTCACTAGAGGGCGCGTTGGAAGAGAACTTCTCGAGAAGCCGCTCAACTACATGCACTGTGAGCTCGATGTGACGAGCGGATCGAACGAAATTACACTTACTGGCCGAGAGATGCTTGCTGTACGCGCTCGAGTACCTCCTCATGTTGACCAAATGCGGGCGGACCTTGCTGATCAGCTGCTCCTTCTGCTCGCCCTCAGCGACCGTGAGAGCCCGCTGGAGGACGTAGTCTGTTGGAGAAACTTTCGTCAGGTCCACTGACGAGGCACACAGAGCAAGGCGCCACTCACTCCCGAAGGAATCCTTCATGAGGCTCATGAGAGGGCTGGGACCGTCCTGCTGCTTCGGAGTCATGATCTCGTCGATGAGCTGTCGACGGCTGTCCGGGTCCGCAGTGACCAAGGCCTTCTCGCACACGTTCGACGCGAACTTGTGCTTCGCCATGTTGTTCATCTGCCCAGTGAGCTTGGCGATGATCATGGCCCGGTCCTGCGGCGTGCCGTGCTCCAAGACGAACTGAACGACGTAGTTCTGTTTCAAGTGTCAGCGCCGATTCAGGAGAACGAACGGTAAAGGTACACTCACCCCGAACTGGTCAATCATGAGGTTCGAGACATACTTGTGCAGCTCGTCAAGGAGAGGCCTTGTCTGCTCGTCCGGCAAGTACTCGAAGCACCGTTGGAGGACGCGACAGCCATAGGGATGTGTAGAGAGCTCGTAGACGCTGCCACGGAACGCATTCACGAACGCGAGACGTTCTGGGACCACGTGCTCGATGATCTTTTGAATGACCTGTTCACCAAGCGTCAGTTACCGAAACGGACCGCATTGCAACGGACAGCACAGACATGGTTGCCATTCGCATCCTTGACACACCGCAGGACGCTCGGACTGAGCTCTTGAACAAACATGACTTGCTGGTCAGGTCCCACGTACTCAATCGCCTAGACAATGGTGGCGTTAGCCATAAATCAGGATCTCATGCCAACCGACGCACCTTCTGAACCACTCGGCAACCGTACATCTGCAGCGAAAGGCCGAGAACTTGGCCTTCCATCGTGCTCACAAGACGCGCCTTCTGCGCCGCCGTACCATACTCAAACATTTTTTGCACCACCTGCGACGAGGTCAATGACGCCCAACGCCAAACATGTGAGAGACAGACGCACGTAGTTGCCAAAGACGTCCTGCATGAGCTGTACGGCGTACTGCGGCACGATCTCGTCGAACACGATCTCCATCTCCTCGCTCGACGCAGACTCGAGCTTCTGCTGGATGAACCTCGACCCGTGCTGGTCCCCGCTGAACTCGACAATATACCCAAAGATGTCCTAGACCGGTGTCGAGCGTCAGCCTCCCATCGCTGCAGAGATAGAGTTACGCCGATCAAGGCGTTCGAATAGCTACCGACCCGAAGCTCCCATTTGCGTGACTTGTTGGCCCGGAACTCGTCCAGCTGCGCGCTCCGCACCGCCCCATCACCGCGCCGTCCGTGACGCCCGCCGTGCACGAACCCAGGTCCCCCGCCAGGACCGGCGTGTGGGTACATGGCACCGTGCGGGACGCCGCGAGGGAGCTCTGGACTGTAGTGCAGGGGGGCACCGTACGGCGTCGAATGCGGCGACGGCGACGACCGGAGGTTAGCGTACAACATATTTTGCGGTGCCATAGCCTGATGGGACAACCGGCCGTTAGTGTGTCAGATAGCCAAACACGGGACGAGCAGCCGCACCTGGTCGCGACGTTTATCGCCGCCAGCCAATGGGTGTGGTGCGAGCATGGGGGAGTGTGATGGGTGATAGAGTAGCGGTTGGCCTGGGTAGTAATATTGCGAGCCCAATGTGCGCGGGGAGCCAACAAAGTCATAAAATTGCTGGGTGTGGATGTCAGTCATGGCATGAGGATGCAGCGTCTGGGGTCCCAACCCGGGATATACATTAGGAGCGGCTGTCGCGGGTGTAAGAGCTGGTGAGGAGGCGTAGAGTGAGGGATCTGGCGTCGTGCGGTAGGCGTCATACGAGTACGAAGGTCCAGTGTAGTACTGGGCGTATTCTGTCTGCGGATAGCCACCATACGGGCCTCGAAGAGGCTGCTGGTGACCACGCAGTGGGTGTCCAGGACCAACCGCAGCAGGAACCATGCCGGAATGCTGAGGGCCCTGGCGGTAGGCGTTCTGCTGCTGTGAGAGACTATATTCATCCTCCACCGCCATACCACGGAGCGCGACAGACAGGTCGGTGTCGACCAGCGCAGACGTCTGCAGGGAATCATAGTTTGCAACCGGACTAGCATTATGGCCTAAAGGTACCGATACATTAGTCTACAGCGCGTATCTCGGCGCTCAGATAGCATACGCACCATGAGCGTTGTATTGCTGTGTGGAGATTTGGCCTTGCTTGGCCACACCGGGTGATGTTGCTGGCAGGCCGGCGGACTGAGCGGAAACCTGTCGTGATCTCGCCTGCGGGGTGACGCGATATCAGTACTGGGCTCCGAGGCACGCACATGCGACAGGTAGTGGACGCAGGCACAACCCCCACGCACCAAACTTGACAAGTCCTTCTGCTGCTGTGCATCCGTCATCTCGTCCCAAGTGCCGCTCACAGACCGGGACCCCCAACCCTCACTCAAATTTGAGCGATATCCCGCATCGGCGTGAGACGCGGACGACTCTGGGATGCTCGTGGCTGAGGAACTGGAAGGATGTCTTGACGGTGTCGCGCCTCCCCAAACCTGAGCGCGCATTAGGGCACGAGGACGCTGGCTCCAGCTATGTAGCGGATACTCACCTGCCAGCCTGGGTTCAGAGTCTTGAGCCCACTGGAAGGAGCTACAGCTACACCGAACATGTTTGCGGAGCCTCTCCTTTGCGAATGGATCTAATAAATAAGTTAAGCCTTCGGGGAGCAGGGGTGACGGTGACGGCAAAACGAACAGGGTTCGAGGAATCAGAAGGAGAATGTCCACGGGATTGCGAAGAAGGGCCAGAAGGGTTACGGGATGCTTCGTGATTAGTTGGTGACATAGCAGGTCCGAATCCTGGGTGGGGTGCCCAAGTTTATATGGGGGAGCGAGAAGCGAAGCGGTGACTCACATACGAAAGGCTACAATATACGGGCTCTACGCGATGACCCAAGACGCGTTTAGTTCAAAAAGCTAGAAAGCAGGCAATCAGGACAACATGATAGACGAAGAAGCAAAGGAGGCCCAAAGAGAGGATGGGACGCGCAGGACATCCGGGCTCGCAGGGAGAAAGCGCATGGAAACGCGTCCGATCGCTGCAGGCACGACGTCACTGGCGGCGGCCGTTGGACTGGAAGCACTCACGAGTACTGTAAGCAGGAACGGTGGGGCGTCGGGGATGGGGACGAGGGGTCGGAGCCTCTGCAGGTTGGCAGGACGCGAACCTCGTGGAGGGGAGGGGAGGCGCGAGGGCGGAGGCGAGTCCGTCGCGTCGAAAGGTGGGCAAAAATGGGGAAAATAATGGTGGATTGACATGTTCCTAATTTGATTCCGCTAAAACTCGGGCTCGAAGCGCGTTGCGACTTGCGCGTCGGGGGATTGGACACGTGTAACGCTCTCCGCAACAGGCCGCCTGTCCGCCACCCTGCCGAACCATCTCGCTTGCCTTTCCCGGCCACTGCAGGGATCCACCTGCCATCTTCGGCCCCAGCGCCGTCTCAGGCCTGCTTCCATCAAGGCGCCCGCACGCGACCCTGACGGAGGACAGCGTCCGCTCCCACGCCCATCCTCCCGCCTCGAACCACCCGCCCGAGCACCAGCGAGCTCTCGGAGCGGGAGCGCGTCGTCCATACAGCTTGTAAATTGTCGCCTATCGCCAGACCCTGACCCGTACCCTGTCGGCCGCTGTAGGTCCGCGTAAGTCCATTCATTGGCGGTGCTTCTCGCTCTCCCGCTTCGCGGATGCATCTTCAACAACATCCTCCGGACTTGCGGCATCATCGCGCCCCGCCCTCCGCAGCTCCCCCTGTCCAACATCACCCCAGAAGTTTTTGCCGTCGACGCACTCGGGCCGCCCTCCGATCTGACGTCTACGAACAGGCAGCCCTTTCCGACGTCCTGCATTACGGACCAAACGATGGTGAAGTAGATGAGGTTTATAACATACAAACTGTGCAAGACGGCTAGACGTGATGATGTACGTGACGAGTGCAGAGGCGAGTGAAGGCAGTGAGTGTCTATCGTGCATTGAAGTTGAACCACGATTGCCGCTTGGCTGCAAGACAAAGCGACGTGGTCAGCACGAGGTTCGCGCGTGTTGGCACCAACAATGCAGAGACACGTACCGGTGCTATCGGTGAAAGGGAGCGAAGGCCCGAAAACGTAAGGCAAAAGACGTACGTCGTCAGCAGACACGCAGGCATGGTAGCCGTGAAACAAGGCACGCACCCAGAGTCCTCGGCCTGCACTCTTGCCAAAGGGTTCGCCATGCTCGGGGACGCCGGCCCCGTGCTCGTGATAGCGGCGGCGTTGCCTCCGCCGCCCCGCAACGGCTTGGCGATCCGGCCAAAGCTTAACGGCGACGACGAGGCGGCTTTCTGAGCTAAACGGCGGGATTTGGATCAGCCCAATACAACGGTAAGCACCAATTTATGATCGCTTACCCCGCGCCTGGTCGAGCCGCTCCTTCACCGCCTGTAACTGAGCCTCGAATTTCTGGTTCTGCACCGCCAACCGACGGTCGGCATCCTGCAGGAGCGCCTCGAGGTTCTGTATCCGTTCGTTGCGTGCAAGGAGCTTCCGTTCAGCGATGCCCGCCTCCTTCTTGAGCGCTGAGTTCTGATCGACGAGCTGACGAAGGGATATGGCAACCGTCTGTTAGCAACGACGACGAAAAGGCCAGGCGCTGATTCGAAGCATCTCAAACGCACCTGCTTCTGGACAATGGTGAGCTGCTCTAGATTGCGTTCCAAGAAGGCCATCTTCTTCTGCTGCGCTTTGCTGTTGCTGTTGCGGATGACGTTGTTGTACTGCTCCTTGATCTCGTCCAACTGGATCTCAAGCTCGACGACCTAAAAGTATAACGCGCGTGATTCATGAGCCAAATGACGAGCGCATCGCAGTTGAAGATAGCCTATTACCTTCTCGCATCGGTTCTGGAGGTCGCGCATGAGCGACTTCTTGACACCATCGAACTCGGCAAGCTGCACGCTGATCGCCTTCCGGGTGCGCTCTAAGTCCTGCGCGCTCTCTGCCAGGTTCTTGCCGCCCTCGATACCAGCCGAGGTGACAGCAAAGGCACGCTATGTGGCGGCACAATGTATCAGTCTTGCACGGCACCTGCCGTACGTCGAGAAACCAGCGGGAATGTTACGTACCTTGAGCTCCTCGTTGACGCTCTTCAGGCTATCGATCGTTGCGTTGAGAGTGCGGATCTCGTTGCCCCTGATCTCGAGCTGTTGCTTGAGATCCTGGACTTCGCCGGCGTGAGCGTCACGCTTCGCAGCGTACTGCGCCTCGAGCTTGTTCTGTAGGCAAAATGTCAAAAAAAGGGATGGCGCAGCATAGCGCCGGTAAACTCGCCTTGAGCTCGGCCATGGACTCGGCAACGTCCACATTGCTGACCTCCTCATCGTGGATGGTCTTCTCTGAAAAATTAAGAACAAACGGGGTTAGAAGACACCGATGCCGTACGCAGGACCGAACACGAACCGAGCAGCTCCTCATACTCGGCCTCGAGGGATGCGATGCGTGACTCAAGCTCGTCACGCCTCCGCTGGTGCATCTCGTTCTCTTCCTGCACCTGCCGGAGCCGGTCGACGGTCTCGCGGATGAGGCCCTGGGTGTCGCCCAAGCGCCGCCTGAGGGAGACAATGTCCTCGTGGGTGAGAGTGGCGACGGCCGCGTCCGAGTCGATGGCATCGAGCTTGGCGAGGATCTGGCGCAGCTGCTCGTCCTTCTCGGAGAAGGAACCTTGCTATATACGCCATAGGGCGTAGAGGAACACAGATCAGACGCTCGTGCCGCCGCGGGCCCGAATAGAACTTACAGCATCGAATTTGGCCATCATGAGCGCCATCTTCTCCTGCTTGCGCTTCTCCTTGTCCTCCGCTGACGCATCCTTCTGGGCAGCTTTGAGGTCCGCGATGGTCTTCTTGAGCTCCTCGAGCTCGCCCTTCGCGTCCTGGTTCTGCTCCTTGAGGATGTCGATCGTGATGATGCTCTCCTTGTTGTCGTAGTTGAGCCTCTCGACCTGCAGACGGAGTTCGTTCAGCTGGCCTGACATCGACTTGTTCTCCGCCGAGAGCGACGTCTCCTGCTCCTTGAGGAATGTGAGCTCCTCCTTGAGCTCCGACACCAGCTTCTCTGCCGCTTTGAGCGCGGACTCCCTTTCCGCGAGCTGATCGCTCAACTCGTTCTCGCGCTTCAAGAAGTCCTCGCGCTCGTCCTTGTCCAAACCAACAACTGTGGGCGTCTGTGGACGGCTGTCCAAATCGCTCCGGAGATCCTGGAGCAAAGGGTTGACAGGTGTCTGGCTCCGAGTCGCAGACGGTGTCGGGGAAGCAGTCGCTGACTTCTTGGGGGCGGCGGACGCCGGGGCACCAGCCTTCTCGGGGGAAGCCCAGTCCGCCTGGTCGACCTGTCCACCAGACCGCCAGATGGCGAGCTCGGCTTCCAGAGCAGCAATGTACTTCTGATACGAAGAGTTGGCGGCATTCGCCTTGGACAGAAGAGCTTTGAGCTCGAAGGGTGAGAGCTCCGCGTTGACGCGGGCGGTGTTCTTGATGGACTTTGCACGGATACCGAAGCGCAGGGTGGAGAGGGTTTCAGCCTCGTTGTAGGATGAGGGAGAGCAGTTGATGATGAGAGTCGTTCGTGAATTACCACCGAGTGACTCTTGCAGGATACGGGTGAGCTTGGAGTCGCGGTATGGGATATGTTTAGCCTGAAAAGTAAGAGTACTTGGGTCGGTTGCCTCTTTAGACTCCAGATGGAGGGAAGACCAACCTTGCCATCCGTCAGGGCGTTGATGACCATACCGAGAGCCGACAGAGACTTGTTGATCTTCTTGGCTTCCTCCAGAGTCTGACCGGATGCTCCGGTCTTGCCAACCTTCTCAGAACCAGCAAGATCGACAAGGTACAGGTTACCAGTCTTCTGTGCACCGGTCTCGGTGTTCTTCTGGTTGATTGTAATGAGGAAGATGGAATGTGATCGAGACGACTCCGCGTTCATGTCTGTTCACAAATGGCTCGTCGGACGATGCATGAGATTGATGGGGGACATGCTCACTAGTGTAGGAAACAACACGAGCTGCACCTCCTTGCCTCATGATCTCGTACACTTCCTGCGCACTGCTCACGTAGAAGTCGGAGAGACCCTTCACGTACACGCCCTTCGACTTCTCTTCGTGAACCTGCAGGTTGTCATTCTGGGCTGTAAACCGATACGACCGGATCGTTATACGCATCTCATCGTGTCCAATGACGTTAGCACGACTCACGAGCAAGCAAGTCCCTAATCCGCTCTAGGTATATTTCCATGTACGAGACCTTCACGAGGTATTCTAGATGCGCATCTGATTCCACGATAGACTGGAATATTTGCTCGGTTATACGGGGTATCAATCCTTTGAGCTCAGGGTTATCTATGTCGGCACCCTGTGTGGCGTACGTTAGCGCATGCAGGGAACGAAACGAGGCCGTGTGCTGCGTACCATCATGGTGAATGTCTTTCCGCTACCAGTCTGACCATACGCAAAGATCGTGCCGTTATAGCCATCAAGAACATCTGTGAAACGCAAGGCGTGAGCCTGAAAGATTTCCGGAGGAACGGAGTATTAGGTGTGCTTGAGGCTTCAGCATCGAGGACGTCCGCGTTGAGGACACCGCGGGAGCGAAGGAACTATGTACGAATGCACATTGATGATGAGGGGACACCACTTACCCTTTACGATACTGGAACGAGGTCAACGTCTGAAGCTCCGATCAGAAAAGAGCACTCACTCCTTGACTCCGTAATCGAAGACCTCGTGCTGCTTGGTCCCTGGAGGGAACACGCGGTCGAACGTAAAACCATCTTTCTCCGGGCCCGAGCTCAATTGTGCGGATCGCACTTGGACGGTTTGTAGATTATCATCGAAGGAGACTACGATCTCTCCGCCCTCCCGCTGCTCGATAGCGTTCGTCGGCCGGAATCTGAAAGCATCATACAGGAATAATTATCGGGGTTGCACAAGACCAGAGGGAGATCACATACCGACAGACGACCTTGATGTTCGTAGACATGGCAGGTCGTAGATGGTGCTCAATGAGACGCGACGAAAGGAGAGTCGGATATTGCTTCAAGCTTCGTTACGGCCTGATCGCCGAGGTATATGAAGCGCGCCCAATCGAGGCGGGGTGTCTAGAGACAAGAAAGAAGGGATGAAGGAGGGTAGCAGAAGATGGTAGCGAGACTCTTGAGGCCTGTTGGCGGAGAGCAGGTCGAAAGCAGGTCAAGCAGACATGGTCGAGCTATGTATTTGCGGCTGTTGTCAAGCACGCGCCAGCTTCGCGCACGCGTCCCCAATTGGCGCCCCATATATGCAAAGTCAGTGTCTCAGCGGAGGTAGCATTCGACATCCGATTTTGTGAAGGCATCTCTGACATTGCAAGTACTTTAGAATACACAGGTAACATGTTGTACAGCCAGTCTAGAACGGTCCAGGTGCGATAGCAGAGGCATACAATACGTACGGCGGCGGAAGGGAGATTTGTGGCAAAGGATACAAGGACGAATCAGTCGTCGCTGTCTACAGATGGTGCTCGGGGAGCCCTGCTTGAGGAAGCAACGGTCCTGCGTGATGAAGTCGCAGCAGCGTCCTTTTCTGCAGCATCGGCAGCGTCAATCCACTCTGAGTAAATGTCGATCGGTTCCGTAAGGTCTGTTCAAGAAACGGTTAGTCCCTAACTGGAAGTTGATGGGCGAAGCGACGCACGATTGGCTTTGCTCTGATATCTCTGGTCGCATATTTTGCACAGAAGCTGCGCAACACCCTCCTTCCTGTTGATTCGAACGGAGACAGACTTGTCATGGTGGCAGAACAAGCAAGTGAAGTTGGTCTCTGTATACATCGTAAGCGTCATCCTGAACTGCTTATACTGCTGCACAAACCCAACGGATCCTTCCGCCGCGCTGGGGCTGGTTTGCGAGAAGACTTTTTGCGTTTGCCCATGGTGGCGGAGGAAGGCGAGAGTTGAACAGGCTACAGAGAGCCTGCGAGGCATTACTGCACAAGCGCCTGCGGTAGGAGGATTCCCACGGAGCGATCACGTGGCATACGCGACGCGCGCGAGGTTGAGTTCGCCGACGAGCGACCTGCGCCTCCTCCCGACTACCGTCGCTCCCCCGTTCCCCATGGCCTCCCGTCGCCCCCCGTCCCGCATGCGGACGAACACTGCCTCGTCTATGCCCCCACCTCAGACGACACACATTAGACCCCGTTCTGCGCTACAGAGGTCTGACTCCTCTCAGCGATCTACAACCACACCCGTCGACAACACCCGTGAAGTAGGCTCTTCGAATGCCACTAGGGGCGCTGTGTCTGTCCAACCGAAACCCGCGCCTGGAGATACGGAGGGGAATATTCGAGTTGTTATACGCTGTCGTCGCCGCTCGGAGCGCGAGATTCAGGACAACTCTCCGATTATCGTCACTACAAATGGTCCCAAGGGTGAAGACATCACCGTCGAGGCATCTGTCCCTACCTCTACCTTTGGCGTCGTTGCGCTTCCCACGACGCGGACATATCCGTTTGACATGGTATTCGGACCAGAAGCTGATCAGGCCACCGTCTATAACGATGTTGTGCACCCCATGCTCGAGGAAGTCCTCTTGGGGTACAACTGCACTCTGTTCGCATACGGACAGACCGGAACAGGGAAAACGTAAGTTCATGGTAATATGTGCTGCGGTGCTCCTCCTTACATTGGCGAACAGACATACTATGCAGGGCGACCTTACCACCACTCCGCTCGGCAATCCTTCTCAACAAGCCGGAATGATCCCCCGTGTTCTCTTCAAGCTCTTCCAACATCTGGAAGCGACTTGCACAGACTTCAGCGTGAAGATCTCGTTTGTAGAGCTGTATAACGAAGAATTGCGCGACCTCCTCGCTCCGGAACTTCAGGCTCCGTCCGGGTCGAATCAGCCCATGGGGATGGGCGTCCAGAAGGACACCTCTCAACAAGTAAATCTTAAGTTGTTCGATGACTCCAAAAAGGGAGGAGTAATTATCCAGGGCTTAGAGGAGACCCCCGTCCGGACCGTCACGGATGCCCTTGCCCTTCTAACGAAGGGTAGCCACCGAAGACAGATTGCAGCGACCAAATTCAACGATCACTCAAGTCGATCCCACTCCGTCTTTTCCATAACCATTCACACCACCGCGGCTTCCACCACCGGCGACGGTCTCCTCCGCGTCGGGAAGCTCAACCTCGTCGATCTCGCCGGTTCCGAGAATATCGGCCGTTCCGGTGCAGAGAACAAGCGTGCGAGGGAAGCTGGTATGATCAACCAGAGTCTCCTCACGCTTGGTCGAGTCATCAACGCTCTCGTTGATAATTCTCCCCACGTACCGTATCGGTAAGTCGGTGCACCCCCGTTTACTTGCCGTACACTGATTCTCTTCAGTGAATCGAAGCTCACTCGCCTCCTCCAAGACTCCCTGGGAGGTCGTACCAAGACTTGCATCATTGCAACCGTTTCGCCCGCCCGCTCGAACATGGAAGAGACCCTCTCGACGCTCGACTACGCTATCCGCGCCAAGTCAATCAAGAACCGGCCCGAGGTGAACCAGCAGATGACGCGCAACGCCCTCATCAAGGACTATGTCGCCGAGATCACGCGCCTGCACGCGGATCTCCGCGCCGTCCGCGAGAAGAGCGGGATCATCATCTCGGAGGAGAGCTGGGCGAAGATGACGGCCGAACAGGAGCTCAAGGAGACAGAGCGCCTTGAGGCGGTCAAGCAGGTCGAGATTCTCGAGGGGCAGATGAAGGCCGTCAGGGAGGAGTTCGAGGAGGCGATGACGTTGCTGGCGAGGACGGACGAGGAGCTACGGGAAACGAAGGTTAGACTTGAGGGCACGACGACGGAGCTTGTGGGGACGAAGCAGCAGCTGGCCGCCGTAGAGGGCGCGCTAGAAGAGGAAATCTATGTTCGCCAGGTGCACCAGACGAGCGAGGAGACGCTGCATGGTATTGTCGAGGAGTGGAAAGACATCGCTCGCGAGTACGAGGGCGATGTTACCGGCCTGTTCAGCAAACTCGGTAGGTCGACAGTGGTTCGTCTCGAAGTGTTGGATCGTCTGATCCGGTTGTCATCCAGACCGCAAGACCGCAGCGTTAGGCGCAAACGTGAAGGCTGTCGGCATCCACAGCAAAACGCTTGCGAACGAGTCCCAGACGATGTCATCGAAGGTCGACACCTTCATGAAGGCCGCCACTCAACACCTCAACAAGGTCAAGACCGAGACCGAGCAATTTCAGAACAAGGAGATCGAGGCTCTCTCAGTCATCTCTAACCGCATCAAGGAGCAGCTCGAGAAGGTTCAGGAATCGCTCAAACTTATTCAAGCCAAGGAGGAGACTTCCAAGGAGACCATCGACGCCATGAAGACTACTATCACCGAGGCTCAGGAAACGATGAAGACTGGCTTCACTGCGTACGCTGAGGAGCTCCGTCAGCATTGCGAGTTCATCTGTCAGGAAGCCGAGACGTCCAGTCTGGCTAGCTGTAGTGTCGTAAGCCCTGCTGCCCTCCATGAAGTTGCAAACCACTGACACTGCCTTAGGTCGAGAAAACCTTTCAGGAGCTTGGCACTCTCACAGAGGCCATCAAGCAGGAAGCCCTCGAATTCATCGCGACGGAGCGTAAGGCACTCCAAGAGGCGAAAGCGTTAGCGGACAACACGACAAATACTGAGATCCTCAGGCTCAAACAGCAAAACGTGCTTCTGACCCGCCTGCTTGAGACCGAGCGAGTCGAGGCGAAGCGCTCCGCCGACGCATTGTTGGAACGCATCGCCGGCCTCCTCGGTGATTACACGAACGAACGTGACCGCAGTCTTCGCGAGACGTTCTCCGAGATGACGGGCAGCAACACCACGGCGGAGTACGAGATGCAGCAGCTGGGTCAGAGGCAGGGTCAGCAGCTCGACGCTGCTGTTGCCCGCGGAAGCCAATGGAGCGAGCATCTTACTAAACGGGGTGTCGAGGGCAAGAGGTTGCGGGATGGTGGCATCAAGGTATGCAAATTTCAAATGTCAACTCGGGATGTTCGCTGACATTGTGGGCAGTCCGTCAATGCTGCCAAGCAGTCAATTCGCGATGGGCTCGCAGAGGTACAGGAAGCCATCTCATCATCGACAAGCGAGTTCGCCCAGGATGTGCAACGTATCATCCAAGGCTCAAACACGACGCTCACGCAGGGTATGCATATATCTACGCCTGATGTCGTGAGATGTGTATTGATAGCTTCTGATTTGTAGCATTCGACCGCGAGCACCGCGCGAAACGTGCACGCATTGAAGCGACGGATGGTCTCGTCACAGAGGCGCAATCAGGCTATCGTTACATGCAACGCGGTCTTGCGTCCACATCGAGATCTATTGAAGGTTCGACAAACCGCATACTCTCAGAGATGTCGGGTATGGAGATGGCAGTTGATGCTCTCAACGTTGCTGCCTCGACAACACTCGGTAATATTCGTCGTACAACCCAGAGTCTCGCAGAAGAGGGCACAAGAGAAGACAAACCCACAGGCTCGACCCCGCGTAAGCGTGGCCGGAGGGTCGTCGAGGATTTCCCGCCCACAGAGAGTAGAGACGTCCTCGTCCGCCGTTTCAGGGCGAGAGGCGTATCCTCCGTAGGCAGCGAGACTTTCCTTGCTGAGCACCTACCCTTGCCTGACGGCGGGGAAGCCCAGTCGCCAACGTTAGACGGTATGGTTATTGACTCTCCTGTAGACGGAGCTGTCTCGGACGAAGAGAACCGCTTTGAGGCCACCCCCACAAACTCTCCACCTCCACTTGTCAAATCCTTAGCGTCATCCTCTTCATCATCCACGTCCGCATCGACAACTGCATCGATCCCTGTTCCTGCCATCCCCTCCATACCTGTACTCAAACAGCCGACAAAGCTTGGTACCCTTACAGAGCGGTCAACCAATGTCGGCGTACGCACACGACCGCAGCGCTCCAGGCGGACCGTCGCACCGCGATAGGGCCTTCATCGTATATCTACTACAGAATTTTCTAGCATCGCTGCCCCAGACCGCACACGACTTTTTCTTCAATTTGCCTGTAACTTTATTCATACTTCTTCGCTCTGCTGTCGCTGTCGTTTGTATTGTATCCCGTACCATAGCGATACCGGAATCGTACAGCTATACCTCCTTTAGTTGCTTTCCTGTGACATGTGCACTGCATATACACTCCACCCCTGGATGGCAAAGAGCACTATGGGATGGGTCTCGGGTCTGACTTCAAGCATTGCGGTCGGTGCAGCAACTTGAGGCTCTCGCGATCGCTGAACTGCTGTTTACGTAATACACTGCTGTGCGGCGTAGTCGACTGTGGCCAACGCGCGCTGGACGCCGTTCATCGTTGTGCCTATTGCGTCTACCTATCCTCTCGCGGCCCATTCCCTGTATCCTTGTCTCTGTGACAAATCCCCACCATGGCCAGTGCAGGCATCAAAAGTTCGTACTCGTACCTCAGGGGCTACCTCAGGGCATGTACTCAATCGCGGGTTGCAGCGGTCATCCTGCTCTCGTTCGTGTTGGCAGTAGGCTTTTTGCTCGTCATCCTCTCGTGCGCGTTATGGGCGAACTGGCTTCCTCTCCTTGTCGGTGCGTTTTCTCTTCTTGATCACCGGTAGAAGTCCACCATCTGAAATTGAGGTCATGTCTTCGTTGCGTTTGCCTACAGCCTTGACCTTCGTCCTTGCGCCACTTCCCAACGCGGTATTCGCGCGATGCGGAGGAGACGACTTCTCCGCGGAATACGATGGCTCAGGGCCTGTTGACCTTGGCCGTTTCATCACCGCGTCGGTTGTTGTCACCGGGTTCGCACTCCCACTAGTGCTGGCCCATTCGGAGGTGATCACGAAGGGAGCTTGCGCGATGTCAATCGCTGGTGGAGCGTAAGTCCACTAATCTATCACCCATCCGCTGCTTGCTGAGACAATCTCCAGTCTTGTGTATGGCACTATCATGGCATACAGCCAAACCTTCAAGGAAGGAGATTCGGAGTTCGATTAGAGGTATCTACATCCCACTGGAGGACGATCGGACAACTATTAAGTTACACCTCGCCGAGGCCGTTGTACACTATCGTACTACTATCCGTCCGTCGTGCTATATGTCTGGACTGGAACTTTGACAAGACAGAGCGTGGGCAGTCCAGGTCCATAGATCTGAGGGAATTGAAAGGAAAGTCGATGACAAGCCTGGTATGCTATGGTTCGCCGGAGACATCTAAACGCATGTTGCCATGACCTACTGGGCTGTAATCTTCCGATTTGCCGAGAGCATATACTTCCGCCGAGAAGTCGAAGCGTCCGCATGCGATAAACGTGACAGGCGTCTCGACGTCGTATGTCTCTCCCTTGGCTAGTCGCCCTACGGGAATATCGACGAGCTCGCCTTGGAATATGACATGCTCGGCAGGCTCCAGCTCGAGAGTAAGCGTCAATACCAGGTCGGAGGCTGCGTGTACGATGATGAGAAAATGTCGGACATAGACGCAATGAGAGTACTTACGTGAGAGGTTTGTAAGGGAGGTTCGTAGGTAGACGAACTCGTTGGGCAGAGGCAAGTATTTGGTCCCTGTAGGGTCCACTGGTACGGGATGTGCGCTGCCCTCTTCATCGTAGGTAACCAGGGTCATCCGTACTCGCGCAGTCTCGACACGAAGTGCCTCTAACATGGGAAGAGTCATTCGTTGCTGCCGCAGTGACAAGTCTCCTGCTCTCGTGCCTCCGTTCTGTGCCACGGGAAGTCAGATGCGAGTCTTTCAGATGTGGAACATGTACTTACCTCGCGCCATTTCCCGTGTACCGCCTTGAAAAGCTCTTCTCGATACCAGAAGAGTTCTCGCTGTGAGCGCTCTTCTTCGGGAGACAACTTCGAAGCTGAGACGACATATTGTCGGTCAGACAACATGGGAATAGGTCTTGTTACATGCTCCTCCGACAGCAAGATCTTTTTGATTGGCAGTACAATGCGAGAGGTCGATCCTGGGGGCACGAGAGAGGTGATACTGGCAGGCTCAACACCTAGAGCATAATCAATGTAGGCCTCTAACGAGATTCTTATATCAATACGAACCTTCTTGGTTACGCTCAAAAGTCACTTCGAATGGCAAACCATAAGTGTTCCGGATCTCGATAGAGAATATGCACCAGTCCGCAATGTCACCAACATGCAGCAACGACTTTCGTGTCTTGGCGTCAAGTAAGTCTTCATCGCTGCCATGTGCGTGTGGAGGTAGCGTCGTTGTCACCCCAGAATAGGAGAGGATGTCCATCGCATCACACTCCAACATATGGTAGACAGTCACCAGTACGGGGTATGACAACTGGCGTGTGTAGAAGACTTCCCCGGGTTCCGTAAGAGTCTCCAGTGGTCGCTTCACGTACGCGTAGGAGGCGTGGATCACACCACTTGTGCTGTAGAAATCATCAGCGGAGCCCAGAGTAGGAGCCGTGACCGCGTACTCACCAGCCTACTTTGCCGAAGCAGTTGACGGTAATTACTCTCTTCTGTCCAGGGCCTATCTCTTGTGTTTCTCGTTCACTATCCCAGGTGAAGACCGGTCGATGGACAAGGTCGTACTCCGTCTCATAGGTATCGAAGACAGACATGCCTCCATCCGCGAGAGCTTGTTGCGCAGGCGCGATGGTAGAATCATCAAAGGTCAAGTGGATAAGGTCAACAGGCAACGAAGAAACGTTCTCAAGCGTGATACGGATCGTAGACCTGTATCAGATTGTCAGCAAGGTCATCAGAACCTACCGGAAGCTAACTCACATCTCGCCATTGTACAGCATGACGGCCCCGTGCGTCAATGACGTTCGCCGTATCCGTAGCAGAGGTTGTTCTGGCACGACTATACACTCGACAAAGCGTACTGCCGGCTTATTCGTATTCGACGTTGAGACCGTACCCTGTGTGCTACTCCTCTTGCTGGCTTTCTCCCAAGGCCGTGAAGCAAGACCAGAGTGTTTGGACCTCCCGGTCTCGCAGTCGATGGCGCTTCGTCTTCGCGACCGACGCTCCTCTTCTTCCTCGGTGGACAACGGTAGCACAAATTCACGCGCCGCGCCTCCAGGAGCTTGGACGATGCAGCCACGGACAACGAGTGTACCGGCTTCCAACGCTTTCCCGCTGATGGTCACAGGATGGAAAGAGTTGGCAGGAACGATCACCGGCGACGCTTTCGATTCGAATGAGACACCTGATGTGCTATTGAGCAAGTCGTTGTGTCAGGGAATAGAGTCGCTCGTACTCAAGTAGGTCTACGAACCTCAGCTGAAGACTTTGCAGGTCAAGGTCGAACACGTACGGATTCCGTAGCGTTACGACCAAGTCGAAGGACTCGTTCTGCACGAGAACAGTCTTAGCCTGTACTCCTCGATTAGTACTCGCGAACCGTATCTGACAACTACAAACGCGCATTACCTGTCCCACGGCTGCTTTTCTGGGATTATACAAGAAGGGGTCCTTCTTCCCGCTGATTATCGCACTTGGAACGGCTGAGGCATGTGCCAAGATTGAGATCGGTTTCTCGATTGGTAGACGCACGAGAGGCAACCTGATACGTAGGTCAGTAGAAATCCATATCGCAGATTGAAGGTACTCACGGCAGGATCTCAATGCTGAGGATGGGTTGTCCAGACCAATAGTCCACAGCTCGCCGATCACCTCTCCGCTTCGCTGTTGCCAATGCCCTAGTCGATGTGCTGTACAAGGAATGCTGATCTCGTGGATGCATTACAGGGTAAAGCAGCTTCAAGGCCGACAAGGAGAACTGAGCAACAGCAGGGTAGTCTGTATGCAGTCAATACCAGCGGCAGCAAACATAGGCATCGACGCACGAACCTGGGAGTGCCTCAGCGATACCGATAGCCTCTCGGATGATGTCAATCTGAAGCTCAGGCCAGCCGAATGGCTCATGCAGTGACGGCGCGAGCTCTTCGTTCTCCTCGCCTTCCGCGTCCGTCTGAGGTGCTTGGCTGGTGCGGTCGGGCGTGCTATTATCGAGCAACTTGACAGCCTCGAGGTCGACGCCATGTACCCTGCAGATGTGCTTCACGATGTGCAAGATGCTCTCGTTGCCATCCGTCCGCTCGTTCTCTCGGATGCCCACCGTGCCCTGCGAGGTCGTGACGTTCAAGGAGTTGTTGCGGTTCCCAAGCCCGGCGCTTAGGACGCGCGCGCTGCCGCTCCCACTCTCGTCGCGCCCGCACACGACCATATCCATGAGACATGCGAGCACCTCGCGCAGCACGTAAGCCTCCTTCCTCACATGACCTAACGCGCCGTACATGGCGGCAATGTACTCCAATGTCCGTACCCGCTCACGGGTGTCGAGATGCGCAAACCATGGACCGTGCGCTTGCGAGATAGAGGCGGAGATCTGCGCCCGCGTTATTCCAGTGATGGAGGTTAGTCGTTCCAGACTTGCGTAAGTGTTTCGGGGAGCAGAACAGGTTACGGGGGATGCGTTATTAGACAGTGTAGCCGGGAGGAAGAGCGAGGGGCCGGGCTGGAGCATGGCGGTGAAGGCAAGAGGACCCCACCCTTTGGAGGACCAGACAGAATAGAGGAGGGTGCTATGTCGTAGGACTGAAGTGCAATAAAGATAGGCAAGAAGAGAAAGATTAGCCTCTGGCTCGGAGGTGGGTGAAATCTTCTGATAGAGACCGATGGCCTGTGTGAGCTTGTCTGCGATGTCATGCCACGGATCCTTGTCGCTGGCAGTCCCATTCTGATCATGAATGTCAGTAGCTATCATAAGAGGACTCTTTGCAATGGCACGGACAATACCATGGGTCGAGGACCATGCTTCGACTACGGGGATGGTGGCAAGACCCTCCAAGGCCGAAGCATGCCATGGTGCGTCCTGCGGAGACTTGAACAGCATGATCGATTCATTGTACCTGCCGAAGCTTTGGTCAAGCCATACACGACACTTGACTTTGGATTTCGATTCACCATATGGTGGCTTCCTCCAGTCGGCCAGCCAACAGGAAGAAATCACCTAGCACTTTGAAGAGTCGTCCATGGGAAGATGCGGCCCCAATGGCTGATACCCTCTTTTTGTTGGGTAGAGCGGGAGTTGGAGGGAGACTAGAATGGCGACTGGGTAGAAGTCCGGGCCCCATGGTAGACGTACGCTTCAGTCCTAATGGCGTCTTCGACCGCGGACCGTTCAGGTCAGGCTGACTGTTATGAGAAGGAAGTGGAGGCAGTGACTCTCGTCGTGGTTCATCGTCCAAAGACCTAGGCATCTCCGAAGAGGGCGGAAGCATGGGGAAGAGGGATGCGTTGAGATATTCGTTTCCCAGAGGGCTCTCCAGAGTTTGCATCTATTCGCGAGGTTCAATAGTCTCCTCCAAAATAATGTTGCTGAAGTACGCACTACAGTTGCAAGCTCTACAAGCACTTTGGAACATAGGTCAGCGATCAGCGTACCGATGTATGTGCTCTTGTGGCCCATCATGCTCGGAATGACCACTAGGCCCGGGAAGTTGTCTCCGAGGTCGATGTTGGTAGTGCTGTCGCTCTCCTCAAACACAAAGCAATTGCTCGCGAGAGGAAACATGGAGCCTTGTGGGAACACCTCATGGATAGCATTTTGAAAGTGTGTGAGGATAGTCGCGAGCGAGTCGTTCGGTGCGCATGACGCAATGCCCACCACAGCAAGGGGGAAGTCGGAGGTCCGGAACAAGGAAAGCGGTATATGCGATTCGGGGGGAGGATGTGAATTATATCTGAGGTGCAAATTTCCGCTCGCGAGCTGGTGGTTAGGCATAAAACGGGCTGCAGGAGAAATGAGTCTGGTTAGCGGAGATGAGGCCAGCCAAGATGCAACGCACATCGCTCGTCTTTGACATCCGTGGTCAAGTCACCTAACCGAATGGTGTCGGTATTGTTGATCTCCTGCACCCAAGCATCGAAGGTGGACCGGCGAATGTTCCCGACAGGTAGGAGGAGTATCCGGATCTGCGCAAGAGAGCCATAGGCAAATGATTCCATGCAGAGTCGGCCGAGTCGTAAGAAGGCGCAAGATTCGGTAGCAGTAAACGGTCGCGATGCTTCAGAACAGTTCTAGGATCTTCAATGCGTAGCAGATATAGAGTGCGAGGGAGATTGCGCAGTTGTGGCCCACTGGCGGCGGGAGAGGAGGATGGGCAGACGCTAGGCGCGTCGGGGCGCGAGAGAGATCGGCAGACCAAGTCTCAGATGCGCCTGTGGCCTTCGCGCACTCGGAGCGGTGGCACTGGTCGTCGATTTCGCTGTCCGGGCATTCGTCCAGGCACCCCGCCCTCCTCCCCATGTCGCATGCCCTGCTACTACGTCTCTTCTTGTCTCCTTCCTTCTTCTCAGTCCATGTTGCTCTCCAATACCTACGGATTTATGCCGACAACATCGGAATCACCTACTATTTAACCAGACGGCTCAGGGAGCTGAACACTCAGGAGTTGCGGGAGGTATGGGGCTTCGTATGGTGATTATAGTCGTTGTGTTGTCCAGAGGCATGCCCATTGATATCGGCATTGCCCTAGTCATCTGCTTGTAACAAGACCGACGCAATCCAAAGCACTGGAGAGTTTCGTGGTGGAGATTTGCCACAAGTCCACCCATGTTGCTATGCTGGTATGTTCTTATTTCGGCTACATGCTCGATTGCCTCTCAAGAGATACCAGACACTATGGTACATGCAAGCATACCTCAGGGACCTCTCAACACAACATTCCAGTAATGCTTCATTCCTCATTTGCCAACGAATCCTTCACGAATGTCATGAAATCATATTCGGAGACCTGCCTTCTGCTCCATACTCGTCCCTATGCGCCCCCACTCACATTGGGCCCTCACGAAAGAAAGTCAGAGCACACGTGTCTCCTGCCTTGGTCGGGATCGGGATGGTCCTAGCTGGCGTTCCCGGTATGCCTCAGCTCACGGAAATCATGGGTCCTGTTGCACTCGAGCAAGGTCGGGTCGATGAGCAGGGCCAGGACATCAAAAGTATTGAGCGGGGCGATAATGACAGGGCTATGGTGCGAAGCATATCTGCAGCCTCGGCGGCGGAAAGCGGGGTGGACATAGAAGACGACGATTCTATGGACTCGCCGGCCCCGAACGCGGACCATAATCCGGAGGAGCCAGTAGACATTGCTCCGTCTTCGCAGACAGTATCTGCTGTTTCCAAGCGGTTGTCTCGGAGGCAGACTGTCGGCGCGCAGACTAGCCCCGCGCTGCCGCTACATCTGCGTGAAGCCCGGAAACCGAGATTATCGGAGGATCCATTCGGGCAAGAAGACACTCTTCCCACCCGTGCAGCTACCGCTGCGACGCCATTCCAGTCAACACCGTCATTTCCCTCACGACATCCTTACCGGCCGAATAGTCAACCTACCGCAGATCTTCTGTTACAGAAGTATGACTTTGCTTCGCAGATGTATCTGTTACGTAGCCACTACTGTCGTTCAGAGGTTTGTCGTCAACGTCTCGTGTCTCGGCTATCGCGCTGAACGGACGCGTAGGTGCAATTCATATTGGCACTGGAGAACATCTGCAACAAGCTCCTGGTTGTCCCTAAACCTGCCCGTGTGAGTGCTCTACGCGCGGAACTAACTAGTCTGAACCATATGCTCCCTGCCGAGGTAAGTTTTATATGCTACACCGTGAATCACGATGCCAAGACTTAGGTATACGTTGACAATTAGATCTGTATGCCCATGTGGTGTTCGTCCTCGGACGAACCCAAACCACCATCAAGTATTCCCGAACCTCACCATCGAATAGTACGAATACCACCGGGCGAGAGCGTCGTGCTCAACTCGGCCGAGCGTGCACCCTATCTTCTACTTGTCGAAATCCTTCACTCCGACCTTGACTTCGACCCCGCGAAGCGGAGTAACAAGGAGATCCTGAAGAAGATCGTCGTGAAGGAGAACGAGTCGAAGGGGACATCTAAGGATCTTGTCAAATTCGCTCGCAACGATTCGACACTGTCCAAGTCTAAACCAACGGTTATCATACCCGACCATGTCAACGGTTCAGAAGTGGCACTTGGTACCGATGGCGACGACGCAGGGGAAAACGCTTCAATACCTCGGTCCGCGTCTCCCTCCTCCGTGGTGTCTCCTTTAGAACCCCCAGAGGAGGAAGAGATGGATCTCGTAGAGCAGCTTTACGGCAACGAGAGCTCGCTCAAGGTGAACGGTATCGACATCTCAGACTCCATAGTCCTTCCTCCCGCTCCGAAAAACAAGGAGCTCGACATGGCCACCTGGTCTCGCGCCTCTTCCAATTTGAACACACCACGATTTGACAAGCCCGACCCCTTTGCCGCACATATCCTCGCTCTTGGCCACAACTTCCCTTCACCCTCTTCAGGATACCCACCAAACGGTGCCATCACCAGCGATCACTCAAGCACACCTGCACGGCAGCTGTCACAAGGGCAGCAGCGCGTACTCTCCCTGGACGAGTACTCGCAGCGCATGCGAACAGCGGCAGTCATGCTTGCCCAGCTGAATGCAAACCTCGTGCCCCCAGCTGTACCTGGTTTACCTACCACACCCAGCGATACGTCCATTATCAGCGCACCTTTACGCTGGCTGCCTGGAACCAGCTGGCTCGCAGACGCGATATCCAACGGTAACGGTCAACCCTCGACTCCTAGCGGCGCCCAGGGCGATGCCGCCGCGGCTCCAACGCGCATGCGATTACAGGCCTCTGAAGCGGCAGCTATTCGGGATAGGATCATGGAGGAGATGTTGGCGCTGGAGGAGGAGCGCATGGCTCGAATGCGGGAGAACGGCGTCAATGAGACCTCCTTGCGGATCACGCCCGCCAATGGAGACATGAAAACTGCAGAGGACGAGGGTATCATCAGGCGAGAACTGAGCAAGGCGGATCCGTCTGCGATTGTTTTCAGCGAGTCTTGGGCGGCGAAGAAGGCTCGGGTACGGCAGGCGTCACCATATGGTCATCTCGGTACGAGTCTGCTTCTCCGACCTACTTGGTGTCTCGCATTAATGAGCTTTGTTCTGCAGCGAACTGGGACTGTGTGTCGGTCATCGTCAAGACTGGCGGCGACCTGAGGCAAGAGCAGCTCGCCGTGCAGCTCATCCAAGAGTTTGAGAAGATCTGGAAAGAGGAGAATTGCCCATGTTGGGTACGATAGTACGTGCACGTTCCTAGTAGCTTAAGATGTAATCTCTCAAACTCGTGTCATCCAGCTTCCGAATACTCATCACAGGCAATTCCTCCGGCCTTGTCGAGACCATCACCGACGCCGTCTCCATACACTCGATCAAGAAGGCCGAGTACGCTCGCCGCCTAGCCGAGGGCCGCCTTGGGCACGTCTCGCTCCTCGACCACTTTAAGACGACTTACGGCGACCCGTCCTCTGCCAAGTACGTCCGCGCGCAGCGTAACTTCGCCAAGTCGCTCGCCGGCTACTCGCTCGTCACGTACTTCCTGCAGATCAAGGACCGCCACAACGGCAACATCCTCCTCGATCGCGACGGGCACCTCATCCACATCGACTTCGGGTTCATGCTCTCGAATTCTCCAGGCAACATTGGCTTCGAGGCGGCGCCGTTCAAGCTGCCGCTCGAGTACATTGAGGTCCTCGGTGGACTCGACAGTCCGGCCTACCGCGAGTTCCGGAAACTGTTCAGAGAGGGCTTTGACGCCTGCAGGAAACACTGCGACCGGATAGTCAGTGAGTAATGCTTGCTCTCATCGATGAGAGCGCCGATATTGATAGCATACTCTCGAAGCTCTGGTGGAACTCATGCAGAAGGATTCGACGCTCCCATGCTTCGCCGCTTTCGGCGAGCAGACCGCGTCCCAGCTTCGAGACCGCTTCCAACAGGGCCTCACCCAGTCCGCCGTCGAGGAGCACGTCCAACGGCTCATCGACACGTCGCTTGGCTCCAACTGGACCCGCCTGTACGACTCAGTACGTACCCACGCCATCCATATGACATTGAACTTGCGTTCTCAGACCACCCTCCCTTCATCCACAGTACCAGTACTATTCGCAGTCCATCCTATGACGGACCACGTGGGGTGCTACCTGTCTGGATGTACTATGCCATCCGGTGCACTCATGGCCCTTCTTGGACAATCTGTATTGGCATGATCACCATGGACACGACTGCGGGCACCGCCGCTGCATGACAGCCCCTCCGGCCCTTCCACGCTTGCACACTTTCGTAGCGGATGACAGTCACCCTACTGTGTACCACTCGATTGTCTCACGCCGGGATGTGTGGGTCCGAAACGGATGCAGTAACGGACAAAATTAGAGATGGAAATAAATAGCGGGCTACTGCTGCACGATACAGAAACAGCCAGGAATAGCCTAGAACATCGCGTCATAGCGCTTGAGGCAGCTGTACCACTCATAGTCTGTAATAATAGCATTAATGTCAGCCGCTGGAATAGGACGCAGTACCTGCAGGACCGAGAAGACGTACCGAAGTTTTCTTTCGGGTTGCACCAGCACTTGCCCTTCTTGTGCAGGTCACCCTGGGGGCAGTGCTGGAACGGATTGTGGCGGTATCCTGGACGCAATAATCGTCAGATCAATGTCTGCTATGTAGTATAGGAAGGCTCTCGAACCAATGTCGTTGAAAAAATGTATCTGTTCCTTCTTGGCGAAGAGGGCGGCGCCGATGCTGTGTACGGGCGCATCTCCCCATCGCTGCGCGAACTGTCAATTCCGACGCCTTATGGCCTACTATCCTGCGCGACGTCTCACCTCGTAGTAGAAGCCGCCCTGCTTATCGAGAAAGTCGAAAAATTTGGAGTAAGCCTCGCCCCTCCAGAAGTCGAGGTCGCCAATCTCGAAGTTACTCCAGACTTCAAGAGCCCGCGAGCCGTCAGCAACTGAACAAAGCATACAACGGACCAAGAAAACGCACAGTGGCAGTTGTTGTATGTCCGGCCTCCGTCGTCAGAGATGAATCTCATAGCGTTGTCAGGCTCGACGAGCTCAGGGTTTTCGTCAATGAACTCTGCAGTGGAAATATAAGAGGCTTGTCGGCGGGATGAATCCAGGGGCACAACGCACTCTTGACAGTATCCCAGAGAGTTGGGATCGTGGCAGGATACTCATAGAGCGAGACAGTGAAGCCTGCCAGATGGATGTGATGAGTGGAAGGCACTGATAGCAGGGGTGCGAGTCGTACCGTAGACCTTCTTCTGGTCTTGCATGAGCAGAAGAGGCTGTGACGGCGTCATCAGATTCAAAAGTGCAACTCGGTTGGAGGATAATGCGTACATCATAGTTCAGGTCACAGAAAAATGTGACATCAGGCCTGAGCATAGTTGAGCATTCAGACTGAACGGGGAAGCTGGTCCCACTTACTCGACGCGCCAATAATACTTGTACTTGTCGAGCAACGGTTGCTTGTAGAAGAACTATCGAAGACTGGGTGAGCGTTTTGGGCGCAATGTATGCTACTGTGCTTACGCCAGAGTTGAAGCGACACATATTGCGGTACGGGACACTTCCTACATGATTTCTTTAGAACGACTGGCGGCGCGTTTTGAGTCCCAGACTAACCCCCATAGATCACGTTATGTTCAACCATATCTTTCCGAGCAGCAGTCGCCTTGTCTTCGTCGATCCAGCTGGGCTGTACCCAATCCTCCTTGGGAATCAAACCGAACTCGATCTTGGCGTCAGTGAGGGTGGAAACACGGCTACAGGTATGAGTGAGCTTCATCTCAAGTCTGACCATGCAGATGGGCACGTACTCCTTGAACTCCTCGGAAAAGGGCTCTTCATTCAAGAACACATAGGGGTACTGGAACTGCTTATTAAAACGATCCTCTGCGGTGTCCTTGGTCAGTATGGAGGTGCAATCACAACAAGTCACACTCACCAACTTGCTTCATGCTGGTCACAACTCCGTTGAGATCTCCGTTACGCGCGAGGAACACAAAGGTAGCGTTGGCTTTGCGCGACTGGATGGGGGGCTTTGACGGTACCACATAGCGGTCCTCGTCGACACCATCCTGGTAAGGAGGGTGTGGCTTCGAGCCGCTGAGCTGTTCGGTGAGGTGGGAGAGAGAAGTTGCGCGGCCGTACTCTTCATGGGAGAAGCTGAGGATAAAGTGCAGACTGATCTACGTGTCGATTCAATAACCCAGCAGCAACAGAGGAGATTGGATGCTATTCACAATGATGACCAGCACCAATACCACGTAACGCATAGGCGTCATCATCTCGGGCGACGAGTGGTGCCCCTGTTGAGGCTCCTGTGGCTGAAAGAGAGGTGCTGGACGCAGCCGGATGGAGGGAGGAAGAAAGGCAAGAAGTCGGATTGGGCGTCGCTCTCAGCTCCACACTTTGGACCGCGCTTCGATGGCCGGCGCGCAGCACTTGCATACAGCGCCTCGCAGCATCTGTCTCCCGTTCCCCTTGATCTCTGCCATTCCATCTGCCCTAGGGTAAGCACCCAGCATCGTTTCCACAGTCGGGAGTGCTCACAGCTGTCCGAATTGCATACCTGGCCATGGACACCCGCAGGGTCGACTCTTTTCCTTGCCATACATCACCCCAGTGGCAAACGCCGAATGTTTATGATGCACACAGCTACTCCTTCTAGTACCTGGTGGCCGCTCGGAGCCGGTATCTCAATGGGGTCAGAACCTGAGCTTGTTGCATGCTTTTCACCACGCCCTCCCGCGATGCCTGATAGAAATAGGACCCGCTGAATGTGAGTGTCCCATCCGTACGCTTGTTGCTATTCATAACATAACTGCGGTTCTCCAGAAAAGTATGCCGCCTTTGCTGACTTGTGGTATAAGAGCCCCCGCAGAGGTATGGTTCGATGGTGTAGTTGGTTATCACGTCTGTCTCACACGTGCTCCCGGGTTCCGACCGTGGGTCCTGTGTGCACAGGAGGTCTCCGGTTCGAGCCCGGGTCGAACCAGTTTTATGTCCCGTAGAGCAGTCATGTCCGTCTTACTGCGAATGAACATCTCGGCGGCTTACTTTAATCTAACCTTTGTCTGGCTATAGAAGTACTTGCACAGGGAGAGAGCATGTATGACCCCATCACGGGTAGAACAGTCGATTGTGTTGAAGCCTCGAAAGGCGTCGGTGAACTTGCGCGCTGGTTCCTAGCTTTTAGTGACTAGTCCACAAAGCATCGGTGCCGTAGCCCATGTAGGCCTACATGGGATGACACAGCAGGGAGCCGTCGCCGAGTATGGTGTAGGTCCAGTATTTGTGCGCATCGATGTTGAGACGCGAGGGGTACCAAAGTCCATCTACTGATACTCAACAGCATCATATCTCTTTGTGGTGTTTTGTCTGGGGCTAATAACCCATCTTAGTGCTCCTCGCGGCGCACATCTCTACAACATGAGATGGACCGCATTACGCAAAAAGATAGATTACATCCTGCTAAAACGACATAGGAATACATTTCACATAGCAGGTGCATGCATAGATAACACGACGACGTCTATACTCGAGATCCCTATACGAGTCACTAAGCAAGAAACTGTCCCACTCATTCATAAACGTCTTCCCGGTCAGGTTCAGAATATAAACCCAGCACCGGACGCCAGCAGATCCTCATCAACCACAAATTGAAGGACGATCGAAAGAAATCATGCAGTCGTCTGTCCAGTGACCGTCTGACCATCGCCATGGTGATTAGGCTGGGCTGCTGGGTAGGCCTGCGTCTGCGCGTGATGTGCGTGCGTCGAATGCGCCTGATGCGGGTAGTGGGTCTGAGGTTGTTGCGGTTGTGCGCCTTGCGATTGCTGAACCTGCTGAGCTTGGGGCTGAGCTTGTGCCGCCATCGCAGCCATATTGGCGCGCATGGACTTCTGCAACGACGGCCGTCCGTCCTCTGGCACGTCCTCCCCGACATCAAACGTCACCCCAGGCCGACGCCTACGAAGCTTTCCACGGTCCTGTTGCAACCACTCTTCCCGAGTCCTCCAGTCCTGCGCTGCCTGCAGGGGGTCGCGGAGGGGCGGGGAAGGGCGTCCAGCGGTCGAGCTCCGAGTAGAATCGCCTCCCGTCAGCATCGCATTGATCTGCCAATACTGTCAGTTGCCGTTTATGTCTGGATCAGGAGGAAAGGCGTACCACTGTACCATCAACTGCCTCCACGGACGCAGTGGAAACAGTGTGATGCCGCTTCGACAACAAACGGAAGGGGGTGAACATCTTGCCACTCGAGTTCCCGTTCCGGCCCGCGAGAGAGACGGGAGCAGGCTGGGCGATAGGGACAGCGCTCGTACTATACCCCCGCTGGTGCGTAGGCGCAGGCGTAGGAGAGGCCATAGTTCCAGTGGCTGCGGCAACGCGACGGCTCGGATCTGGAGGCGCGCCGTTCAAAGGCTTCGAATCGCCATTAGTTGCAGAAGGCGTCTGCATGTACGACATAGGGTGCGTTGGCTGTGAGATATTGCGTTCACGCTTCTCCCTGTACTGCTGGGACGGGGGGACAGGAGGCTCATCACGTTGTTTGGGCGGAGACGAGCGGGAGCGGAAGAGACTACCGAAGAAACTCCTCTTCTTATCCTTCTCTTTCCCAGCAACCGAGTTCTTTGACGTCGATCGGTCCAGCGGAATGAACGGCGCACTTGTCTGAGGTAGCATAGAAGGCGCAAGGGATGAAGGGGTGAGCAAGATGTCCTGTTGTTGCTGGGCTGCGGTCTTGCGTCCACGGGTAGGAAGACTTGCCGAGGCATAAGCAGTCCCGCCGCCGCCGCCATATTGCGGGTCAGATATGGTCCGCGCGTGTGCACTCGGGAAAGGCGTCGCTGTTGAGTGATTCGGGCCTGTGCTTGGGAACGTCTGATTCCGCGTAGGGGCCGGAGGCGCTGACTGGAGAGGGGCGGGTACCTGCGTGGAGGGTGACGAGACGGTGTTGAGACGTGAAGGTCTCATCGTGGGTGCCGGGGAGGGTGCCGCTCGCGGAGGAATACGTTGTGCACTGGGAGCTGGGCTTGCCAGTGGGTTGGTACCTAGAAGTCCATAATCGACCGACTGCCCCGCCCGAGACTGCGTATGCTGAGCTGCGAATGTCGCCTGAGTCGGCGTGGGTGCTGTCCTGCCATACTGTTGGTAGTCGTTAGACGCAAGAGGAGTTTGAGTGCTATAATTGTGCGAGTGACTAGGGGCGGCTACATTGGTCGGGGCTGAAGACGGGGCATATGCATTAGGGTATCCCTGGGCCTGTGGAGCAGGAGAGCGGTATCGAGTGATATCGGGGTATGCGGACGAGGAATTAGGCTGGCGAGAAGCGGTACTGGCATCAAGTCGTGAAGAGGCGTGAAGCTGAGGCTGCAGACTAACTGCGCTCGTTCGGCGCGGGAGATGTTGTTGCGAGGAGCTACTTGGGGACGGTTTCGTGGGGGCAGATTGGGCGATAGTGTCATTAGAGCCATTACGGTGGGGATGCAGGCGGACAGAAGGGGCATGTTTTGGAGTGGAAGAGCTGGTAGACGTAGCGTGAGGAACAACCGCCGGGGAACCCGAGGCATAAGCGTGTAGCCGAGATGTGTCGTTGGTCATTGTTCCGACAGATGGCGGTTTCGGTGATCGTGGGTCATAGCTCCCACTGCCGGGATAGTTGGACGCAGTGAGATGGACGGTGCTGGTAGGTGTAGGGGCTGAGGCCCCTGGGTACGTCATACCTCTCTTGGGCGACGCCGAAGGATGTTGCGGGGCGCCTGAGCCTGGAGGTCGTGTGATAGCGACGTCTTCGTATACAGGAAACCTGCTGGGCAAGTCTTGAGAAAGGACCTTCGCATGACCAACATTCGAACGATAGGCGTCGGCATCGCTGTTAGACTGCGCGTGCACTTGTGTATGCCCAGCTGACTGCGCACTGGGTGCAGGTGTCGAGCGTGATCGCGAGGAGTACGGGTCCAAGGGTACAGGGGCAGCCGAAGGAGGCCGAGTGGACGGAGGTCGCACCACAACGTCTGGGATTACTGGCTGACTGCTAGGCATAGCTGACCCCCCGTGATGATCTAGACCACGCGAATGCATCGTGTGAGGGTAGCTTTGCCCCGATTGCTGATTCGACCCCGAAGCGTCGTAGTTGATAGAGGAATGGTGATGGCCTGAGGATGCCTCGGTATACGCAGTCTGATGACCCTGTGCAAGCAAAGCCTGCAGTGATCCATCCTGCTGACGCGAGGCCCCTAGTTGGTAAGATGGCTGCGGAAGGGGGTCTGTTTGACGAAGCGGTGTAACTCCCGAGTGAATGACCTTGGGCAGCGTAGCGTGAGGATCCGCTGGTCCCTGACCAGCCCGTATACTGACTATTTGTGGCACACGTTGAGACACTGTCAAACCTACGGATGGGGTAGGCTTGCCTGATGGTGGCATTGATACAGGATGCACCTGCACAGCAGACGTAGGGACGCCTGAGGGATTCTGTGCAGTCGCGTCCGCGGAATTAGGCGCCGGCTTCCTCGAACCCGACGGGTCTCGCTGGTGCTACAATGCATAGCCCTCAGCATGTGCAACATTTACTCGTCGAATCTAGGACTGCTCACCCGCTGGTACCATTGATTCGCGATCTCTTGGCTTGTAGTATGTTCAGCGGCAGTTTGAGATTCGCCACCAGCAGTCTTCGACTTGTGGCGCGAGGACTCCCCATGAGTCCGATGCTTGCGCTGTGACACCGGTCATCCCTCAAAGAAGCACTCTGGAAATGAAGGCACTACTTACACGCTCAGTTTGTATTGTGGGAGCTTTCTCGTTCTCACTTCCCGATGGGCCGGAGGAGTACCCACGCTGAAGTATACTGGCCTGCTCCCGATTGGGGTAGTGCCTATCGGTCGTTCGCGGCTGGAGTGATTCTTAGTATAATCGATGAGTATCAAAATTCACCACGTCAAACTTACGCGTTCGTGCTCCTGCTCGCTGCTTGATAGGCCCGAATCTTGTCCGGCCTGCTGTGAAGCGATCTTGTGGTGAGAACGGTGAGGCTTGGAAGACGTGCGTCGGCGTCCCGGGGGAGGTATAGGGATCGGCGGATCGTCCTTGTCCGACACATAAGGATATACGGACTCCGGTACAGGGACAGCTCCTCCACGTCCAGCGGAAGTGAGTCCGGCCCAAGGCAATCCCGTCGGAGCTGGAGCGGGAGCTTGTGCAGTTGGTTGCGGTTGCGTAGACGGTGGACGAACGATATCCTGGGAAGCGAGATAGATCAGTAAGTTGCTGCCGTGCACGTGTGGAGGATACGAGTACGTACCGGATAAGGTGCAGGAATCCTGTCCGCAGACCTCTGTGCTACTGTCGCAGTCTGCGCGTACGCTTGATATGCGCTCGTCGCGTCGGTCGGTCGCGCCCCAGCTGTTGTTCGGCTTTCGCGATCCTTGCGTCGGTCCTTGTCCTTGTGCCGGTCCTTGTCCCTCGATGACCGTTCCTTCTCCCCGTCTTTCTCCTTTCGTCGCTGCCTCTCCTTATCATCGCTCTTGTCGGTCGTATGGTCCCGCGTTTTCACTTTTTCTGGCCCACGACTGCTCGTCTTTTCCCTGTCCTTATCTCGCTCTCGGTGATGTCTGGAGGAGGAAGCGAGGTCGCGAGTAGACTGGGCAACTGGATTTGCGTAGGATGGGATTGTCGCGGTAGCTGGGTTGTACGTGACTGGATCGGGGTACGCATGGCGGCTGCGATGGCCGGAGCGCGAAGGCTTCGCCTCGTCAGCGACGAGGCCTTTCTCGTTAGATGCCCGAGGACTGCGCTTCTCGGTCTTCTGCTTGAGATATGCACGAAGGTCGTAATGCGCCGCGTTCGACTGCAGCTGCACAGCAGGGTTCGGAGATGGGGGAACGGTGTAGTAAGACGCTTGATGCGCGGTGGATGATCTATCCTTGCTAGAAGACTTATGACGGGCGTAGGCCGCTGAGGGATCGAGAGGGTCTGTAGGGTCCGCTCGGCGAGAGCTGCGATGCTTCCGGGGGGCCTCTGCGCCTCCTATCTGGTCCACATTGTGTCGCTGCGTGGTAGCCATTGTCTGACGAGGGCGGTCGGAATCCGAGCCGTCGTTGGGCCTCCAGAGGCCGTAGTCCTTGCGCGAGCTGGACGTAGTACGATGTCGGGTCGTCATGGTCGACAGCGGAGCCCGAGCAGCAGCAGAGGAGAAAGGATGTGAACCGGGACGAAGCCCGAGTTAATATGGAGGGGTCGCCGAACGGGAGAGAATGGGGAGAAGCCAAGCCGTGTGGCCATGAGGCAAAACGCCGGTCTTCTCCAACCAGTTTCTGTTCCACTTGCGGCCTCTTACGTACCGCCACTGCAACGCGCTCATTGTCGCATCCCGCCCGCCTTCGTTTCCCAATTCCCCTTGCTCTGGCGCAGATCTACGGGTACTGCGTCTGGATGTTGCTCAGCAACATGCATTACCGTGTGTCTCCGCAGAGTGTGGCTCCAGGGAGCTCGCTGCTCTCAGGCCCCGCGCTCCGCATTCATTGCGCTACCACGCCGTCATCCCGGTTGGCACGCGCGAAGTCCTCATTGTGGTCGGGGATGGTTGTCCACGGGCGCTTACTAAGCTGAGAGTACTTGTACGTTGATTGCTATTCGTAATCCAAAGCAATAGCACGTCCATGGATGACACAATACATTTTCTGTTTGTATAACTAAAGGTACATGGATAACGACGTGACCCTTGGATAAAAGCGATGTGTGCAAGGCAATAGAATCCGGGCGACGCCCCGAAATGCTCAGAGAGCAACGAAGCCCAGGAAACAGCCAGCAACGCTGCGGGCACGGGGGTATTCCCCAGCTGCCAACTCAAAAACAGAGTCAGAGCGACCGCACCCAAACAGCTTGATCTTACACGATTTTGACTCATTACACGACAGTAGACAGCGGAAAGGCTGGTGGAGGCAGATGCCTCCCTGTCGAGACAATTTAAGGATCGTGTAGCACCGTTGTTCAACGTGCCTGCGGTGCTCGTTGGTCACCAGCGGTGTACATACTCAGGTCGAGAAACGGGAAACGAATCAGAAGACTCGGGAAGAGAGGCTTCCGACGCACTTCCAGTCTAAACACCAGAAGGTTACCGCCAGCAACGAGTAGAACACGGAACTACGATGTGGATGGCGTCGGGGAGAACGAGAAAAAGTAAGAAGGGCGCGATTTATGGGTGCCTTTGTCATCTACCCGATGAGGAAGGCAGGTCCCACGCACATTCGGCCAGAATCTCGCCCGCGCGGAGGACGACCAGTGCACGACTCCTTGCATATCGTCCACCTTTCCTCACCTTCTATCTACATCCTTCAGGCAACCCGCAGCAGGCCTCGCTTCCACTACTTTGTTAGAGGATAGATTCTGCTTTCCGCCTGCCATGGTAAGCCTGCCCAGCTCCAATCTGGACGTCAGGACTCACGAGCGTGCGTCATAGAGCGATACTATGGACGCACTCGATGAGAAGGTCAATGGGGGCCCGCCCATGGAAGTCGAGGAGATCGTGTCCGTCAACGATCGTGCGTATGCATGCCCCCATTATTCGCGCGTGGCTCACTAATATGGCGTCTTGTTGTTTCAGATGAAGCCTTCGCGGCCAAGCACATGCCTGACCTCGGGCACGACGTCAAGGAGTTCAAGGTGTTTACATGGAAGCTCTCGAATTGGAAGAAGCTTGAGAAGAAGATCACAAGTCCAGAGTTTGAATGTGGTGGTCACAAATGGTATGTTCCGCCCACTGCGTAATGTCCGAGTGTTTCACGAACTCTGGTGGCGCGTAGGCGGATCCTGCTTTTCCCCTTCGGCAACTCGAACGCGCCCCCAAACGACACTGTATCGGTATACCTCGACTACGCTGATCCCAAACGAGCACCAGAAGGGTGGCACGCATGCGCACAGTTCGCCCTGGTTATCTCAAATCCTCACGACCCCACCATCTATACTGTTAGCCGTGAGTCGTCTAGTGTCGCGAAGGTTTCAGCTCTATCAACGGTGTTTTGGCAGATGCCCACCACCGCTTTATCGCTGAGGAGTGCGACTGGGGATTCACGCGATTCAGCGAGCTGCGGAAACTCTTCAGCGTACAGGACGGCCACACGCGCCCGACTATCGAGGACGAGGCCGCGGACGTCAGCGTCTTTGTGCGCGTTTTGGAAGACCCAACCGGTGTACTATGGCACAACTTCGTCAAGTAAGCCCGGCTGATAGTCCGGCTCACCGGCTTAATGGGCCTGACTCAGCTTGATTTGACCTTGCCTTCATTGCAGCTACGACTCCAAGAAGGAGACTGGCTATGTCGGGCTGAAGAACCAAGGAGCGACATGTTACATGAACTCCCTCTTACAATCCTTGTACTGTACGAGATACTTCCGGAAGGTGCGCATGGCGTCATGCGCTTGCTCATTAGCCTTGCTAAGCACGCGTGCAGGCGGTCTACCAAATTCCCACGGAGGATGACCTCCCGACGGAGAGCGTACCTCTCGCACTTCAGCGCGTCTTCTATCACCTGCAGACGTCAGACCAGCCTGTTGGTGAGTAGACTCAGTAAGTGGCTCCACCTCATTGATGTCGAACCACCGCTATCAAGGTACAACGGAGTTGACCAAGTCCTTTGGATGGAAGTCGTTGGATTCCTTCCTCCAACATGACGTACAGGAGTTCAACCGTGTGCTCCAGGACAAGCTTGAAACGAAGATGAAGGTAGGGCACCTTCCGACTCCAAGATATCTTTCAGCGTTAACAGGTAGATAGGGAACGAAGGCCGAGGGCGCCATCCAGAAGCTCTTCGTCGGGAAGATGAAGAGCTACATCAAGTGTGTGAACGTCGACTTCGAATCTTCTAGGATTGAGGAATTCAACGGTAGGGCCCCTATACCTTCATGTGCCGGCCGGTTGGTGCTCACTATCGGTTCAAGACATCCAATTGAACGTGAAAGGCATGAAAAACCTTTATGAGTCTTTCAAGGACTATGTTGCTGTCGAGACACTGGATGGTGAAAACAAGTACATGGCTGAGGGCTACGGCCTACAAGAAGCGAAGAAGGGTATCGTCTTCCAGTCGTTCCCGCCGGTGCTCCACCTTCAGCTTAAGCGGTTCGAGTACGACATCCAGCGTGATGCGATGGTTAAGGTATGTTCTGCTCACGGTATTCGTCGATGGGATCAGATCGGAGCTTACGCGTTTTCGCTTGTGCAGATCAACGATCGTCATGAGTTCCCATTTGAGATTGACCTCACCGAGTTCCTCGATGAGAGTGCGGACAGGTCACAGCCGTGGGTGTACAAGCTTCATGGCGTGCTCGTCCACTCTGGTGACCTCCACGGTGGCCACTACTTCGCGCTCATCAAACCCGACCGCGAGACGAGGTGGCTCAAGTTCGACGATGATCGCGTGACGCCCGTGACCGATCGCGAAGTCCTGGAAGAGAACTACGGCGGCGAGGCTCTCAATGGCCTCGTCCCGCCCATGCAGCGGAATCAGGTTCGCACGATGAAGCGCTTCACGAACGCGTACATGCTGGTGTACGTCCGCGAGAGTGCAATTGATGAGGTCTTGGCACCGTGGAAGGACGAGGACACACCTCCACACCTGAGTAAGTCGCTGTTTCTTGGCATTCGCACAGAGCATTCCTCAGCGTCATTTGTAGAGCGTCGTCTCGATGAGGAGCGTTTGCAGATGGAGGCGAAGAAGCGTGAGCGTGAGGAGCAGCACCTGTACCTGACCGCCAAGGTCATCACGGATGCGACCTTCTCCGAGCACGAGGGCTTCGACCTTGCGACCTTCGACGAGCGGAATTGGCCAGCAACCGATCTGCCTAGTTTCCGTGTCCTTAAGAACGAGCCTTACAGCACGTTCAAGGCTCGCGTCGCACAGCACTTCAACTACCCCGAGAATCAAGTCAGGCTATGGGTATTGGTCAACCGACAAAACAAGACCGTCCGCCCGGACACGCACATTCCAGAGAACGAGCCACAGCTCAGTGCGTTGCATACATGGCTGTATAGGTCTGACGCTTTGGCTCACAAATCTGCTGCAGCTGTTGAAGTAATCCGGAACAACATGGCCGTCCGACAACAGAACGACCTCCGCTTGTACCTAGATGTCATCCCCGACCCCTCACATGTGAATAACATCGATTGCTTAAACTACTCACCGTACTAACAGACTCTGTCCAGCCTGAAATCCCTGCCGGGTCTATCATGATATTCCTCAAGCACTTCGACATCGCTAACCAGAAGCTCACGGGTGTTGGCAAGGTCTACGTCCCACGAGCAAGCAAAGTGTCTGATCTCATCCCGATCATCAATGAGCGTATGCGATGGACATCAACCACCCCTCTCAAGCTCTACGAGGTAAGCGATTCCGTGAACTCGACAGAGTGAATCATCGCTGACTTCACGGGCTCAGGAAATCAAACCTGGCATGATCGAGCTCATGAAACCCAAGCTGACCTTCACCCAGAGCGAGATCCAGGACGGCGATATCATCTGCTTCCAGGTCGACATGAACGAGAAGGAGTTAGTAGCTGTCGCATTCCCGCGATCTCTTCAGAGCGCTCATGATCTACACCCAGGCTGCACGACTATGAGGCACAAGGGCTGTACTCCAACCCGGTACAATATTACGACTTCCTTCAGAACAGAGTGATGATCCTGTTCAAGCCCAAGTTCGACGAGGCGGACGCCGAGCACCCTGAGTTCCACCTAACCCTGAGCAAGAAGCAGAACTACGACATCGTACGTCACTCTCATGAAGCTACGAGTGTTGGCTCTCAATTCAGATCTCGCGTTTAGATGTCCGCGAAGGTTGGAGAGCGACTGAATTGGGACCCCATCAAGCTGCGCTTCACGACAACACACGCGACGAACGGCACGGCGAAGCAGGTGCTCAAGCGGTCGCTGAACCAAAGCATACAGGAGATCATGGCGCCCAACTACGTGAACCCGCAGACGACGGTAATCCTGTACGAGAAGCTCGATGTGTCGATCGTGGAGCTCGAGACGAAGCGTAGTCTCAAGGTCACCTGGACGGGCATCCACAACAAGGAGGAGTCGACGCACCAGTTCCTGTTGCCCAAGACGAGCATGGTGCACGATCTTGCTGCGGAGATCGCGAAACAGGTTAAGCTCACGCCGGGGGGCACGGGCAAGATCCGCGTGTTCGAGGTGTCCAAGGACGGCAAGACGCAGAAGGAATTCACGAACTCGGAGATGATCGGGAACATCCCCGACCCGGTCGAGCTCTACGCGGAGGTCGGTCTCTCTTCCCTAAGTTCGGGTAGTGCGTTTCGTGTGGACGGCGACTGATATTTGCTTCCATGTGCAGGAAATCCCTCGCGAGGAGCTCGAGGCGGACGATGCGGACAAGGTGATCAGCGTGTTCCACTTCTCGAAGGAGGTGTCGAGGACGCACGGTGTGCCGTTCCGCTTCGTCGTCAAGCCGGTCAGTATTCCTCTCATACTCTTCTCCTGGAGTCACAGCTGACCAAGTGTGGATCTCCTAGGGTGAGAAGTTCTCTGAGACGAAGAAGCGTCTCCAAGCACGAATAGGCGTGTCGGACAAGGACTTTGCCAAGTACCGATTTGCACTCATCCAAGTCGCGACGTTCAAGCAGCCTTCGTATATTGAAGACGGTTAGTGGACCGACCTTAGCTGTACTGTAGTCGAGTCTGACGTCCATCATCACTGGCTTTCAGACGACACGATCTACGACCACAAGTTCGCACCCGAGGACGTACTCGGTCTTGATCACGTAGACAAGTCTGGCAAGACTCGCTCAGGTGCAGGAGAGAAGGCCATTGTTATCCGCGGATAATCATGACATGATTTTCTGCCCGAACTTTGACGGGAGTCATTCGCGGTAGTCGCGTTGCGTTGCGTAGTGCCTGTCTTCCAATAGTCGCATTCGGTGTCTGGCTCACATGTACTTCTTTTATGACGTTCTAGCGTGTTTCTGTTTCCCGCATCTCACTGTATAACGGCTGTCTGGCGTATCTCCGAGTGTACACCACCAACCCCAATCATCGTATTGCCCCATTGTACGGACTTGAACGAGGAAATAATAACGATCGAATGTACATCTACTTCCGCTTCTTCGTCTTCTTTGAAGGAGACTGTGGGCCGAGGAGGACAATTAGCTCTTTGCAAGCATCAAGTTGAAAACGTGTGGAAGGGAGCATGTTAGCGTACAGATTTCGACGGGGAACGTGGCGACGTGGGCGACGCCGAGCGTTCACTGCCGCTGAGCGCGTCGCTTTCAGCGCCAGCACTGGGCGGTGCGAGGCTAGCACCGTTCGTCCGGGAGGACAGCGGTGTTGTGGGGCGTGCTGGGTTCGATGGCGAGAGGGAGGCTTGTGCGGATGCGGGGGAGCCCGGCGCAGGAGGTGCTTGGACTACCAGTTGCGGTAGCGGGAACTTGCCGTATTTCAGTTCTGCACAGCGGTCAGTCGTATCGACAATGAGCGCGCACGCGCCACATGCACGCACCGGCTTCGGCTCGGATAGTGGGGATCTGCTCGACGAGGGTACGCAGCTTTTCGTTGTGCATCATCTCGGTCGCGGTCTGGAAGATGACGGTGCCCCATCCCTCGACGTACGCGTTGGCCTCTGCGGCGACCTCGAGGATCTCGGCCTCGAGCTCCTTCTCGGCAGCAAGCAGACTGTTCCAGAGGTCGTCGCCAATGGATCCTTTCTGGAGGAGATTCTGGAGTGCGGGCTTGTCCTCACGGAGTCGCATTATACGCGTAACATCGGTCATCGCGCGGCGGACGAGCGCGGCCTTGAGGAGGGTCTCGGGGGCGGGAGGGTCGGTCATCTGGAGGAGAGAGAAATAGACATCACGCTCATGATGCTGAGGGAAGTAGGGTTCGAATGTTTTGCCTGAGATAGGGAGACACAAGAGAGGTCAATTAGCGGTGCGTCATAGTAGCAGACAGGCACGGCGGCGGTACGCACGGGCGTTCCTCCGCCGGTAGAACGAGCTGAATGCGAAGAGGGAACCAAAGACGATGATAACGTAGAGGACGGGGACGAGGACGGAGGCCATCGCGGCGAGCGATGGCGAAGGAGAAGGACGGAGAGAAGGACTTGTGTTGCGGCCACTGAACACGGCTGAGACGATCTGCTGGCAAACTGACACGAATCTCATTCGACGGTCCGCTCAGCGCTCGCGTGTCGCCACCGAATCTGATCAAGCCGGTCCTCGGCCACTTACCTAATCCAGCGCTCCCATCCGTGAAGCAACAGGCGCTAAGATTCGGATGCGGCTCCGTGTGGCCGGCCGGTGGCTGAGTTCCGTGCCAATGCCGCCGGGTCACGCGGGCGCGACGGTGGCCGGACGCGTCGGGAGCCGAGTGCATATGAATCTGCGGTCGAGTGCGGGGCAACAAGCTCGTCTTGCCCCGCATTCCTATCCCGCACCCTCCCTCTTCCTCGTCTAGATCGCACCATGTTCAGGAGCGGCGCTGTATCGTCTGCACGTCAGTTCTCTCGCGGCTTTGCGCAGAGACGTCTTGCCTCTACCAAGGTATGCACTCGGCCTCGCCCTCTGAGAAGCCTGCTGTAGAGCTCAAGCCGATTCCGGCAGACTGTCAGAGAAGTCCTTGAGGAAGTAGTGCCCCAGCAGCAACTCAGACTCAAGCAGCTTGTAAGTTTACCGACAGAGCGTAACAGTCCGGCGCGTCTTAGCTGAATGCTGCGTCAGAAAACCGAGCATGGGCAGGCCGTCCTCGGTGATGTCAAGGTATGCTTCTAACACGTTTCTTCGCACTTTATTATCCGACCCACGCTTCACGTAGGTCGAACATGTTGTGGGAGGCATGAGAGGACTCAAGGCTATGCTCTGGGAAGCATCCGTCCTTGATCCTAACGAGGTATGACAGCTGCATACTCCCTGTGTGTATATACTGAGACTATGCTTTGCCTAGGGGATTCGGTTCCACGGTTTGACTATTCCGGACTGCCAGAAGGCTCTCACTCCTGCCCCCGGTGGCAAGGAGATCATTGCGGAGAGCATGTTTTGGCTCCTCCTAACCGGCAAGGTACCCACGGAGGCCGAGACCCGCCAGCTCTCCCGCCAACTGGCTGAGAAGGGTGATCTGCCTGAATTCATTGAGAAGCTGATTGACTCGTGAGTCTAGCCTAGGTCCCGTCATTACGTGACGTTTTGAGCTAACACTTCCATAGCTTGCCTCCCACTCTTCACCCCATGACCCAGCTTGGTATAGGTGTTGCTGCCTTGAACCACGATAGTAAGTTCCAGGCGGCGTATGAGCGCGGCATCAAGAAGAGCGAGTACTGGACGTACGCGCTCGAGGATTCCCTCGACCTCCTCGCTCGCCTTCCTGCACTTGCTGCGCGCATCTACCGCAATGTGTACAACCCCGGAAAACCCCTCCCAAAGATCAACAAGGACTTGGACTTGGTCGGTATGTCATCTGTCGGCAATCTACGTCACGGCACAGTAGTCAATTTGAAACAACAGGCAACTACGTGAACCTGCTCGGATTTGGCGATAACCATGACCTCACCGAGTACCTCCGTCTCTACATCGCCATTCACGGTGATCATGAGGGCGGTAATGCGTCGGCGCATACATCTCGTATGTCAAGGATCTTGCCTAAACAGCGCCGAGACTTACAGCATCTATAGACCTTGTCGGCTCCACTCTATCTGACCCTTACCTGTCGTACGCGGCCGCCCTGTATGCGCTCGCCGGCCCTCTGCATGGGTATGTGATATTAACCGCTTTCTCATAACGTCCTTGCCACCGAATTGACGCATGTACAGCCTTGCCAACCAGGAGGTCCTCCGCTGGCAGATGAACATGCAGAAGGAGCTTGGCGGCAACATCGCTCCCCAGGATATCAAAGACTTCCTCTGGAAGACTCTAAAGAGCGGCCAAGTCGTTCCTGGGTGAGCACATATACTATCGGCCGAAGCACATCCAACTTCCGAAGCCGAGTAGAGCTAATGTGCGACACAGGTACGGCCATGGTGTTCTCCGGAACCCGGATCCGCGCTTCATCGCGCTCCAGGAATTCTGCGATACGCGGCCCGAGCTTCTTGCGGACCCCATCGTCCAGCTCGTCAAAAAGGTACTTACCATGGCACCATCGCGTTCCAGCGGCATTGATGGTACGACTGACCTTGAACATCAGACGTACGAGGTCGCACCTGGTGTTCTCAAAGAGCATGGCAAGACCAAGAACCCGTACCCCAACGTCGACGCTGCGTCCGGTAAGTCGCATTCGTCGTCGACTACGGTGCGCGGAGCGAAGCGTCTCAACTTCCGTCTGTCCAGGTTGTGTTCTCTATCACTACGGGCTCACGCAGTTCAAGGTACGTTATAAGATCTTCTGGAGCAACCCTCAACAGATATTGACGTACACTACTATCACAGTACTACACCGTCATCTTCGGTGTCTCAAGAGGTACAACTGACTCCGAATGCTTCCTGGGTGATGGGCTGATCGTCTCTTGACAGCGCTTGGTTGCCTCACGCAGTACGTGTGGTCGAGAGGTACGCATCGCGCTCCTTGCAGAAAGATTCTTCGTAAACCTTTACTAATTCGAACATAATTCTGCGCGTTTGCTAGCGCTCGGCCTCCCTATCGAGCGCCCGAAGTGTGAGTTCAACCACATATCTTGAGCTTCGCCGCATGTGGCACAACGCTGATCGGGTCGTGCCTGTGAACTCCAGCTTTGTCCATGGATGCCATCGAGAAGCTCATCAAGCAATGAGGTGGCAGCGGGCAATCCTCGCCGTAGACGCAGCTCACCGCTCCAACGCGACGTCCCGAAGATGCTCGGATCAACAGGCGAGGAGGATCATGAGACACCAAGGGTGCTGCTTGCTGATTTGGGGAGAATGGACGTATTGACATACAACGGCCATTCACACACATCCATGTGGAGTAGTAAGATGGAACTGGACGCATTTATTGTACATCAATTTCGGATCACTTCATCCCTGCTAGTGGGAAAGTTCGTACTGAAGCCTTCTGCGATGATGAATGATTCAAGGGGACCAAAACATTGTGAGACAGTGGAAGGTGCAGGTGCAGGGGGTGTACAAGACGCGAGGACTGACAAGACTGAGGACGGACAAGTATGTACATAAAAGCCAAAGGTAGTGGTGAGAAGGGGTAACAGTTGCATTGCTGCGAACGAGAGCGACGGCGGATATATCACGGTCCTCGGTAGCCGGCCAACTTGACCGGCAGGCTTGCACAACGTACATACACACCATTAGAACTGGTGCGTGATAAGTCAGAGGAACAGAAGAGCGACGAGAGTAAGGAGATAAGACGAATAAGAGTAAACGGCGGAGACTGGAAGGAAGATGGAGCTGCACACGAAGACATGAAATGTTCACGAGACCCTAAAGAGGAAGAGAAGAGATAAGCACGCCCGGGCGGAGGATGACTCTGCTAGAATATGGACAGATTGATAACGGATGGATTCAGGAAGGGGCCTGTGGGCTGCATGCCATCGGAGCTGACCGTTGCTAGAAACGTCCGGGCACCTGGCCTGGGGTAGCAACGCCTGGGCGCTGGCCAGGACCTGGCGGCGGATATTGCCCTGGCGGGAAGACGTTTGGAGCAGGCATACCGCCAGGTCGTGGTTGGCCAGGTCCAGGAGGCCCTGGTGGGAACCCGCGTCCTGCGGGTGGGGGAGCGAACCCTCCGGGACCAGGAGGGCCATATCCAGGCCCAGGAGGTCCAAGGGGGCCACCGGGACCTGGGGGACCGCGAGGAGGACCCATGCCCATCGGAGGGCCCATCTGAGGTGGCGGGGGGAAGCCACGACCCGCTCCAGGTGGAGGGGGCCCTTGCAACTGGGGGCCCGGAGGCGGGGGACCGCGTCCTTGGGGTATAGGCGCGCTACCTGCGCGCACAGGACCAGGGCCACCGGAAGCGCCAAGGCCTAGCGGGGGTGCAACGCCTGGGTCGCGCAGAGAGACAGGTGCGCCGCGCCCAACGCCTGGAGAGGGGACGGGGGCACCGCCAGGCGTTGGGGGGTTCTTTTCAGCGGCCTTGATAATCTCATCACTGCGTAGACAAATTAGAATGGAAGGATGATACCAGGATGGAAACAAAAAGATTCAGTGGACATTCAAGTTCCCGGGGGATTGCACGTACTCGAGAAGGTTTAGTGCTGCGCACAGGACGACCCATTCTACACAGTCCTCGTTACCCTCGCCGAGTGTCTGCCAAACTGCTTTCTCCTCTGCGGTCTTGCCAGTGATGCTGATACGGGTGCCACCGCCGTTCGGGCCTGGAGGGTTCTTCTGGATCTTGCCGAACTCGATACGCTTGGGCGGGATGTTATGGCCGGCGTAGGCAAAATAGAACATGCTCCAGAATTGCGCATTCGGGTTCGGTTTAGATATCTGGAACAGCGGGAGATCGCCAGAGTCTGGAGAGGGCAGAGCGAGCTTGTAGATCGGTGTCAGAACACCAGTGTTAGTTATTGTCCATTTCAGATTGCGCGAGGCCTCGCAGCGGACGACCTTGGAGGAAGACGAGGATGCATGTCCGGGATCTGACGCGGTAGCCTTGCCGTTACTTGGGCCTCCATTCTGTCGAGGTGGAAACAGCTTCGCGACACAAAGGTCGCCCTGCGGAGAAGGCGTTAAGAGATAGTTCTCGGCATTCTATATGAATATCATGAGCGACGTTCCGAGGGCGAATGCCATGTGTAAGTGCGTACGAAATTGGTGTGCAGATAGGAGTAGAGGATGTTTGTAGGTTGTCCTGCAGATGCTGTCAAGCAGAGTACAGAAGCGCCACAGCCAAGGACATACCGTGCGGAGTAACTATGAGGGTGGGCAAGTGATTTGGGATGGGCGGATGGGTTGGGGAGGTATACACTGTGTAGATGGCTGTTTTGGCTCATAGTCAGCAATAAATGAAGCTATGGGATAGATGAGACGCCATACCGGCCATGCAGACGGGGGATTAGGCGGATGATAGGAGGATGAGCAGAGGGATAGAGAGGAAGGGGCAGATGCTCAAGAACAGACAAGCGCCCGGTGTAGGGAGCCGAGCGTTGCGGGGCGTGATCCTGGTCGCGTCACAGGCGGTCACGGTGACGGTCATCGCAGGTTCACTGCTCATCGATCCAGGCAGTGGCAAGCGTCCTAGTCGTCTGCCTTCCCAGCATCCACCCCCCTCTTAACCTCCGACTCTTGCACTCGACGACCCTTCCTGCCAGCACGTCGTCGACGTCGCAAACTCCCCACCATGAAGGGTTTCAAGATGAAGGTCAGCCAGGTCCGTCTCTCCGCTATCGCGCGCCCCGCTCACCTGAACTGTTCCGTGTATAGCTTGGTAGAAAGAATTCTACCGATTCTACCTCCTCAAAGAGCAAGGATCCCAAGGCCGCCGCCAATGCAGCCGCTGCAGCGGCTCCTCCGCCCCCGCCTCCAAATTCCGCTAAGCCTCTGCCCCCGCCGCAGGTCCCCGGCACTCATCTTTCCAACGCTAGCAATCACCAGCTTCCGGCAACCAACGGTTCCTCATCTGCTTCAGCTGCAGCTGCTCGTCTCAACGCCGCTGTCAACACCACTGATCGCAGATACGTGAACCCAAGCGGGCCTGGTGTTGCGCCTCCCATTGTTGTTGTCAGCCCTGACGCTCCCTCGAACGAGGACAGACTTCCAGAGAATGGGCCTGTGACTCCTCCCCGCGTTGGCTCGCTTGCGACTCGGGGCCTTCGTCCTGCCCCCAAGGACACTATCCCAATTTCAGGCAAGCCTCCTCGCAAGCAACGGAGCAGCCGTTTTGTAGTCAATGAGAAGGTCGAAATTGAAAGGCTCCCAGCATTTAATGGTACGTATTGCTTCTCGCACGCTCACCGTCAGAGTTGGCTGGCCCTAATCTGTGTTATTCAGAAACTCCTGCAAGCGAACGCCCGCAACTCTTCATCAGGAAGCTGCATCAATGCGCCGTCGTCTTCGACTTTAACGATGCGAACTCGGAACTTAAGGGGAAGCAGATCAAGACTCAAACCCTGCACGAAATGTTGGAATATATCACGACCCAGCGCGGTGTGATTACGGAGAATGTATACCCCGAGGTGGTCAAGATGGTGCGTCTTATCCACTACATGAGACAGGCTAAGTCACCGATGCTCCGAAGTTTGCCACCAATCTCTTCCGCTCTATACCCCCTCCGGTGAACCCTACCGGAGACGCGTTCGACCCCGAAGAAGACGAGCCAGTCTTGGAGCTTGCGTGGCCGCACCTCAAGATTGTCTATGAGTTCTTCCTTCGATTTGTCGAGAGTCAAGACTTCAACACGAATCTGGCGAAGCGGTATATCGACCAGAACTTTGTCCTCAATCTGCTCGAGCTCTTTGACTCGGAGGACCCTCGGGAACGCGACTTCTTGAAGACGACGCTGCACCGGATATATGGCAAGTTCCTCAACCTGCGTGCGCCTATTCGGCGGAGCATCAACAACGTCTTCTTCCATTTCATATACGAAACCGAGCGACACAACGGTATAGCCGAGCTACTCGAGATTCTCGGCTCCATCATCAACGGCTTCGCGCTTCCTCTCAAGGACGAGCACAAAACGTTCCTTATGCGCGTTCTCATCCCGCTGCACAAGGTCAAGAGCCTGTCAATGTATCATCCCCAGCTCGCGTACTGTGTTGTCCAATTCCTCGAGAAAGACGCTGCACTGGCGGAGGAGGTGGTTATTGGTCTCTTGAAGTACTGGCCGAAGGTGAACTCACCGAAAGAGGTGATGTTCCTGAGCGAGATGGAGGAGGTTCTAGACGTGATCGATCCGGCAGAATTCCAAAAGATCCAGGAGCCCCTGTTCCACCAGCTCGCACGGTGCATCAACAGCCAGCACTTCCAGGTCGCGGAGCGTGCATTGATGTATTGGAACAACGAGTACATCGTAAACCTCATGAGCGACAACCTCTCGGTCATCCTTCCTATCGTCTTCCCCGCGCTATACACCAACTCACGGTCACATTGGAACCGGTGAGTGTGACAGATGACCTGATGGTGCGCCGTCAAACTCACCACGTTGCAGAACGATCCACGCATTGGTTTACAATGCCCTAAAGCTCTTTATGGAGATCAATCCCGATTTGTTCGACGAGGTCATGCAGCAGTACAAGCAACGCAAGCTCGAGTATGTATTCGCGCGCTTCACAATATCCTCGTTTCCCTCCTGACATCTGTCTCAGCGAGCGACAACATGCCGTTGCACGGTACGAGGAGTGGCAAAAGCTCCGGGAGCAAGCGCTCAGAAACTGTGGAGGCAAACTCCCCGAGGGCTACGTCGACGTCGAGCCGACACCACCTCCACCACCGGTGGAAGACTTCGACATCATGGACCTATCAATCGACCTCAACGCGGTGTCGATCGACGCGGAGGCGCCGTTGGGCGAGCTGGACGAGTCTGGGATCGAGCGGGTGCCTATGGCAGACCCGGGGATGGATGTGCGTATCGTCGCCTCTGAGTCATGAGCAAGGTCCGAGAATTGCGGTATTGACGTAAGATGCCCCACTCTCCTGCGACGATCGATTATCTCTAGCGTCCGTTCCCCGAGGTCGGCCAGGAGCATTCTTCGCCAGGCGGACTGCACTCGCGGCGAAAGAGCGCATTACCCGGTACGCACCACATATTTCCGTGCGCTTGCTTTACCAGCTGTGGCTTATCGAGCGTATGCTATCCAGTGGACCCGACGGTCTTGCGAGATCTCCAGGCACATAAGAGTCTCGAAGACACCGTCGCACCACGCGGTCGTATCGCTGGAGAAGGATCTTGAGCTTTCCCCCTTCCCTTCCCGTTTATTGCGGCGAGACGGCGCCATCGGTTTCCATTCCACTTCGAACAGGACAGCAGTGCTTGACCCCGTCACGCCGGACGTTGTTGTTAGCGTTTATCAATCGTCTTCTCTACCTGCCTGCCTCCCCCACCTCACCTGCACTCGGATCCGATCCCCCAGCCGCACTCCCACCACGCTTCACGATGCACACATATACAACCAGGCATACACCAATTCTCCGTCTGCTCTCCCGCGCTTCGCGCTGTTGCTACTATTCTGTTGTTGTCCCACCCAACGCGGCCCCGTCCGATCGTGGGCCTGCGAAGATATATCCCTATACTCCTCCTTCATTGATATCTTCACCCCCGCGTGATTATGCCTCCTGTCGGATGCGTGCGCGCGCGCTGTGTATGGGTGCGACGCTTACTCCGTTCCCTTTGCCATTTGCTGTCCATGGATCGCCTCGTCTCGTCTCGTCTATAACCGCGACCGTCTCTGTTCTCCCTTTTCCGCTACTATACATGGGAACCCCCGTAGTTTACCATCCTCGCGAATAAGCTGTCTATATGTACGTGCTTATGCACATACGTCGACAATAATGCAGCGCGTGAGATATTGCCGTTGAAGCGGTCGCAGTATTGCGTGACGGGCAGCGTTACCGTGGTCTGACACGCGTATGTCACGGGTGACAGCACGCGTTGATTGCGGGGTGGCTGAGACTCGGACGCGTCCGCCGTCGACGACGAACTCTGACACGCTTTCGACCTCCTCCTGAATCCTTCTTCCTACCACATTACGCTTGTGCAACCTACGTTGCGCTTTCATGATATCACGGAGGGAACTACAGGCTACCTCGAAAGATGCCAAACCCGGAGTCGTTCAGACCCACTCCAAGTACCCCTTCCGTCTCAACTTGTTCGTACACGACGCGTATTCGTGGTATTGTGATTCGAGCTGAGGATAGCTGTACTACAGCTATGACAGACCACCTGTCGAGGAGATCACCATCGAGCAATTCGAGACCGCCGCGCTCGACAGGCTACGCGTCCTTGCGGAGATCGAGTCGTGCTTCGCGCGGAACAGGACGTTCGAAGAGATGGGGAAGGTCATAGTGGGCATATGGGACAAGTATCTTCCTCTGCACAGTAGCACGGCACATCTGGAGAGGCTCGAGGAGGAGCGGAGAAAAGACCACATCGGACACTTCGTCCTTCGACTTGCATTCTGTCGATCGTGCGTGGCCTAAGTCTGGTGTACGTCGTCGACCTTACGTGTGTACTGATCTGCGCCCGCCGCCGCAGGGAGGACCTTCGGAGGCGCTTCGTAAAAGCGGAGACGACGTTGTTCAAGCTGAGGTATCAGTCGGACGACCACAATGAGAGGGAGAAATTCCTGAAGTCGAGGGACTTCGATTGGGTAGTGGTGTGTAGCAGTGCTAGTTTGTTTCATTGCCCTTAGCCCCTGACATGATGTTAGGCATCGCCCGAGGAAATTCAAGACCTCATAACCCCAACAAGCTATGACCCTGCGAGCAAGTCAAGCACGTACTACAAGGTCAAGTGGACGCGAGTACCGGATTTGGTGGAGAAGAGGAAGGTCGTTTTGAAGGGCGGCATGGCTTACGTCCCTGCCGCGGAGCAAGCGAGTATCGTCTATCAAGAGTTCCAAAGACACCTTGAGAAGGACCTAGAGGTATGTACCTATGAGGACTTATCCTTTCCCCTGACCTCTCACCCTGCATACAGGCGACAGCAAAGGCCCTTCCTAGACTGGACGAAGACACCCGCCTGATACCCATCCTTGATAATCTGTCCAAGGGCTTCCAGGCTGGAATCTCATCAGAATGGGCAGGCAAGACCGAGGGCCAGGAAGGATTGACGGCAGACATGATCGACGAAATGGCATACAAGCACTACCCGGCATGTATGCGCAACCTGCACATGGCCCTGAGGCGAGACAAGCACTTGAAGCATTTCGGACGCTTACAGTACGGCTTGTTCTTGAAGGTACGCTGATCGGCCTGCACGCAATCCAGGTTATCGCTGATGGGTTTCGGGTGCCAGGTTCTAGGCTTGTCGATAGACGAGGCCCTCGCGTTTTGGCGGAAGGCGTTCAGCACGATGCAGGACGACAAATTCAACAAGGAGTACCGGTACAACATCCGGCACTCGTACGGTCTAGAGGGCAAACGTGCAAATTACGCCGCGATGAGGTCCGTACAACGCACTTCTACCCACGATGACCAGCGTCCTTACGTCCCAACCTGACCGCCCCCTCGTCGTGTACAGCTGCCAGCAGATCCTCATGTCTCACGAGCCCGGCTCAGGCGACTCGCACGGATGCCCGTACCGGCACTTCTCCGCAGACAACCTGCAGTCCGCGCTGCTGACGATGTACAGCGACCACGGGCTGACGTCGCAGGACATGCCCGAGATCATGCACATGGTCAAGCAGAAGCACTACCACGTCGCGTGCACGCGCGTCTTCGAGATCACGCATGCGCACCAGGGCGTGAAGAAGGGCGAGGGCGTCGGTGGGGGCGAGAGCGTCACGCACCCGAACCAGTACGCGGCGCGGAGCCGCGAGCTGGAGAAGAAGGAGAACGGGGATGGGGACGTGGTCATGCAGGGTTAGTCAAGCCACTATAGGTGTGATGGCCGCTTTCACATGGCCCGCGCCCGTGGCAGGTGTTCTTGAGGTCGTCGATACGCGGTCGTTGTTGTTGTTCCGTGCTGTGCCCTTCTCTGTCGTTGTATTACGCTACATATGTGTGCTGTATCGTTATCCATCCACTCCTAGATCTCTCCTTCGTTCGTCTGATGCTAGGACATCGAGGAAACCGTGTGTGGAGTCGTGTAATGAGGCTCGACCCTAACCCTCAGCGCCTCGTGCTCGCGTGACGACATTAGCTGCGTGCCTTGTGGTGGCACCTCTCCCGACTGCACTTCCTCCTCCCGCAGCCCATCTCTTCTCTCTCCTCGTCCCCCCACGCCCGGCATCATACGTCTGTTTACTACGACCACTAACACGCAATGAGCAAACGAAGAGGCACCAACGACGGCCCCGTGAATGGCGGCGGGGACACTCCATTAGTCCCGTCCGCGGCCCTCCAACAATACCGCGACACCGAAGGTCACTTCTCGCTTGTCCGGTACGTCTTTCTCTCTCTATACCGATGTGCCACTGGCTCCCAGGGATGGTGAGAGCCTGTCGTCATGTCACTGACTTGCTCCCGCGTCCTGCAGGAACTTCCGTCTCGCGGACCTCGTCACCATCGCTAACGGCATATGCGGCTCATTCTCGGTATTCATGTCCGCCAAATACCTCCTCACGAATAAGGAAGACCATCTGTGGTCCGCGCTCGCATTCCCACTCGCGGGCCTCATCTTCGACTTCCTCGACGGCAAGGTCGCGCGGTGGCGGAAGGAGACGAGCATGCTCGGTCAGGAGCTCGACTCGCTTGCCGACCTGGTGCGTCCCCGCCCTCTGCGTTCTGTACATCCATTTCGTTCTCACTCTTTCCACTCTTTCCCTTATGCCGCTCAATGTTCTTACTTCCCTACTGCCCTTGCTACCCGAACCCCGCCGAACGCGGCAGATCTCGTTCGGCGTTGCCCCCGCCCTGCTCGCGTTCGCCGTCGGCTTCCGGACGTACCTCGACACAGTTATCCTCACCGGTTTCATCTGCTGTGGGCTCGCGCGCCTCGCGCGCTTCAACGCGACCGTCGCGCTCGTCCCCAAGGACGCCAAAGGCAAGGCCGCGTACTTCGAGGGCCTCCCGATCCCCTCCTCGCTCGCGCTTGTCGGTCTCCTCACCTATTGGACTAAGCAGGGCTGGATCGCGGGCAAGGAGGGCCTGCCGCTGGGAACAATCACCCTGTGGGGCCACCCGGGGGGCGATGGCGACCTGCACGTGTTCAGCATCGTGTTTGGGCTGTGGGCGGCGGCGATGGTGAGCAAGACGCTGCGGGTGCCGAAGCTGTGACGCGAGTGCTTTTGGAAGTTTGAGGGGGCGGTCCAGGACTTCAGGCTGGGAAAATCTCCTAAGTGGACGGCTGGGATGTTGTCTCGCTGCGCACGCTTTGGATACGTTACGGACATGAGTTACGACCCCGCGATGACATACTCTAGCTTGTATCGGAATAACTACTTGTTTAGACTGCTGGCTCAACCCGGTAGGCCTGCACGGATGCTACGCACGGACTTTGCAACTAGTTGTGACTCGACAGTCTGAACTGAGTACATACTGTGCTTGCGGAGTGATTGCGCGAGCGTGGGAGAACTGTTTTGGTATGGGTCAGGCGCGTCGCGACGCGGTGTAATCGACGCGTCTCGCTTCTCCCCCCGCGCCTTGTCCCAAGCACTCTGCACCATGCCGGTCTCCTCCAACGACGTCCAGCGACTGTTCCTGCAGGCAATCCTCTCGCGACGCATCCTCTCGCAGAAGCTCGCCGCGAAAATCTGGGAGAAATGCATTGATGCGGTCAAAGGTGCGCCTTTCAGCCACTCGCGCATTATCGCGCCCGCCCCTTGTTTGGTGCTGACACCGATTCTTTATGCATTCCACAAGCGGCCAACGACACTCTAGATATCCAGTATCGCGCAGACAGGAACTCGTGGGACAACTTCGTTACGAGCATCAATGACGCGTTAAACCCTCTGGACCTGGAGTTTGCGCATCTGCACGACGAAGTGACCGGGCAGGAGGTGTATGCTGTGGTATGTCTCAGACCTTCCGCTCATGTAGCGATTAACACCGACACCGAATGGCGCAGGTGAATCGGAAGGGCGACGAGATCGCCCAGATGGCGACCGACTACAGCGCCCTGGAAATCGCCTACTTCAAAGCTGTGGTACGCCTCCTAGCATACGTGAAGGCACGCGTTTTGACAATGCGCTCACCGAACGTCGTCTTTCCCCCAGCTGGAACAAATCATGCTCGCACCCAATGAATCGTTCTGCGTCTCCTCTCTCGCCGCCCTCCGCGAGGTGAACTCGTTGAAGTCGAATATGACAAAGTCACAAGCCGAGGCCACGCTCCACAGCTTCGTGGCCAAAGGCTGGCTAGTGAAGAGCAGGTACGCATGCGTCTCCTCGACACCTCGCGCTTGTACACCATCATCTAACGGGAAATACCCACACAGGCGGGGCCGCTACTCCCTCTCGACGCGCACGATTCTCGAGCTCCAGACGTACCTCCGGACGACGTACGAGAGCGACATCATCGAGTGCACCATCTGCATGGAGGTCAGTCGCACCCGCCTCCTGCTCACGCTTCCCCCGCTCAATCGCCGCGCCTCCCTCCACAGCTCGTCACCCGCGGTGTGGGCTGCCCGACGCCCCAATGCAAGACCCGCCTGCACAACCACTGCTTCGCCAACTACCGCCGGCGGAACAACGCCTGCCCGACGTGCAAGGAGGCCTGGTCGGAGGGGAACGGCGCCAAGCTCCGCCCCGTCGGCGAGGCGGCCTTCAAGGAGGGCCAGGACCAGGGCAGGCGGCGGGCGCGCAGGAAGTCCACCGAGGAGCAGGAGGACGGCGACGAAGAAGGGGAGCATGACGCCTCTCAGGAGCAGGACGACGATGCGATGAACGGGGAGCCCGACCCGTCTCAGAGCCAGGGTGTGCCGCCCCAGACGCAGCCGAACGGCAGGGGCAAAGGCAAGAGGCGAGCGGTATTAGAGGAGGTCGAGGACGATGGCACTCCGTCGCCCAGGACGCAGCCGCGTAGGTCCTCCCGTCGAGGCTGATGGGAACGACGCGATGCGGTCGCTGTACCCTCTGCTTACATGTTCTTGCCACCCAGCTTCAGACATCGGTGCCTCACGGACCGCACGTTTTCCCACTGTACACCACGAGGATCTATTATATGATATATGTAGTATTGAAATATACGTCCCCTCTAAAACGTTACTAGCGACGTGCAGCTGCATCAAATATTCCAGTGCTTGCGCTTGGGGCCGTATTTGGTTGAGCAGGGGTTGTCGGCGTCGGGACAGCGGGTGTCACGACGCCCGGCTCGAGCTTGGTCTCCGAGGGGCTGACCTCCAGCGGAGGGAGGGTGAATCCGAAGCGACCCTTTCCCCAGACCTGCTTCCTCTTCGCCTTGCGACCCTCGCCGAACTCATCATTCCATTTTCGCAGCTCCGCAAGGCTGCCTAGAGACTCCGATGCGGAGGGCGTGATCTCCTTGAGAGCCTGTTCAAAGTTCCGCCATGCCAGGGAGCGAGAATGGGGCACATCGGACGGGGATGTGTTATCTTGGGAAGCTGATGCAGGATCCGAGTCCAGGTTAGATGTGGAGGTGGATGTAGCCGCTGGCTCTTCGGTAGGTTTCTCCTCGGTCGTCGCCTTGTCCTCGGCTACACCGAACGAGCCCTGCTGCTCGCCAACGGTACGGGGGTTCGGGGTCGCCTTGACCTTATCTCCCTCAGGCTTAGCCTCGGTAGAAGACGACGAAGATGAAGCAGATGGCCGCCACGGTACCGTCACGCGTTCCTTGACCGCGTCCAGAGCGGCGCTGACACACAAGTCTACGGTCAGAAGCACATGTCTATATCAGAAACCCCCGAACCCAAACAGGAAGCGCTGCGGAGAAGTACTGACGCTTTAGGTCGGACCCGGAAAAACTTTCGGTCTTCTTTGCCAGCTGCTTGAGGTCAACGTCGACAGCAAGCGTCTCGTCGCGGAGCAAGATCTTCAAAATCTCTGCATATGGAGGATGGTTTAATGTGTATGTCAGCGAAGGTTCTGACAGGCACATCGAAGGGCCTGAACGGCGACGAGGAAATAGGGACAAAAGGACATGGAGCATGCACCCACCTTCGCGCTCCTTCTCGCCTGGCAAGTCCACGAGGAGACGGCGAGGCAGACGTCGGAGAACTGCATCGTCGAGATCGAACGGTCGATTGGTTGCGCCAATCACAATTACGTTGCTTTCCTTGTTCGTCTTCAGTCCATCCATCTCCTGCATGAACTCCGTGATGACACCACGGTGGGCGAGGGAGTTACCGGATTCCCGGGACAGACGTGCACCAAACAAGGCATCGAGCTCGTCAATGAACACGACGCACGGAGACAGTCGACGGGCAAGCGAGAACACCGCACGGACAAGCTTCTCACCCTCTCCAACATACTGCAGGGAGACCGTCAGATGTTGCGGCAGGAGTTGCGAGCGAAGACGGGATATATCGTACCATGTCCATGATGTCCGAGGGCGAAACGACGAGCATCCTACAACCGGCTTCCTTGGCAAGAGCCCGAACCGCCAACGTCTTGCCGGTGCCCGGGGGCCCGAACAGAAGACAGCCAGTCATGCTATGTTCCTTAAGGATGCCGTGCTGGAACGCCCCGGGATGCAACAGCGGCAGGGACACGATCGTGCGTATTGAATCAATTGTATGAGGTGGGAGATGCACCTGATTGAACGTGGTGCTAATGGACGCTAAAAAGATTCTAGCGGTTAAGTTCGGCCAATTCGGCATCCAACAAGCGCAAGACGTACCGGTGTCGACGATACAGCCCAATAACCGCTGTTCGTGCTCCTCCAAATCCGGGTTTCGCCTTAACTTCTCGATTATCTCATCCACATCTGCCTCCTCGTCCGCACCGGTCCGCTCTCCTTCCTCGCTCTCGCGGGGAAGCTTCCCGGACGGTTGAAAGGTGAACAGATTCTTCCACATGTCCTGCGTGGACCTATCAGCGGCCCAAGCGTCAAACACCGCCGACCACGGGATGGGCGTGGGGTCAAGCGAACGGTTCGTCGGAAGGTAGGCCTGACTGGCGGCCATGACGCTCCCCACCGCCCTATCAGCGACTCGCTGTACGTTTGGCCACACTTCAACCGTGTCCCCCCAGTGCTCCCATAGTTGGAGCCGTGTCTTGTCCTGCTCGCCGCCCTCTGATGGCTCCTCCGCCACCTCCGGGATGTCCTCCAGCTCGCCGAGCACGCCGCCGACTCGCGCGACGCCCATGCGCATGACAAGCTGATTGATCTCCCTACGCCTCGCGACCCGCACGTCCCGCTCCTGCTGGATGTTGCGCAGGGTGGGGCAGACGAGGATGGTCCGGAAAAATCCCAGGCGGTTATCTGACTCTGGGCTGCCGTGGTTGCGCCCTGCCAGCACGCGAGAGAACGCAGAGCCCAAGAGGGGGGGGAGCCCTGAGAAGCCCTCCTGGCCCAGAACGACAACATTAGGGCGTCCCTTGGAATCCTCGCCTTCCGTGCTCTCTTCGCTAGCCGAGAATAGGCGAGGCAGGTCCTCTGAGCTGCCTCGTGCCCATCGCTTTAACCTCCGCTGCGTTCGCTTCTCGCGTGCCTTCTCGCTGCTGGCATCTTCCCCGTACTCGTTCTGTAACTTGGCAGCGGCACTTGAGGCGGCGGGAGCAGTCGCGGGAGAACGAGGAGATGAGGACATCATATGAAGGCTCGGTGGTGGGGCATGAGATGGTGTCTCGGGAACCACATAAGACGGGCTGATGCCAAAGACGATGACAGTAGGATTCAGCACCGGAGAGCTAGGACGCAGCATCGGGCCTTGTCGCCGTTGTCGAACGGCTGCCAGCAGAGCAGGGTACCAGACAGACGAGGAGGCCGCCAGTGTAGGATAGTCTTTGATATAGATTAGTCGTGGTCGTCTGACTGGAGTGGACGATGACTCGTCCGCCTCAGCAGGACGTGGGGCGGCGACGTTGATGACATCGTCGAAGAATGCCTTCGTCTTTGACATAGGGGTGGCCCGTGCAGCGGGCTCTAGCAATCGGCTAGATCGCCTTGGGACTGTGGCCATTACGTGAACGGTCATAGGGGACACGAAGAACGGTGAGGAGGGCTCTTCATCGTCTTCCTCGGCCTCCCGAGACGAGTCTGAACGCAGGGGACCCCTTGAGAGCGAAAATGAGAATTGCAGCGGGTTATTAGGTAACTGCAGCGCGGACGCAGCTGTAGTAAGAAAGGGCGTATGAGTGATGCATCCTGATACGTTGTGCATGAAACGTACCTTTACCGAATTGTCCACACTCGCCGGCAGCCAGCTGGACTGCGTCCAAGACGACCACATCCGCATTCGTCTGGCGCGCCATCACCCTCACCATCTCGTCAAGGTATAGATCTCCGCCCTCTATTGGTGTATACAAGGCAAGCGTAGGCTCGACCAGAGGACCCTTTCCAGAGGAATACGTCGCTCGATGCTGCGTCTGCGGGTGCAGCGCGATGTGCAGGTTATGCAATGCCTCATTGAATACTTCCGGCGGCGGAAGCAGAGAACTATGAGAAGGCGGAGAAGGCGGAGAAGAGCCTTCCGGGGCGGCTTCTGGAGTCCATAGGATATCGAGGCCAGAAGGTAGAGGAACGGAATCTACAGTCTCCTTAGCTGCAGACACTCGGGTTCGGCGTTTCGGCTTCTCCTCCGGGTCCTCTGACGGTGGCGGCTCTGCAGCATTTGGCGGAGGCTCAGTCGGGGCTGGGGGTGAACTAGGAGGTTCTGGTAATTCCTGTGTAGGGGTCGTCTCGGAGGAGATAGCACGTCTCGAGAGGCGGGGAGCGGTGGACTGGGACGGAGCACGGTCTTTCCGAGGATAGCGGAGACTGTGAGTGGAGGAAAGTTGTGCACGGGGGTTACTTGGCAAGGATTTCACCAGAAACCGTGTCCGACGAGCAAGCAGATGAGACCGCATCCAAATAGAAAACCCAGAGGACCACCGAACAAATGGCGAGGAGGAAGAAAGGGTACAAGTACACAGCGCAGACTCGACCCAGCAGAAGTATTAGACGCCCACACATGCCTGACAAGACTTCCATGTAAGATTGCGTTGACGCTCACGCAGCTGTGGCGATTAACGTTCCAATATTATAGATTACCGACATATACTAAGGCGCGATTTCGTGGAAGTCTCTATGATGGAGTGCCATAGGAAGTGTAGAGGAGTATCCGAAACAGCATAGCGTAGAGCGCGTTGTCAATGCTTCTTCAACAACTGTTCCTCTCGCGCCTTGGCCCGCTCCGCCAAGTCTACACCCACCAACACCTTCGACGCTTTCCATAGCTGTACAAGGTTGACAATGTTCTTGAGTGCGCAGATTGGGCCGGTGACATAAGCTATCAACTCCGGCCAAGTGAAGGATACCAGGTAGGCGACGATTCCGTCGCCAGAGATCCCGAAGGATTCCGACAGGGGAGTGTGCACCCACTTCATTAGATAGAGGGAAATGTAGAACAGCTCATTCCCTGCGCAGACAACGAAGAGCGTTCGCTGCATGGGGAATATATGAGCGAGAGGGCAAGCACCCGGAGGAAGAGTACTCACGGGATCATAGTAGCGTTGCAGCAGACGACTGACGTCACCATCCACTTGCTTATGACTCCTTGAACCTGTTATAAGGGAACTGGGGGACATAGTTCAGAAGCGATCTCTTGATCCCACATCACAGTACACACCTGTTCATGTGCATGTAATGACTACTGAAGTCCAGCGTGATAAGGAATTGGAATGCGAGGGCCCACTCGGGATATGCAGATGTAAGATAGCAAAGCAGACAAGAGGTCGTACAACTTCGCCGTGGCACCAACATCAGCATCAAACAGTCATATATGAACACATGTATACTCACCGGTCGGTGACCATGTCTAATACGGCGCCGAACTTCGAAGCCTGCCCCAAGGCCCTTGCGGCATGCCCGTCGACTGCGTCGAGTAAGCACGAGATACAGTACAGCACTGTGCAGTATTTTGGATGGTAGCTCATGTAGTGAAGAGATAGAGCTGCCAATATAACGCGCGTGTAGCCTGCGAGAAGGAAACGAACGCGCTCCATTAGTACATAGGAGCGACAGAGCTGAGAGGTGACGGACCGATAAGGTTGGGCACGAAGAGGAACACATTCTCCGAATATGTCTGTGCGGTCGCGAGATCCACGGCGACCTTAGCGTCCACAATATCGATAGAGGGTCGTCTCCTCGTCAAGGCTGCAGAACCATTGCCGTTGGATGCCATAGTGAGCGGAGAGGAGCGCGAGCGTGCCCACGTAGGTTGAGCGGTGTGTTACGAATTTGTGGAACCCGCAAGCCGAGCTGTAGGCGCTCATGGCACTCCGTCCTCGGGGTGACGCCCCGTCACGCTCTCAGGCTTCGTAATACACATATCCCGAGGTCACATACCTCTATCTCTCTCCTCTGATTCTGGTCCTCCTGCCTACAGACTGCGTCGAATCATCCGCTCTATCGACTCACTCGCTCTCCCTGCACCAAATCTTGGCATGCACCCGAGCATACCCAGTTCATGCATAAGCTGTCTGACGCTCTCATGCGCTCGCCGGGCGGGCCGACCACAGTCACTGGCAGGACTAAGCGGCTTGGACTCGTCATCGCCCCGGCTGCGTCTCTAGTGCGCCGCTCTGCCCAAGTGTCAATATCAGAGTGCAGCTGACCAGCACTACTCTGCTACTATACAAAATGCGGGGATGGGAGTAAATCCAGTGCAGAGGGGCAACGAAATGCCGCGGTTCTCAAGTGAATGCAATCCCCCCAGCGCGATGCGACGCAAGCCCATATTAGGTAGAAAAATCTTATGTAAGGCGCGTAGTTCAAGAACATCCAGCGCTGCGCGAAGAGGACCCGCCATTCGTGCTCCCGCCCCTCCCTCGCTGCGCTCGGGGGGTCCCCCGAGCCGGGAGCACTCAACTAAAGCCTCGTTCGCGCGAAAAAAAAATAAGACCGGCGACCCCTTGTGGGGTCAGGAGAAAGACAAGTGCCCAACGGGCCAACCAACCCTAACCGCTGACCCAAAACCCAAACCCTAACCCCCAACCCGAACCCTAACAAGTCTGCTGGGGATTCGAACTCTCGCACCGAAAGAAAAATTGGCCATCGTTACCACTGCACCAGCAGCTTCCAAAATTTATTCATTGGTGCGGCGTCATACCACTGTCTTTGACATACTTACCATACAAGGCAGGTTAGATCAAGCGCCAGCGTCG